GAGCTTAGTCAGGGGTTTCATAGCACAACAGTCAAAACTTTGTTTTTTTGACCAGTGGAATAATTTGACATCCATGTGATGCTCTCCTTCCAAATATAATCAAATGATGGAGTACCAAATAATATTTCATTACCAACAATAAAACCCGTTTAATTTCAAGCTGTAACAAAAATAAAAAATAAAAGTTCAAGGGGTAAATCCAATCGCATGAGGCAGACTAACTCTGGTTTTAGACATTGACTTTGACTATTTTAAGAAACATTGTTATCCCACAATAATTTCACAATAATTTCACAATAATTTCAGACAGTTTCCATTTTCAGTAAATTTTGAGCCGATGTCGTGTATAATAAAACGAGACACCAAATCACTTGACTGGAAAGGACTTTTACTCCTTTTTTTTCAGCACTAAAAGGAGTTGAAGTGTGGAGTGAAGAACCCAGAAAGGAAACAGAAGAGGTGCTCTCATAGTGCAAATAAAAGCTCTTTAACAAGCTGGCCTACAGATCAACTCCTCTGCAGGCCGTGAGCCTTAGATCATATCCCTCCAATCACACAGACGGGCCTATAATGTTGATGCCTTGCCACTCACAGTATCTGTTAACACTGAAGGACTCGGCAGCTGAGTCATACAGCGCGATCCTGTTACGTATTAGTTACAGCAATTTGTCTCTGCTCTGCTGACAGACAGAGAAAAAGAAAACAGTGAGTGATGGCTGTTAGATAGCTATGCATGACAAGCCTCATTCCAACAAAGTTCTGACACATACATATAATGATTCACACACGTGCTGCACTCACAAGCCCACACACAGCAAACAATTCACTCGTACACAGATAAACGCGTGCACAGTGAAAGGGTGCCTTTGTTGACTCGTAGCAGCCCCTTATGAGCACATGAACGCTCACAGCTCCTTGCACATGTGTATATGTATTATGCGTGTTGTTTGAACATATGTGTCATGCCCATGTCAGTGATAACCCTTACCCCCATTATGCAGGATAAACGGGTGTGTAAGTGATGACGCAATCAACCCTCCCTGAAAGTCACTTCCTGCAGCTAATGCTGCTTTTAAAGATTCGTGTGTGCACTTGTTTCGTCCAATTTTGTGTAGCTTAACGTGTATGTGAGTGTGTGTGTGTGGTGTGGCTGTGAGCAGGTGTGTACCTCAGAGGAGTTTCTCATTGATCCTTTAATATCTGGCCTGGGGCAAAGAGAGGGAGTCACAGAGCGGCTTACATGTGGGAAAAAATGGCATTAGAGAGCAATAAAGCCAAAGATAAAAGAGAGAAAAGGGACAACAGGTGAGGAAGTGATAAAAGAGTGAGAGAGACAAAAGTGGCACAAAAATGGTGAGTGTAGGGATGGTGACAGAGAGAGGACATTCAACATTCAAACAGACACAACAAGAGAAGGACAGGCTGTCGGTGGGATTACGAGGGGTGTGTTTGTACCTGTGCCTGTTTGTGCTCATGTAAATCCCTCACTGTCGCAGGTCAGAGGAGCTTCGTGAGATAGTGTGATGTGAAGAGAAAGAGAAGAAAGCGGGAGGAGGGAAGAGAGGAAGATGAAAGGAAGGAAAGAGATCGTAAATTTTCACCCAGGACAGACAAATAAAAACCCTCTCATACCCCGCCTCTGTCCCGCTCTATTTTTTGTCGTGAATGTGAGCCGGCCTTTGTTTTCCAGAAAACGCCTCGACCCCAAACTCCTCTCCCCTTGTGCCAATCACCCGAAACCATCCCAATAAAACTAAAACCATTACAGACAAAAATCCCATATGCATTTCTGTTTTGTGTCTCCTCCCATCGGGCTCCCAAATGACCAATAACACCAAGCTCTGTACAAAAGCAAGTATTTATTCTCTCATGAGTCACTATACAGCATTTTCACACTGGAGAAAAATAAATAAACATCTTGTTCAATAAATATTACAGAGATATGATTCAGAAGGCTTAGCCACATTATCCAAGGCACGTTATAAAGAAAGACAATAGATGTAGTGTTTATGAAGTTTGCTGAAGTTTCTTTCTTGGTGAGATGAGGATTAGGAGTGAGATCATTCTCAGACTCTTTTAAAGTAACATAACATTAAAACTGAAGCTGGATCGAAAGTCTGTGAAAGAAGCTGTTGACAAGGCTTGAGTGGTTAAAATCTGAAGTGTTTCTGTTGGTGGTCTCTCATTCGAGCCAACCCCAGGGCAGCTGTGTTTTATTGCACTTGGCAATAGAAAATATTAAGTACTCAGCAATGATCAAACTTATTGAAACTTAATCAATCCTGTTAAAAGCAAATCTGTGTGGGGATGTTGGGTAAAATTTTGTCTTTTTAGAGCACCATGGCAAAGTTAGATTAATGTTCTTTACCTGAAGGAGCCATAAGTACCACAATGATCAATTGAGTAAGTTAGATGGAAATATTTAGTAATAGTCTGCAATCAGATTCAGGATTAAAATGCCTCCCTGCTCACCTTTTTCTGATTCTACCATTACAACATCTCTCTTCTTCTTTGTTGTCTTTCAACTGGGGCATATTATATGTCCACTTGCTAAATACAAAGAGTGTGTTTTACTAGTTTATTCACAAAAAAGGCAAGATGGAGGCCTCAATTGAAGGGGACTCATTACTACGTACACAGAAAAGGCTCTTTCTAAGTTAACAAAAACAAAAGGGTTTTTAGTTTCAGGTGATAATACTTTAAATTTAATATACTTTTGCACTCCGTGTTCTTTTTCTAACAGGTCCATTCTGCTAAATACCACACACCACACATCTAACAAGTCAACAACTTGTTGTCGGGACCAAATATCAGATGCTATTTTTTAATAAGTGAGCTGGGATTATTATATGAAAGTCACATTTGGACAGAGACAGGCTTTCAGGGATCTTGATCCTGGTCTTTATGCTGGGCTAGGCTTATTGTTTTCACATTATCTTTATGAGCATAAGAACGATCTCATCTTTTCGTTAGTGGGAGACACATTGACGGCATGTCTCTTCCTCATTTCTTTCAGAACAGAGCTAAAGAAACTATTTTTAAGTCCTGGCTGTAGAGTGAAATTAAAGAAAACATACGAAAAAAGCAGTTGGAGCCCAGAATAAGTGTGTGTGTGTTCATGTGTGTCTATGTATAGGGCTGTTGTCTCTCAGTTACTGTAACTGACCAGCCAACTTCTGGTTACTCAGCAGTACCCTTCTGCCCGTTATTCCCTGTGCTCATCCCCTGACTCACGCCTCCTCCTCCTCGTCTTCCTCTCCTTTTCTTTCCTCTTCCTCTCCTCGACCTCATCCCTCTGGCCATTTTCCCCACTTCTTTTGTCTTTCGCCCGTTCAGAAATGTTCTGCCCTTCCTTTAGAGAAAATGAATGTTTGCTGATTCACGCATCTGGGGTCACTGAATCAGCTTTCATTCAATGGACGTACTGTCTGTCTCTCAGCCTGTCACTCAGTCTGACCCCTTATGTGTGTCTGTGGTTCGTGTGTGTGTGTGTCTAACCACCTACAGTGGTATTTCTGTTGATCTATGAGCCGTGAAGTCCGGTAACTTGTCCCTGTCTCAGTGTCTCGCTGAATGAGCTGCTATGTGCATCACTGGGTTGTGTTATATTCCATTAGTGCTTCTGGTGACCTGCCAAGTCGCCCTTCATTCACATATTCCAGTAGAGTATGAATGAATGCGCAAACCATGGGTGTGCTTTTCTCTATTAAAACTCTAAATCAGTTTCCGTTCACCACATCTTCATAGGGACCATTTTCCTTTGACATCATGCTCAGAATAAAGAGTCTGGATACTGTAATAGCTGATCCTAGCATTCAACCTCTTCTTAGCCCACAGTGCATCTGCTGAAAAAATAACCCTAATTTCATTAGTCAAACGTAAATTTTAAAGGGATATTCCGGCATCAAATTAAGTTAGGGTCAAACACACTGTAACACCAAGTTAGACACCCCATCAAGAGATGAATGTTGCTGACCGCTTACTTATTGGTCTATTTATACCAACTTTAGTAACGACTGCAGGATAGCAATACACAGTGGTCTCAGGAGCCACAAATAAACCTCAACCAAAACGCCACTCTATAGCCACATGTAATGCTCAGAACAGCACCTAACTTCATCAACAGTACATGTAGGGTCCCAGCCACAGCACTAGCCACCAAACATCTTTTTAGCTTCTTTCTTTAGCACAACTCACCTACTCTCTTCTAGTACCCACTTGTTTGTACAGAGACCTCGGGCGAGTCCATCATGACTGCAGCACAGTACGCAGCTCAAGGAAAAAACATTTATGATAATTACTTTATCATCACTTTATCATTGAAGTAATAATCACCATATTCATCATTTTGCACTGCAGACGCGGTAGTTCTTCGGCCTTAGCGTCACGGTCTGATTGGATTTCCATGAAGAAATGATCATAAATGTTCTTCCTTGAGCTGCGTAACCCCGCAGCAGTCTGTAATGGACTGTCTCTCTACAAACAAGCAGCTGCTGGAAGAGAGTAGGTGAGTTGTGTTTAGTCTCTTTGCTAAAGAAATCAGGCAAACGAAAAAAAAGGGGTTTGGTGGCTAGTGCTATAACTGGCACCTTATGTGTACTGTTGATGAAGTTAGGTGCTGTTCTGAGCATTATTTGTGGCTATAGAGTGGTGTTTTGGTTGAGTGCATGGTTCCTCAGACCACTGTGTATTGCTATCATGCAGTCATTACTAAAGTTGGTTTAACTAGAGAAGCAAGTGGTTTCAACATTCATCTCCCGACGGGGGGTCTAACTCGGTGTTACGGTGTGTTTGACCCTAAATTAATTTTACGCCGGAATATCCCTTTAATGCCTGCATTATGTAGACTTCCACACAAAATTCCCCTAACATGACTTATAGACTCACACTTCTCACCTGTAGCATGATGCCAAAAGAGAACGGCAGCCATGAAAATGTGTTCTGCTGCATTCATGATAAATTTTCAATATATCTTCTTGGTGTGTTTGTGTTATTGAGTATCAACCTCGAAGTCTCTTCTTAAGGCGGTTAAAGTCTTTCGCCGATCGCCACAGCCAACTCTGTAGCTCTCGCAAAATCCAAAAGCCCTCCACTTTCCTGGCAAAGTCGTTCATCGTGGGCCGCACTGACAGGAGCGAAGAGGAAGACCCAGAGGAAGAGGATGTGGTGGACAGGAGTGGGGTCAGAGGAGGTGAAAGAAGCGAGGTGCCCCTTTGTAAAGACAGAGGAACGGGCTGAGACAGGAGAGTGTGCTCCTCGCCGCCTCTGAACTGGTAGAGGAGGGAGAGGGTGGAGAGGGGAGGTTGGAGGGTAGGTGAGAGGAGGGAGCGAGGAGGCCGACGCTGATGATGGAGAGAAGAGGAAGAGGAGATAGCTTCCATATCTCTGTGGTTCTTGTCTTCCCCCTCTCCCCTTCTGTCCACAATAAATCGGTCCTCTTCTCTGATTGTGTGCGGTTGAAATGAGTTCCAGTTGTAGCTGTACTGATTGTAGTCGTTTACTTGTATGGCTGATTTTCTAAAAGAACTAGCAAACTCTGTACCCCCAAACAGAACTTCTACCTCTCCACCTTCAGCCCCTCCATCTTCATTGAAACTTAACAACCTCCTTCTCATAACCCATCCCTCCAACTCTCCTTCTTGTTGGAGCTCCATTTCACCAACTATCTTCTCAGTCCATCTCTCGCTCTTGGGCTCTTCCCTCCTCCCTCTACCCCCTCTTTCCTTTTTGCCCTTCTCCCTTGATTCGACACTTCTTCCTCTACCTGAAGCTCTCCTCCCCTCTTTCCCTCTTCTTTTTTCCCCCGTGTCCTCTCTCTCGCCTCTCACCACCCTCGTCCCACTTCTTCTTTGGTTGTTGCGCCTCGACTCAGTCCTTGTCCCGGCTTTAGACCTGTAAAGGCTCTGACTCATCAGCGGAGCTGGTCGCACAGCCCCTGTCCCCCTGTGAGGGTATTGATACAGCTCTCCGCCATTACTTCTCATATTTGCTGGAGGAAGCGTGTAACCGAGGGTGGTCATCAGGGCTGATATGGAGCCCAGCAGCCCATCCAGGCCTGTGCAGAAGTGCAGCAGGGAGGTCTTGAGTGAGGGGCAAAGAGTGGAGCGGGCCAGCTCTCTGACAGCAGCCAGCAGAACAGAGTAAGCCTTCTGGTTCTGGGCGAGGCGGGCCTGGTTCTCCAGGCCGTGCCACAACTCCAGACGAGTGGCAGCACTTGGCAAGGACAGAGCTGTGCTGTTAGGGCGAGGAGGGGAAAAGTCTTTCTCGTTGAATGGAGGGCCAAGGTAGGTCAGCTGTGGGAAATGAATGAAAATGAGAAAGTTGGTTCAGTACACATTGTTTGGACCATCATTTTCAAAGTGATGTAACCAGTTTTTCTTTGCCTCTTTCCTTGTAAATTGAAAGAAAGTAAGAATTTGTGTCATGTCTCTACAAGAAAACTCAATGTCATCAAGTAAAGTGAATCAAAGTTAAACTACAATAACAACCTCTGGGCTGCGGAAGTGTTTACAACAATGAATTCACGGTTTGGTTGTGTGTTTTTTTCTCCTCAGAGTTATCTGATCTAACCTGACTGCTCCTGTTTCAAAGCTTGTCAGGTGTCTTTATAGCAGGTTCACAACAGCCTCAGATCTCAAAGTACTGAGAAATACATTATAAATAAAAATAAGAAAAAAAAGGCATATAGATCTGAAATAATTCACAGGTTACACCTCTAGCTGTCAGATGCTGTTAAATGATATCTTGTCCAACTCACTGCTAGACAGTTGCTGCATTCACATGCACAAAAATATCACAGTTATGAACAGTTTAAATGAAAATGCTCCACATTCAGAATAAACAGGCTCAAACAGAATGAAATTTTATTTGGTTGCACAGCAGTGGTGTAAATCTTTTCATAAACAAAGTAAAATAAAAAATATTTTATGAATACACTCGCCCTAAGTGTTGACCATAGTTTTCATGCCCAGTGTGCATACTTAGTTATAAATGGTTATTTTCTGTTTACAGAAGTGGTGCTTTTGTAGTCAAATTTAATGACGGTTAAATAGTTAGTCCGCACAAATCATTTAGTCTTATCAGACGACTCCAGTGCATCCAAAAAACAAACAAACAAACAAAAAAAAACAAGCTAACTTATACACCTCACAGTTTTTCTATTGGCTACTTGTCGTGGGTCGACAGTCTTGTCACTTTGTCTAGCAGCATAGCATGAACTGGCATAAGCATGAGTATGTGTGGCATAGACTATGGACAACTTGGTTCCGCCTTCCGCTATTGCACGGATCTGAAGCCAAAAAGCTCTTGGTAATTCTGCGTTTTCTCTCCATTTCCTGAAACCAACATTGCACAGTAGCATTGTGCACATTTGGTGGGAGGGTCGCCAAGAGTTGCTGTGATGATGCTTGGCAGCGTATCCCCTGGGTGAGCTACGCAATCCTTTACGCCCCTAGGCTGTATCAAGTGTCAATCAAAGAAAACATGAACCCCCTCATAACTTCTGAAAACAGCTGTACAGAAAAAAGAGGACTTGAGCACAGACCAGTCTTACAATAACTACATGTCAACATCGCAAGCAGGGGGGAGAAAAATGTATGTATAGGGCTATACTGCAGCCCGTGACCAGAGGGTGCCGTTCTCGTAGTGGCTTCACCCAGCAAGGAGGCAGACTCTGTCCATTTTATATACAGTCTATGGTGCGTGGTTAAAGAGAGGTGTCAATCAATTCCTTTCGTAGACTTTAGAAGCAAAGATAGGGTGTGGAAATAGCAAAAACGCTACAAGGCTTAGTCCCCATCTGAGTAACCACTTTAGACCATAATAAGTATGAGATTTGAAGGCCCAGCAGTCAGTTTTCACTACGTCTAACACTCTTATCACCTTGGTCACATCCTGGTCCAATGCAAACCTATTTTGAACATACCACACAGTCATTCTGACTAAATTTGTAGATGCATGTTAACACCTGACTTGAATGAATCATATCTCATGTTAACCCCTTTACCAATATTTCAATCATCATGATTTTCGTCAGAAAAAAGACTTGTCTGTGCAGCCATTCAAAAGGTTTGTACCGTGTCAAAACAAACTCGAAAGTTTGGGAACAGAGCTGTCCTACAAACATGTTGTTAGCTGGTGATATGAACTTATCAGCAAACATTTGCCAACACAGCAGTTGCGGAATAACATTATCATTCTTTCGGTGTCACGTTTGTTGTAGTGCACGTTATTCTTTCAAAGCTTACTCTGAAAACAGCTGGATGCTGCTGCTGAAAATGATAATAACAGGGAAAGTGAGCCAAAACTATAAAGTTGTTTGCCTGTGAGCTAAACAAGGAGCTAAAAATATCATGTAGCTCCATAAAGACGAGCTGCAGAATTCAATAATAAATCTAAAGAGGTTTGCTCCTTGCTCATTTTCACATTACTGTCTAATTGATTCATCTTTATTATTTTAATAACATCACAGCTGCTTTAATGGAAACCTTTGCAACGGTGTTTATTTGTGATCCAAAGAGACGTTTTCTCTGCTTTTTCTCTTTTTTGTGTGTATAACAGTTTCATACATTCAAATATATGCAAAACTAGCACACCAAATAATCACAAGTTCAAAAACTGAATAACTTACATATATATCTTTAATTTCCTTGAGCTGATACTCCAGGTATTTTGTCAGTTCATATGTGCTCTCTATTGAACTCCTTTCACTGGCCAGGCTGTGTGAAGAGTCCAGGGCGGTCGCCATGGCAGCTGCCAACAGCAGGACAAGTTGGTGTTGATGGACTGGTGGAAAAATGAAAAAGATGAAAACACAGACAGAGATGTTTAATGTTACTTCAATAACACCCACATGATGAGTATATAGGTGATAACGAACATTCCCCACAGAGGTATTTACAATCAAAACATGGAGGTGAAACTTAGCTCTGCCCTTATTACCTCAGACATTTTGAACCTGAGAAGTGTTTTTAATAAATGTGAGAGCTGAAAAAATACACCTATCATCAGCTTGTAATATTACCTCCTGTCACTTGTGCTATCTGACTGTTAACAGATATTTATACAATATTCTGGTTTCGTCTCTTCTCACACTGCCAATAAGGCTTTTTCTGTTTCCAGTCTAACTGGAGTCGTTTCTGGCTGTCAGAGGTTTACTCTGGCTTCAGATAAAACCTCTCGTAATGACTTCAGACAGTCAGACAAATAGCTCCTATGTTCATTGCACTGGTCTGTCAGGCAAACAGCTACACAGACACACACACGCTCATTCCTGCCTGATAACCCAAAAACAAAGACATATGGCTCTCTTTACAATCATAAACATTAATGTGTTTGTATCAGTTGTATGTGGACTTGTTTAGGTTTCATGGTGTTTGGGGGGCGGGGAGTATGTTAAAGTGTGAGTGTTTGTAAGAATGTTTGAAGCCGTTATCATACATGTAGATTAATTTCACATTGCTAAGGGGGTAAACAAGGATTTTGAGTGTGTGTGTCGTGCTAATAAGTGTGTGTGTCTAAGAGTGGAGGGGGTTGTAACACTGCAAACCTTTTAGCGCTCCTGCCTCTGGTTTCAAACAGAGAAAATTGGAGCTGAAAGGTGGTTTTGAGTATTAAGGAACTTCATGTGCGTCTCCTTTCTCCATCTACTGCTTGATGTCTGTCCACAGTCTCTTTCTTTGCTTTGACACCCACGGTAGGCAGATGTGATTCATGCTTGTGATTATTGGTAAAACATACTTCTGTTCAACAGGTGTGAGGAATATATTACATGGTATGCATCACCCTGACAGCTTTCTCTCTTTTGCTGTCTTTTTCTGACTCATCTTGGGCCTCTTGTTGCTTCACCAACCTTAACCAACCCAGCAAACAGGTCACGCTGCACTCAAACTTTCCTTTCTCCTTCAGCATACCTTTCTTCCCCCGCTTTTCTTCCCTCTCTCCTCGTCATGACGCTCTTATCTCTTTTCTGCCTCGGGTCAAAATAACAGCAGCCAATTAACCCCGATTAGCTCCTCCACTTTGCCTCTTTGCAAAGTTTTTCTTGTGCTTTCTTCTACCTACAGCGACGGCCCCACAGGAGGAGAAAGATTTAATGCAAACCTCTTCAGCACTTGCTAAATATTTACCTTCAACACATTGTGGTGGTGCTGAAAAAAACAACAACTATTTCTGGCTGAAAACAGTTAACATTTTTTTTTTCTTCTGAGTCAACTGCTTACATTTTTTCATGTATTGTTTACATCTACAATTTGGGTTTGGTGGGATTTAATTAAGTAAAACTATATAAACCTCCAAACAACAGAGAGATGTCTGTGCTTTACAACTCAAATAAGACCGTGTTATACAACTGCAATTCCAAAAAAGTTGTGAGGCTATGCAAAATGTAAAATATTAATAAATTTGATGGTTTATGAATCACTCAAAGCCTATATTTAATTGAAAATAGTGCAAAGAGCACTTATCCATTGCTGACAGTGAAAACTTTTATTGATTGAATGTTTTTGATGGGTGACATGTCAGGATTGGCAGGCCACCTTAGTACCTGGACTCTTCTACTACAGAGCCATGCTGTTGTAAAGGATAAAGGCTTTAGTTGGTGTTGTCACAGATGTGGTGACTACTTGTACTTTGGGCACTTATGCATTCCCATATTACCATGAATGCTTGCCTGTGAGTATGAGTCGAGTATGCAGTGTCCATGATTTCCAAAAGACTGTCAAGATTTTCATATCAGACCACAGGACAGTCTTTCATTGCACCCCAGACCATATTATTATTATTAACATGGCAGGGGCCCAGAGGATGTAGACAGTGGTCTCTGGGAGTGATTTTGAGCCCATGCAGTGATTTCTACTACAGAGACACATTTGTTTTTGATGCAGTGTCCCAAAAGATAAAGGGGCCAAAAATCATGCCCATCCAGTACTTGTTTTTGGTCTTGTCGCTGTTTCTCTAGATTTTTTTTTAATATTTCATATTATAATATGTAATAATGTAAATCAATTACAATTTCAGGGACTCAGCCTACCTGAAAGCCCCTTATGTACCCAGTCATGTGACTAACCCTTTACAAATTAACCAGTTTCTTGGAAAATGTTCCTCTGGCTGTTTTGTTTTTGTTTTTCTATTGGCATTACCCAACTCTTTAGTGTATACATTTGGTATTAATTTATGCCTCCTATTATACTTAAAGAGAACACTGTATATTTTTCTAAATCAGAGAAATTTTCAGTTTCAATTTCATGTAGAATTTTCGCACTATTTTCAATTCAATGTAGGGTTTAAATGAATTGCAAACCATCTAAATCTGTTTTTACTGACATTTAACACAGCATCCAACCATCGTGGAATTAGGGTTGTAACCCCATTGAACAAGGCATGGTGTCCAGATGAGAAATGTGGAGAATTGTGTTGTAATTTTTTTTAACCCTCTCTTTGCCAGCATGTTAAGACAAAAAAGAAAGCAAATCATAAGAAACATTCCAGAATTACATAAGCCCTGTTAATTTTCATCTACATTTAAATGATGACATGACAAGTAACCGTCTTAATACAGCCTGTCAAACTCAAGCGCCCTTAAAAAAAATAACTTACTTGATAACTCAGATTCTGATGACAGAGTGAAAGACAGATCAGGAACAGGCAGTTTCAAATTAAAACAGTGTTAAGAATAGTCATCTGAGTGACAGGGACAAACAGCTTCCTCCAACTGCCTCCTGGCCTGTGACTCCTCCGCTACCTGTTGGCCCTGTGCTGTCGGCTACATCAAAGCTTCCCCTCAGACTATTATCTTAAACACAGTGGTTTGGCACAGGTAACTCCCACATGCTCCCACACACACCTTGAAATCAGTCAACTAGGACAGCTCCTGTCAGCCAAGCCTTCTCCGGTCTCCTCAACCACAAAAGCCTCATCACCTGTCAGAAGCAATAAGCATCTTTCAGCGATGCCTGAACATTTGGAGCTCATCAAGCCACGGGCTCCTCCCACCGAACATCCTCCATTAGCATCAAAACAGTCTGCAATCAACGCAGCATTGTTGACTCCCAGAGTAAACAGCCCTAAAGGAGGAGGGTTGATGGTGTGCAAAAAGGGTCGCATTAAGGAGAAACAGGTACAAAAAATAAAGTTAGACAAATAGAGCGAAAGAGAGAAAACTCTCTTTTGGCAAAAATCAACTCAAACTGTTTCAAACTGTTTCCTTTTGTCTGTTGCCACATGTTTGAGATGATTGCCAGACGTGCAAGTCTCCTGATGTTTTGATTGAGCGCTGACATGTCTAAAAGCATCCTGCGCTGTCTTTAAAACGACTGCTCTTCTGTACAAGTTAAGTGAGATAACTTAAACTAAGAGCCGTGTTCTTGTTATATAATAATTCACTGAGTAGCTACGCTATAGTCGGCATATAGACAAACTTCAAGGGGAGCCCTGCGGGCTTGAGACTGTGTCTGTGTACCTGGCAGTGGAAGCACACTCTTCAGGGCAGGGCTGAAACCAGAACATTCTCTGTGGGAGGATTGCATTACAGCAACACAGGGGTTCCCTACGTTGGCCGACCATGACCTGCCTCTGTGCACTTATGTGTGTGGGACTCTGAACATTTTGGCACACACACCTATTAGGGTTACACATGCACACTCAGAGGGGGTTACATTATTCACAGCAGATCATATTTTTTGTATCTCCGCTTTTTTCACTCATGTAGTCAGATGTGGCACTCCAGAGTCTGGCTGCCATCTGCTACTGCAGAGCTGAACGCCAAGTCTGGGGTACAGAGCCTCTGAAATACACTTTGAGAGTCTGATATCACCGCAGGTTCAGGGTTCAGAGTTGAACTGCAAGGTTGTGTTTGGGCTCAAGCAGAGTCTCACAACACTCTTCACATTTTACACTACAGACTGTATTTTGATAAACCAGTGACCCAGTGTTTGTGGGCGACGTACCGCTTCCAGTCCTGGAGGACTAATATTTCATCTTTCCCAACATATACCACCATTTGAGGTTTTAAACAAGCACTAAAACTGAATTTGGGATTGTGGGAAATCCATGTGTAAGTTAATCTCTACAGTCTGGGCCAGGAAAAACTAGCTTCAGCGCCAAAAGAGGTTGCCCTCCATTGCTCAAACCACTTGAAAGATGTCTTAAACAGAAAGGAAACATCAGTACATCAAAGATGTTGTAAATCCAGTCTAAATGAGATGTTTGTAATTTCCAGTACAACTTTGATTTGATGAGTGGTGTTGCATACTTTTTGGTTGGGCTTACAATGCTAATCTTTCACACAATTCAACAATAATCAAGCCTGATTTGGGAGAAAAAAGGTCTGATTATGGTGTGTGGTTTTTCAGAGGGAACCAAATCTTATCACATTGAGTATCATTAAGACTTTGTGCAGAACCTCCCAACTTGAGTTAAGCTACAGGACAATATCAGACAACAGATGATGTTAAATTCAATGTTTTGGAGAATTATTTAAAACAGGATAAAGTCTCAGCTACAGACACACAAGGACAAATTCCTTTTGAATTGTGTTCAGCCATCTCCGAATCTGATTGGATTAGCTGAACAGGATGTTTTTAATGTTTCTTTTCACTATCTGGCAGAGTGGAAACTGATCCAATATAGACATTGAAGATTTGATTTTGGCAGTAATGCTGACCTCAATCTCTACTTGAATCATGAAGTTACGTTATTTCTAAAGCTGGCTACATGTGCATCAAGGATCGAAAGAAAGAGCTGCTAGACATCCTTATGCTGACTTAACAAAGTATCAAGATTGTCATCCTTTGACACTAAGCCATAATACAGTCCTTAATCGCCTTATTATTAATTAGTTTTCATTCTGAGATAGTGACACAGTTTAACTGATTAGGATGTCCCATGAAAGCTAGCTCTAGAAAGCTCTCAATTTGATATCTTTTATTAGTAATAAATGATTATATTGTATTATCCAATCAATAAAAGGACAGCACCTGATTATTATCCTTTTGTGGTTCAGATGTGTCACATTTCTCTCAGTGTGTTTCCTCTGACTTGTCCTGTGTTTTAACTTTTATCATACTTTCATGTCAGAGGTGAGGCTTCAGGGTCACTATGAACCATCAGAATCAACATCAGATGACTTGTATGTTCTTGCATGGCTTGTTTTGTTGTTGTTGTTGTTGTTGTTATTGTTCCCCTGGACTCAACCTGATGACAACTTTTCCATCTGTCATAATGCTTACTCTGAACATAAACACACCTGTGCATGATGCCAGGGGCACAAACATGCCCACACCAGTAGACCGATGTGATGGCTATAACAACAGTGGAAGTAAAAAGAGACGCACGCTGGACCTTCAGTGAGGTGAGTGAGGGTGAAAAGAGGGTGAGGGGTTTGACAGTCTGGGGTCAGGGTCAGTGTTGTGTGTCTGTGTACAGTTAAAGGCCAGATTTATGTGCAATCTGTACTCAATCAAATGTGCATTCCTCTACTAACTCAACACACACACAAGCACAAGCACACATGCACACACATGCATCCACATTGTGCAGTGGAGCGTAGAACCATGTCTGCACAGACCCTATACTGAATAAATACTCATAAACAAAGCATTGTGTATTCAGGCACACAAACACACACACTTTTCCCATCACCTCTCCCATGAGATCGCTTCCCTTGGAGTTTGTTCAGACCGAATTTAAAATTGATCCTCTTGGCACTGGACACACACCCCGGTTGCCAAACAACATCAATGACCCACAAACAAAGGCAAAAGAAAACAGACATAAAAAAAATCCAATAAAAATTGTGTTTATGCAAAGAATCCCTGTGTGTAGCTATTTCTTGCTAGTCGTAAACTCCACATCCTCTGTTTAGTTCCCTTTCTTACGCCGGTGTCTGTCTCCCCTCTTCACCTTATAAAGCCAATCCATCTCTGTCTTTTTTTAAATCTGTGGATTCCAGCCGCTCCGGGCTCTATCACCATGTTTGGTTTCAATTTCTTTGTCGCTCAAATGTCCCCCTCTCTCTCCCCAAATCATCCTGAAATGTCAAACTTCCATTTTAAAGTTTCCTTCCTTTCTCTCCCTAATTACTGCTCCCCTCTCTTCCTTTCACTAATTGGCTCCACGAGTTTGCCGCAACAACTTTCATTCCCTCCATCCAACTGTTTTTCAGACCTTCAGCTTTTAATGGACTAAACACCACTACCAGTCTTCACCTCAGTGTTTTCTCTTAAAAAAAAGAAAAAACACCTTCAAAAGTGATCGGACAAGAACATGCTGCTGAATTCATGAATTTAGAGATAAAGCTTAGAGAGCTAACATCTGACTATTTTCTATGCACAGGGTAACTTTTCAAAGGAGGGATTGATCTTTTAAGACAGCTAAATAAAAAAAAAAAAACTCTCTGGTTCTAATTTCAAAAATATGAGGAAACTCTGTTAGATCTTTTAAAACCTTTTAACTCATTGTTGAAAACAGGAATGATTTGAAGATGTCAATTTAAGCTTTAAGGAATTATGATTCTGAAAAACCATGAAGTTGAACTGTTTCTGGTATTCTAGACAAAACATTGAGGGTTTTACATGCAGTTTTATTGCTAAAATATGTTTGATTTTGGTTACTGTCACATTGTACATTCTTGTTTTATAGGTCTGTTTTTAAAATTATGTGTTGTTGTTGTTTTTGTAAATGTTGTGGCAAAATATATTCTAGTTGTAACTTGAGTCTGGTCTGAATTTGAAACATGTCAGTTTGTACCCTTGTAAAATCTGGGCTAATAATAAGAGTTTTTGAACTTTTTCCTTGACTTTATTTATCTATTTAAAAGGAAATTTACTTTGAAGGTTAGTGGGCAAAAAGGCCATTTAAGTAGAACAACACTTACTAATGAGACCTTGTGATTCACCAGTAACACCAATTTAATAATGTAATCTAATGATATCTTAATTCCTGCAATATTGAAAACTTATTTTAGTCCTCTGTGAATGATAGGAAACTGAAGTTTTGATTATCACGCTTTTCACAGAGAGAATATTTCCACAGTGTGATACTGCTAAAGTAACAAATCTGATTTTGGATCTACGATTGATGAGAGATATTAGAGGGTCTTAAAGGATCAGGACAGAGAGGAGGAGGAAGAGAGGATTTAAATGGAGGGAGGGAGAGGAAAAGGAGTTGGTGGAGGGGAGAGAGCAGGGGAGACTTTTCTGAAGCGAGGGGCCATGTTAATTTGGGAAAAATGTAAACAGCATGTGTAACTGTTCAAAGCGTGACCGACTCATTTTATATCATTCCCCCCTACTCTCTCTCTCTCTCTCTCTCTCCCCCTCTGGGTGCTGCTAACTTCTGTCAATCGGGAATCTGTACTGCATTAACCCCTCTACCGCCAGTTCCTCTCTCCCTCTCTCTGTTTACTTTTATCTACCTCTACCTCTCTTTTACTCCCTCTCTCGCCCCCAACACACACTCATAACCCCCGCCTCTACACATCCTCTTGACATCCGTGTATGTACCATGAAGAATTGAAGATGGTGCTGAGCGAATCATAAGATGTGAAAGGTTCATTTTTTACACATCCCCTGCTCTCTCTCTCTTCATTTTTCTTTTGTTTCCTTTTGTTGGCTGTTGTGTTTTAGCTCACTGGTCCAACACACACTAACACTTTATCTGAAACACACCGACACTAATTCAACCTTCCCAGCAATAACAGGCCCTGGGTGAGTGTGTGTGTTCAAGGAACGAAAAAGAGGGAGAGAGGGATAGACAGGGAAAAGAGAGGTAGAGAGGGATAGGAATATAGAGAAAAAAAGGAGATAGAGAGACAAAAAGAGTGTTTAATAAAAGACTAAATGTATTTGCATCTTTCTGTGAAATTGAATGGCTATCATGTTTATGTGCCCACCTGGGGACCTGAACTTGTTAAAGCAGACACATTTGGGGACTGACCATAGGGGGACATCGTGCAAGAGTGCCTGTAATGGGGACACTAAATTTATGGGTGTAGATATGGTTTAAATTTGATGTTTTGGTGAAGGTCAGAGCAAAGGTGAGGGCAGCACATCGGGAGAACAATAAGAGTGTGACTTAGTGTGTTTGTGAGTGTGTGCATCATTGTGTTTAACAGATTGGCTTCTTAAAGGTTTATTTGAGTATCAAATGGAGTTTGTTTTGCACTTTGCTCTCTATTTAATGCTCCTCTAGTTACACCTAATTTGCTGATGGCAGGCTGTGCTACATGATGTTAGTGACCACCAAACGGGATGAGCAGAGCGGGAATGGACAGCGCGAGGAACTTAGTGATCTTTTGTGCAGCGCATCATTTCTCATTTCATTGCACAGACCTACTTCAGTAAACCCTCATTCCCTCTTTCTTTCTTTCTTTCACCTCCTTTTCTTTCTTTAGACATGGAGCAGCAGCCGCACCAGGCCTTCCCAAGGGATAAAGAGTGTGTGAGTGCATGCATGTGTGTTTCTTTGAGAGTGAGTGTGTGTGTCCGCTCACACCCTGACTAACGTGAATCATGTACTTTCTCATATCAGTGACAGCTAACTAGACAGGGGCTTTAGCTGCCTCTGACCCCCTCAACCCCTGTCATTTTTTACTGTGAATAAGGGCCCCAACCCACCCACCCACCCCTCTCTTTCTGTCTCTCTCACACACACGTACATAAACACAAACACACACATACACCACTTTACTTCCTCTCTCTTTTTTGGCATGAAAATCGCCGCCTCCACACACACATTTTCTTGAAAAATCTAAAAATGCTATAAAGAGCTTTATAATTAATCTACTGACATTTTCTGAGTTTCTTTGATAACGTTGAAGGTTCAATTATGTACCACAAAATACGTTTGCAATACCTTACATTTTGTGATATAAAAAATAAAATTAATGAATGACCAGTTTACACAAATTTTGAATATGTGAAAAACATAAATTCACGTAATATCATCTTAGCATGGAAAAAAACTGAAATAAGGAATGATCAAGACAAGAGGATGTACAGGTCATTTGATTGTTTTGTTTTTTTTTAATCTAAAAATTGTATGTTTTATATCTTTAAATATTTATTGTATATCTTTACTTGAGTACCACTATTCACCGTATTCTTCAAATAACATTTAAGACTTTTCCAACCACAGATAAAACTCTTAGAGAGACAAAACAAACTCCTATTGGATTAGGGGCAGCAAAGTTTCAGTTACGCCAAATGATAGTAAATGACAGTAAAATTTGGGTTATAATGACATGTCAGTGTGTTACTTTTTCTTTTCTAATTTTTTTCTTTGATCAAAAGTTTTGTGACTCCTATAAAAAGTTTAACATCATTAAAGAGGAGCCTACTCACCTCTACAGAAGCTTTTCATTTTCTCCAAATCCTTTTATTCCGTCCAGTGCTCTCTCTGAAGTTCATCCACCAACAAGTTGAATTAAAGCGATAATGATGCCTCTTCTAAAAAAGTCTAAAACTTTCCATCACGAGCTGGTCCAAATAAATCTACTGTGCTCCCTCTGCAAAACTCTGGAGATGGTTCGGAAAGAAGGCAGGTGATGTCGCGTCCTAATATCTCATGAGGATATGTATAGATGTTGATGAAATCAGATGAATTATTTTAGAGAAGATGAAGTTGAAATATTGACGGTCCGCTGACTTGGTGCGTGTGGTCCGTGTGACAGGCTGAATGACGGCGGAGCCTTTTTGTACCTCCTCCTCTTTACCCTTCTCTCCTTTTCTTCCCCTCCTTTCCATCCCAGTTTCTCCTTCTTTCGTTATCCTCCTCCTCAGAATTGCTGGTGAATCACCGGATTGACGCATCGCAGTTCAGCTTTGACAGTGCCGCGGATCTTCAGGACTTGTCACAACTCATATCTGTCTCCCTCCGCTCGTCATCCTCCTGAACTCAGTCTGACTACCGCTGTTTGATCTCTAATCTGCCTGCCTTTAATAAGGTGCGAGTCCGGCTGGATCAGATCACTACAGGGCAGAAGGACCCGGCGACCCCGAGACCCACAAATGATGCAGGAATCAAGGAATTTAAAAGTTCCTTCTTCATCTCTTTTATCTTGCGTAATTTTCAGAGAAACTTTTCTTTACCCCCAAAATATATGTGATATTCTTGTTCACTCACATTGTCTCTTCATGAAACTGGTCAGTGTAACATCATTATAGTATTGTTACTCATATTGTTAGTAAGTCTACTTTACATCAGGCGTGCGCAAATTGTGGGTTATTTAAGTTAAATCTCAGGATTTTGTAAAATAAACTTTAAAAAGTTGGATTGGCTGAACAAGTCTGCCAGAGTGTCGAAAGGAATACCGAAAAAGCGAAGTAGGGTTCACTGAGGAGTCTTTGACGTTAACATCTGTCGACAGTAATATAAGGACACAGGGGTCTATAAATTTGGGCGCCCCTAGTAAACTGCTGTAGAATGCAACACAGGTTGGGCCTATCACTGTATCACCAGAAACACAGCCCCGAATATAAAATAGGCCTACTCTGTCTGTCTGTCTGTCTGTCTGTCTGTCTGTCTGTCTGTTTTTCCCTTTTCAGGTTGAAAACAAGTGTGCGCCTGCTCCTCTCTCTCCATTCCTCAGGTTTTAGTTTTTATTGACAGTAGGATTACAGTGATCTTCTTCTCTCACCTCCATCTGTCAATCAGCGTACATAAGCGCAGCAAACCATCACGAAAACGCGTTTTACATGCGCGTGCACGTGGGGCAGGGGAATTCACAACTGCTGATAGGCCTCTTTCATTCAAGTCAAGCATTTCAAGAAATGTCACACTCACCTTTGTGTATGGTTCCTTTGGTTAAAACTCATGTACCATGACCAGTCTGCATCCTTTTCACAATAAGCAAGTAGCAAGTAGGCCTCTATGGTTTAGGCATGACCTTGTGATATAAGACCAAAGGATTACTCTGTCAAATGAGCTTGTCTGAACTGATTATAATAGCCTACTTTTAAATCAATACTAAATAATTCTCAAAAAATACATTGATGTCACACTATTTATTGATTGACCTTTTTTCCCATTATGTTGCACTGTCTCAATTTCCTCAAAGAAATTCATTTTTTGTGAAAAGTAGGGCTAAGAAATCAAATCTGTAGGTACTGATCAGAAGGTCAAATAAACTGCAGATTTATTGAGGCCATGTGTTACAATTTACAAAGGGGCTTCATAACTCCTGCTCAGGAGCACCCAATAATATTTAACAAGAGTTTCTTCCTGCTGTTTCATAGAGTCCTCCCCGTTTAAGATCTGCATAAGTAACCCTGAAAGCATTTAATAACAATATTATGAAGTAGACTCTCCACCTTTCAGTACAGAGGTAGTCGTCCCCTCTTATTCATACACCTGAAACTGTATTCAGCTGTGTTTTGAGTCACTTGGTTTGATTAAAATAAAGAAGAAAGAAAACAATTTTAAAGTAGATTTTTTTTAAAATGGACACAGAGAAAAAGAATTGTAAAATAGAGGAAAAATAAACCAGGTCCTAACAATTTGATGTGTTGTGCGCCACCAAGTGGTTATGTAGGGTTCACTGCAAATTTCGTGTCCGTGCAGACCCCCCAGTAAGTTTTTATTTTCAATTTTACGTAACTATAAGCACCTGTTAAAAATATCCCAAATTCAGCTAAATCCAATCCGTGACTAAAAGTTTGTACGTTTCGTTTATATGTTTATTTAAAAAAATATATAAGATATATCAAACCGGAAGTAAAAGTAGACGACCCTGTTGTTTCCTCTGACGTAGCGCTAGCTTCCGATGCTACACGCGGGAAAGAGGCGAAGCTGCTCCTCACACTGACAGTAAGTCACGAAGTTTTCCAAATATTTCATTTCTGCTCTTTAGACACTCTCTTTTGGATATATTTATTGAGTCTGCTTTTACACTTCACCTACGTGTTTCATATTAAGCTATTACATTTACAAAACAAACTCTGAATGTCTCTTTTTGTGCACCGGCCTACCTCTGCTGGGCTGCTCGATATTGTGTACGGAGTGTCTCTGCATGGCGGGGTCGTTGCGCGTGCAGTCAGCTTGTGCTAGAGTTTAGAGTGAGTGCAACACTGTGCGGTAAAAGAAGCGCTCCCTAAACTAGTATTTGTAGCCTAGCTATTGTGGATGGCGCAGCATGGATCACAGAAAACCTTTATTCACCGTTTTAGTTTTACCGAACGGTCGAGCTTTCGCTTAACTAAAAGTCAGAAGAAATTTAGAAATATACGTACAGGTCCAATGTGGATAAGATTACATTTTACAGTCCACAACAGAGAGCGCGGTGTGCTAGTTTGGCTAACTCTGAGCTTTACTCGGTGCTTTAAGCTGTGAATGAGGAGTTTATTAGCCCAGATTTTACAAAGATGAACAAGTTCACTGGAAAATTAAAAATTGAAGTATAAACACCAACATAAAGTCCATTCAGGAACTTATAGCAGAGCTGCAGATGAATCCTCCTCCGTCTTTCATCAGTCTGACTTATTGTTCAGTCACTGCGAGTCTACACAATCATGTTGTCATCAAAACCTTCAAAAAATCTTAAGAAATGTTGCTTAAACCTTTTATTCCCTTCTTGTTTGGTAATGTAGTGCACAAAATAATACTCTCCAGTGCACAACCACCGCCTATTATGTCCTTAGTAACAAATATGAATTAAAATAATCCTGCTTTGATCATGTCAAGAAAAACAGACAATTTAAAAGCTTCCTGAAAGTAGAATTCACAGTAAAACTGTTGTTTTAGATTGCATTAGAGGCTCAAGACTTACCTTTTTCACCGGGCTTTTCACCAATTGCCTTTTTATATTTCTCCTAGTGCAAATGTTCATTTTAATCAAAGTTCTCAATGTTTTTTGTCATTTTATTAATTATCTCTGTTCTTAGTCTTTTTCTTAATTCCCATCTTAGAGATTGATTACTTCTTTTACCCCTTTTACATGGTAAAAACTTTTTACTTATCTGTTCATTTAATATTATTCTTTTGTGCTAGTCCATCAGGTTTTAGTCTTTCTTTTTACCATTTCATTATCTTTTAATCTCCAGTGTTTCCCAAAGGTAACTCTTTTCTCACGTCATGTCTCTTTGACAATATATCTTAAATTCTCACACTGTGTCTGTTGTCTGTGTGTGTGTGTGTGTGTGTGTGTGTGTGTGTGTGGGTGAGTGAGGGTGTGTGTGTATCTTATGTGCGGGTTTTATTTTTGTTAATTGTTGTATTTAGTCCCTTAGAGGCACTTTAAACTGCGTTTTTTTTGTCTGAAAAGTGCCATAAAAATAAAAGAAAATAAAGTTGAATTTGGTGTTCATGTTGGTCTGCCTGATCAGGGGATGTAGGGTCCTTGTATTGATGGATCTATCTAATGTAAATGCATTTCCCTCCTTCTGTCTGTAGAGCATCAGAAATCATCTACAGCTGAGATGGGAGACACGCTGGAGTTCAACGAGATTTATCAGGAGGTCAAAGGTTCCTGGGTTCGTATCCTCATCAGTGGTTCTTAACATGTCATAGCGGTTCTTATTGCACTAAAGTAAGCAAAAGTGTGGGCATATTGTGTTGGTTTTTTATACATGTGTGTAAAGATGTGATTTAACTATATTGTGTGTCCATATAAGCAGTGTACTGAAAACTGTCCAGGGTATAGACCTCCTAAACTAAATCAACCACCTCTGTATTCAAACACATGAAGAAAAGATTTGTACTGAAACAAAGGATACTGTCTCTCCACGTACTGATAAACACATGAGAAAGCTGCGATACCTGCTCAGTAATAAGATAAGATATTCCTTCATTAGTCCCACAGGAGGAAATAACAAAATATTGTCACTGTCAAAGATTTTCTAAACAGTAAAGTAGGTTAATCATGAAAACACTGTACTGTTTGATTGAGAAAAAGATTAATAACAAATCTTTCAGTATCAATGCTAATTTGTATAATCGGTTCATCTGTATTTTAGATGATTATAATCTTTTATTTTTGATATTATGATATTGATAATATGTCAAGTCTTAGCCTAGCATTGCGACACAAGTTGTCCTTAATAAATTTGGTCTAAGACCTTTCATTTAAATTTTCCAGGGTTGTGAGCAACGGAGTATACCACCCACATCTGTTTAGATTAATGCAGCACTGGATGCAGTGTATAGCGACAAAAATGTTCCATTTTAGATAGAGGACTGTGATTGGATCTGTTTACCTGACAATAAGGTGGAATTATTGTTCCAGACCCACCTGGCTGCCAGCTGAAATGAATATAAGACAGTTGATGGATCTGAAAGTCCTCTTTTCAGATGAACAAACTTTATATAACCTGGGAAATCAAGGTCTTCAAATCTCCGTGGAGTCTCCTAGAATCAGAAGAAAGCGTGGAGAGGCACAAAAACTAAAGCATTTCAAGTCCATTGTAAAGTTTCCACAGTCTGTGACGATTTTGGGTGTCATGTCCTCTGGTCATGTTGGTCCACTGCGTTTTATCAATCTCAGAGCCCATGCAGATGACTACCAGGGGATATTTTTGTTCTCTTAATGCTTCCATCTGCTTTCAAGCTTTAAACAGATGCCAGTTTCTTTACCAACAGGACATAAAATACAGGACAGAAATAAAAGCTGAGCTGGAGGAAGCTATCAAAGTAGAACAGGCTTTAGTAACCCTTCAGCAGTGCCACAGGCGGATTGCCTCCATGTCACACTGCATTAATGTAGTAATTTATGGTAAAAGTAAAAGACACAACCAAGTACTGAGAACATGAATTAGTATTATTTCAGACGGTGGGTATTTTCTTATACATATTAATTTGTTGACACCAATACAGATATTTTAATCTCACAGATAAGAGGTTCTTGTTATTAATTATTACTCTTCACTAGGGCTGAAACGATTACTCGAGTAACTCGAGTAACTCGATTAATAAAATTCCTCGAGGCAAATTATATGCCTCGAGGAATCGTTTAAATCCGGAACCATGTGCAGCGCACGGTGTTTGACACGGACGGTTATTTCTGTTGCGCAGAAGCGTGCTCTTTCCGCTGCCGCGCGTTTGGTTCAATCATGGAGGGAAACAAGGACAGACAGAAGCTGTGTCCGAAATGGCATACTGCCTGCTATCTACTTACCTACTCAAGCAGTAGCTACTGCCTACTGACTACTCAAAGATGATTTGAGTATGCCGCGGCTGCCCGAGCGTTTACACACATACATACTAAATACCCCAGAATGCATTTCGTGCCGGCCGGACGCAGCGCCGGGAAAATTTAAATAGTCCTACCACAAGCTACATAGAACGACTGCATACCGGACAAATTATATAAATTCATTCAATAATAATATTTTTTCTAGCGAGAAAGTAAGTGTTTACATCACGATTATGAGCCCAGTTGTTTGAAATAGTGGCTGTTTGTAAATTTGTCTCGGCGTTTTCGGAGACCGAAGCGTCCACTTGGTCGGTGTTTGCGTCTATTTACCGTAAACACCGGGCAGCAGCAGCTCCCCCTTCACGTTTCCAAATTATTGCGAAGTGTTTTCATAATCAACATCTACACGACACAAACCGGGCGGCAGTGGATGAAAAAAATCACACAAACATCCGTGTATCCATGGTGATAATGCTATACACCACCTGCTAGGCGTGTGATGAGCAGCAGAGGGCTGCAAAATGACCAACACACAACAACATGTAAATAAAAATGTAACACTTTTATATATTGAATAAATGTACATTTGCTTGTCAAATTATGTTAGTATCCAAGAATTATATTATTTCAGCCTATTAATTAAACAAGTAAAATTAGATCCAAAGCCTGGAAATAGTTGTGACTGGTTTAGTGAAAACTGCAAAGATCATTACCATAGCAATTAAAAGACCATCTGCAGACCTTGCCTTCAGTAGTTTCATGTGAACTACATGGTAAAATGTAAAACTTTTGGTTCCTGATTAATGCAGTAAAAATATTCATTTGAAAGACCTGGCCTATTTCAGTTTTGTGTGTTACTGATGGTTTTTAATGAGGCAAACGTGATTCAATGCAAAGTATTACAGTGAGAGCAAAACATTTCTTATCCGATTACTCGATTAATCGACAGATTAATCGATAGAGTACTCGATTACTAAAATAATCGATAGCTGCAGCCCTACTCTTCACCAAAGATAATGAATTGGATTTAGTTTTCAGAGAAGGACAATACGAAACAGGACATCTCTTTTAAATGACTCTGTTGTCTTCACTGAAACTGTACAAGACTGACAAAAATCTGACATCTCTCACTTAATTATCTGAAACAAGGTCTAAATTCAAATTGATCTCCTCAACTAGGTCAGAAACTCGTAGTTGTTGATCATCCTTTCAGCTGCTGAGGATTTTCTGATGTAGTCTTTTTGGCCCATTAAATAGGTAGGGGAAAACTACTGGAGCCCAAACTGACCACTCCAAATTGCTTGTTATGTCTCAAACCCAAACATTATGTCAGTATCATGACTTGCAAAACCATAAAATGTTGACGTGGAAAGTATTGGCACCAGGGAATACTTGCCCTTAAAAATGCTGAGACAATGACGCTGATGGTTAAAAAGGCAGATAAGTTTCATCAGTTAAATAATCAGATATTGAACTTTAGAGTTGGTACAAATCCTGTGTCTTTTCTGTCTGCAGAATGACGGGCGGCTACGGTTTAGTAAGCAGAATGTGGTTTATAAGAGCAGCAAGACCGGGAAGGTGGACAGCATCCCAGCCGGAGAGCTCAACCTGGCCGTGTGGAGACGAGTGTGTTTGGGTCACGGCATCAAGCTTGGCACCAGCACAGGACACATCTACAAATACGACGGCTTCAGGGACACCGTGAGTGTAGCTTCATCTTTTTTTCCTCGTGTGGAAAGTCAGTAGACTCTGAATCCCGCCCACCCGGTTGTATTTTTCTGTTTCTGGGAAATAATCGTTACCGTACACAGATGAGAACAAGGCAGCAGTGGAATATTACAGACTGACACACACTGCGCTGTGATTACATGAAGTGATGTAACAAAAGCTACACAGAATAAACAACTCCCATCATGTATCTGACATTTTCCACTGAAAAAAAAAGAAAAAAAAATTCAAAATGCTACCATCTTGCGAAAAGGCCACCACCTGAGTGTGTGTATGTGAATGGATGGGCTCTCCTCTCCAGAACTCCTAATGGGATTAATGAGGGAAACCAGCACTAGCATGTGTGTTCCATAAACAGTGTAATCATCGGCTCATGTGAGTCAGTGTTTATGTCAATCTACTGAGACAATTTGGCTCGGAGGAAAGATGAGGGGGGAAAAAATCGCGGTTGTATTTGTTTTTTATCATTGTATTCTTTTCTCTGCTCTGAGTTTGTGGGGATTGTCAGCACGCATGTTAAAAAAAACGGGCCGAAGAGCGGGTAAAACCTGGAGTCTCGGCAGCTCCGTCTCCTGGGGTTAATCAGCGTATTTTTTAGGAGATGGATTCTCTTGTCCCGGAGCTCAGGGCGTGATGTCATTGTTTATTATCCCAGAGCCAGTGTCAGTAATCGGATGTTGGCTGGAGGTTTAGCTGCTGGCGAGCTGTACAGAAGCTTTGATGCATCTGTCCCAATAAAGTGTCCTTAAGCAAGATGTTGGCTCTCTCCCAGAGAGGAACAGTCTGCGGGGGGATCAGCGGGGGCACAGGCATTTGTCTGACTTCTTCCCATGTTCATGTGTCGTCTGTAATCAGCCTGGGACATTGTCACATACATGGACTGTGTGTAAGTGTGCACGGACTGCTCATGTAGTTGATTAGAAAATGAAACCTTAGTGTGTCTCCAGACTGAAATCTCTCCACATGAACAGCCATGAAACTAATAATGATCATAATCTGGTGTTCACTGCAGAGCCACTGTGACGGATGAAGGTTAATGTTAAAAAAAAAAGTCATATATTTTCTTCTTGAAGAAAAGTTAGTTGAAATATTAATCTGGTTCCTTCAAAAAAGGCTTTTGTGGATTAGATTTATATTTCTCAGATATGCTTACTTTCTTTCTTTCTATTTTTTGCAAACCTCAAGTATCATAAGACAAAATAGCAGTTTAGTACTTGTATAAACATTGAAACTGATGAAGTTAGTGTATCTGAATCCAGCCCTTAGAGAGAGGCTCGGGTTGTGAGGTGTTTTTGCTGAAGTTGCCTTGTTGTTTTCCTTCTAGTGGCAGGAACCCCCTCCTCTGCTTAACGGCTCTTTGGGCGCAAAATTAATGTTCCTTAGTCATAAAAATAAGAGCAGCCTTACATCGTTATGTGACGAAATTACAGCGAAACGTTAGCATGACTATGTATGTCTTTGGTTTGTCATAAGTTGAGGCTGATGAGGTGAATAGAACTGACAGAGGCTGTGTTGGATAAGACTGTGTGTGTGTGAGTTTGTTTTTGTGTCTTGGCATGTGTGTGCGTACATGTGTGGTGGGAGGGCTGTGTTTATTACAATTAAACGAGCTGAACAACAACAAATCTGCCAAAACTGTAATGAGGAGTCGAGGAACACTCAACAGCAGGCCTGATGAGGACTCTGGGAAGGAACACACACATTCGCGCTCTCACACATCCACACATAAACATAAACACAAACAGGCACAACGGCGCACTTTTTATGAAGTTCCACATGTGGTCACACATGCTCCCCGATCAAAACAACGTCTTAATCCAGGCTAACTAACGCGCTCGATGAACTGTGCCGCACACACACACACACACACACACACTGGCTCTCTGGGCTCTAATTGGCTATAATAACCTTATGGACAGGCAGATATCCAGGTGCATAAACTCTGTTCCCACAGAGTCTCAATCACTACACACTCACACACTACAATCACTTCCACATGTGTATGTGTGTAATCCTATGACATTGCCTGTGTGTGTGTGTGATTGAGCATGTGTTTGTCACACTGTGTGAGTGTGTGTCGTCTCCAGTTGTAAGCAGGCCTGCAGTATAAATAAACCTGCTGATTGTTAGCGGTGGTGTGAAGGGGCGGAGGACAGACAGGGCGGATGGATTACATTCACCTCCACTGTTCCCGAGTGGCCTCAGCGGCGGGCGCTGTTATAATTACGTTGTGATTAATTAGCCCTCGATCCTCTCACTCCTTTGGAGGGTATTTTTCTTAGGTCTGACCCGTGCCGCACCGGTGTAGCACAGCCTCACTTTTCAAACTCTTGAAGTTTCCTTTTTTCCCCCTCTCCTTTCTTTTCAACGTTTCCGTTTTTGTCAAATGAATTTTCTGCTTTGCCTTCTACCCCTCCTCCTCCTCCTCCTCTCTGCTCCCACTTCCACCTTCTATCCATTAGGACTTTGAGAAGATCTCTGAGTTTTTCAAGAGTAACTACAAGGTGGAGCTGACAGAGAAGGACATGTGCGTGAAAGGATGGAACTGGGGAACAGCAAAGTTTTCAGGTAAACCCCCAAAACTCATGCACCTCTGTAAAGCCTCTCTAGCAGCCTGATCAGTTACTTTCTCTCAAAGTCTTTGCTGTTAATGAACAAAAAGGCTGTGAAAACTGGAAGCAGTGTGGAAAATTGCAGTCATGGATGTCAGAAAAGTTCATATCCAATGATTCAAAGTGTATTTTTTATCAAGAATATGCAAAGACCATGACGGCATTTTAAAACATCCACTGAGAGATTTTTGAAAAGCCCTGAAGGTCACTCAGAGCAGCTGTTTGGGTCCTAAGTCTGTTAAGTTTAAGAGCTGTCACTAACATAACAGCTTTTCCTCTTTCTCTCCTTCCTCTGTCCGTCTGTTTGCAGGGCCGCTGTTGTCCTTCGATGTAAATGACAACACAGCGTTCGAGATCCCGCTGTCCAATGTGTCCCAGTGTGCCACCGGAAAGAACGAAGTCACTCTGGAGTTTCACCAGAATGACGACACAGAGGTCTCCCTCATGGAGGTCCGGTTCTACGTCCCACCCAGTCAGGCTGATGAAAGACAAGATCCCGTGGAGGTAAAGAAGGACGTGATCTTTTTTTTTTTTTTTTGTAGCCACAATCAATAATGTTACTAAAAGTGTGCGTGTGCGTTTTCTCACAGGCGTTTGCCAAGAGTGTGTTATCTAGGGCCGATGTGATCCAAGCGACAGGAGACGCTCTGTGTATCTTTAAGGAGCTGCAGTGTCTCACACCCAGAGGAAGGTAAAGGATCCACACCAAACAGTCACTAACGCTGAAATTAACCCTGAAGGTTTTTAGTCAAAGGCCTGAACACGACCTCCAACTTGAACACTGTTGATTTTGAGCTCATATATGATCGTCTTTGCTTCCTCACACAGATATGACATCCGTATCTACCCAACTTTTCTTCACCTCCATGGTAAGACATTTGATTACAAGATCCCCTACACCACCGTCCTGCGTCTGTTCCTGCTGCCACACAAGGATCAGAGACAGATGTTCTTTGTTGTAAGTAGACTTTATTTTATGTCCCTGAAACATGATTTTTCTTGCTCTTTGTTGCTGATTCTTAAATGCTTTCTCCATGTCTCTTGTCTAAATAGATCAGTCTGGATCCTCCAATCAAGCAGGGTCAGACCCGCTATCACTTTCTCATCCTGCTCTTCTCCAAAGAAGAGGACATCAACCTCACCCTCAACATGAGCGAGTGAGTTTTTGTGTTATGAGCTGCAGCCATAGATGTGCCGTGGTGTCGACTGTTTATGTCAGGTTCTTGCTCCTTTTGCTGTAATGAGATAAGTGTCCACTAGATGGAGCCAGAGGTCTGGAAAAGTAGTTGTTATGCACTTTGTTTCGGGACAGGAGCCTCTTAAGTTCTCGCAGCATTTCTTCTTACAAATACCAAAACTTGTTTTCTTGATGTCCCACAGGGAGGATGTGGAGCGCCGTTTTGAGGGTAAACTCAGTAAAAACATGTCCGGTTCTCTGTATGAGATGGTTAGCAGGGTGATGAAGGCCCTCGTCAACCGCAAGATCACCGTGCCTGGAAACTTCCAGGGGTAAGCACCCAAAGAAGCACAAGGAAAAACATATTCCTGCCTGCCTTCATATGAGTCCTGCTTAATGCGCCTCAATTTTTCACAGTCATTCTGGGGCTCAGTGCATCACCTGCTCTTACAAGGCCTCCTCCGGCCTCCTCTATCCACTGGAGAGGGGCTTCATTTACGTTCACAAGCCCCCTGTGCATCTACGGTTTGAAGAGATCTCCTGCGTCAACTTCGCTCGAGGCACGACCACGACAAGATCCTTTGACTTCGAAATTGAGACCAAGCAGGGAAATCAGTACACCTTCAGCAGCATCGAGAGGTGAGAGGATGGAAACTGACAGTCTATGCTGATCGAAAGGAAAACCTAATTATTCACATTTGCTGTCAGATCAGTTTGATTTTATCTTCTGAATCTCTGCTGATATGATCTCCGTCCTTCTCTGTTCATTCAGGGAAGAGTACGGCAAACTGTTTGACTTTGTCAACGCCAAGAAGCTCAACATCAAGAACAGAGGATTCAAAGAGGTAACCAGATTGTTAATAAAAGAAACACTCAGAGTGAAAGAAAAGATTTTGACGGCACAAGTGATGTTCAACTTCCATCAAAGATATTGATGCCTGTTGCCCTTCTCCTGTGTGTCTCTCCTTGTATCCCTGTAGAAGAAGGTGGGTATGGTAATGGGCGTCATGTGTGGACGAGGGTTTTGGTTTTGACCAGTTTGGAGTGATTCCTGCTTGCATGGTGTGCTGCGGCGTGTGTGTGTGTTTCTCAGGATTGTGTCCTATAATCTTGGTTTTGGTTTGATGAAATCTAAATGGTGATAAATTTGATCAATCTTGTGTTAATTTCTGTCTAATTACGGGACCTTGAGATGAAAGGGGGTTTGACTTTGATAACTCGAGTGTGAGCATTTGTTTGCATCGTGCTGACTAATGTGTGGCCCCGGGGCTTTTGGTGTGCTTTAACTCTCCATCCAGCTGTCATCACGACCGCTGCCTTAACATGGCCAGAGCTGATTCCACCAGTCTTAATGCTGTGTGTTGACATGTTTCAACTTCCTGGTCTGACCAGCAACAAAAGTCCAAACACCAATTGGATCATGCCGGTAATATAGCCATCTGTCGCCATGGTGACAGGGTCAGCAGAGCGGGTCAATGAAAACGAATGGTCCTGCTCTTCATTTCCTGTTTGAGCTTAATAAAAGCTCCCTTGACTGAGTGTCTGTGCGTCCCACGGCAGACACAGATGATAATGCATGGAGACCGGAAATACAGAGGGGGGGGGTTAAAAAAGACGAGGTTTTGGTGTATGACAACATTTCAATACAGCCACCCTCAACAGGTCCTCTGCTTACACTCAGACTATTACACTGAACTTTAGACTAAACTGTTTGTGGGGACCAATTTGAACTGAAGAGACACTAAGGGCATCGCTCTGAGGAGCATGTAGGCGTACGCAGGGCTTGACCTTAACTTTTTTCACAAGGAGCACATGTGCTCCTTAGTTAAAAAAATAAGGAGCACACAAAGAACTTTAGAGGTACAATGAAAATTGATCAAATAATGTTTGTCTTATTAGTCGACATAAGTACTATTATTTGAAATCAATTTAGGTCAACTGGTCACATGACATGGAAGCTGTTGAAGGAAAACAGCCTTTTTTTGAGAACATCAACTGGTAATTTATTGATGGTCCCTTATTCAACACCAGACGCTGACAGTGAGGATGCTGAGTAGGTATATCCAACCTTAAACTAACTTCACTGCGGTATTTACATGAAAAACTTTTGTTGCCTCGGCTAATTTTTTTATGCGCATATGTGCCCCTGAATACCTTTTTACAATTCGCACACATCTATTTTTAGTCGCAAATGCGGGTGAAATGGTCACACTGTCGAGCCCTGGCTGTACGTAGGCATTAGGAGGCTGTATTATTCTGACGATCAGGCCTCACCGCCGTTTACTGTCGTTAAACTTCCTGTCAGAGGCTGTTTGCCACATACCTTTTAGTGATTTGACAGCCATCAGATCCTGTAAAGTTAGATAACCCTGGCTTGAAAGGTAAGAGTTAGGGGTGGATATAAAAAACATAGCATAAGGAATAAATTTGGTGAAACTAGTTTAATTCCAAACAACTAAAAACAGTTAAAAAGAAGAAAAACTACAGCACTGATGACTGTCAAACTACTCAGTCTTTTAATGAGGGGATGGACAAAATGAAAAAATGTTCTGTCAAACTGATGGTGTCTGATTGATCAGCTGTGGAGGTGATGGTTGTCGGGTTCTGTCTTTACATTTCATGGTTGTCAAGTGTATTGACAGGTCAGTTTACTTTCAGGGCATGAAGGGTAAAATTGATGAGTACAGCGACTCAGACGACGACCAGCATGACGCCTACCTGGAGAGGATGAAGGCTGAGGGCAAGATCAGAGAGGAGGGCAACGACAGCGACGAGTCCGAGGGAGAGAGCGGTGAGTGGAAAGTCAAACCCAAGTGGTGAAACACACTGAGAGAAGAGGAGGTGTGAACGGCTGTTTTTCCTGTTTCATTTTTAGATGAGTCGTTTAACCCTGGAGAGGAAGACGATGACATCGCAGAAGAGTGAGTGAACTTTTTCTTCTCTAAAGGCAGAATATTGTTTTTTCTCCCGGCCGTCCTCTGTGAACTTGCTAATGTTCCTTTCCTTACTCTCTGCTTCCCCTCTTCCATCAACCAGGTACGACAGTAACGCATCAGCAAGTGACAGCAGCGATGAAGGGGGCGACAGCGAAGATGAGAGCGCTAAGAAGAAGAAGCCCAAGAAAACCAAGGTGGTGAAGGAGAAGAAAGAGAGGAAACCCCGCAAAGAGGTGAAAGAGCAGTTGGGTTGGGGTCGAGATAACAGCAGTTGTCTTTTTGCTGGGTATGTACAAATCTTTATAAATGCTCTCAATGTTGAACAATTTCTGTCTCTATTTTTATTGAGTAGAAGAAGCAGAAAGACACCGGCGGCCCCAAGAGGCCTATGAGCGCCTACATGCTGTGGCTCAACTCAAGCCGTGAGCGAATCAAGGCAGAAACCCCAGGAATCTCTGTCACTGAGATTTCCAAGAAAGGTGGAGAGATGTGGAGACAGCTGGGCAAAGAGGAGAAGGAGGTGAGACAAGTTTCCAGTTTAACTCTCTTTTTTTAAGTAAGCCTGTCAGCTAAATTAAGGATTATATAATGTTGAAGATATGATATGCTTTAGTCAGGATTATTCTTGACAAAGAGGTGTTGCTATTAGACTCCTTGTGGGTTTACATTTTAAAAACATGCTCCTGTAAATTCAGGGTTTGCTTTACATTTCACTCAAGTTGTCATGACAGCAACAAGGCTATTCTTCCCTAAAGTGAGTCCTCATTTATTCGTCTGCTCTCTCTTCAGGAATGGGAGGCGAAGGCTGGAGAGGCCAAGAGGCAATACGACAAATTAAAGAAGGAGTACGCAGAGAGCGGTGGAGGATCAGCCTCCAGTTCCAAGAAGTAAGACATGCAACATTTAAAACTCGTCTTGTTTCTTGACAGCACTGATCTCAACTTTTTTTTTTCCCTGCCCGCTCTTTGTCCATTAGGGAGAGTAAAAAGTCTGCAGGGAAGAAGGATGATAAGAAGAGAAAGTCAGCCGGAGGAGATAAGGACAGGGATCGAGGAGGCAGCGACAGCTTCAAAAGTAAAGAGTTCATCGAGACCAGCGAAGAAAGTTCATCGGACTCTGACCGCAAGAGCAAGGCCAAGAGGAAGAAGGTAAAGCCAGTAATGATATCACACGGATAATGGTTCCTGAAAAGGGAACCATTATGAGATTGATCCTCATATTCTTGTCCTCGGTTTCACCACAACATTCAGGCGTCACTCGCTTCATTTAATAATATTTGCATTAAGGTGTAAGCGCTTCAGAGCCTGTGACACAGATCGATGTAAAAAGCATCATAGAAACATCGGAGCCTACTGAGTTTCTGATCAGCAGAAGAACTGGACGGAATAATCAGACACCTATAGAGTGTTGCAGGGACATTTTAGCAGTTCTGAGTGAGTGTTGTTGTAAGAAGTTGTTCTGAGACAACCCTAAAGTTTGCTGCTGTGAAAAGATGTCTAAACTTGTTTGTTGTATCTAAAACAAACAGACAAAAAGCTGCTCATTGACGAGACATTTATTCATCTCAAAGTGTTTCATGTCTGCATGAATCTGGATGTCCAAATTGCCCTAATTGGACATTTGATCTGCGAAAAGGCAGACAGGAAATGGAGGAGAGAGAGAGGGGGGAATATGACAGGCAGCAAAGGTCGCTGGTCTTAATGGAGTTTGCAGCATGGTGGTTGTGCAACTTACTGTATGACTACTCGGCAACCAGTGAGCTCCAAGAGAGTACTTAAATAAATCACTTAAGCTGAGGTGAAGCTTGAAAGGAGGGAAAAGGAAATCTGATTAAAAACCGAGAGAGGGGAAAGATAAATATTACTGAGACGGAGTCTGAAATCATTTTCATTCACGACCTGCTGCTGCTCCAGAGGGAATCCTCCGTAGAGGACTACGTAATCTGACGTAGTCTGCTGTTTGGCAGAATAAAAAAAAAAACAACTATAAACCCCTATTACCTGTCTTGCCCTCACTAACCTCATTGCTGTCGCAGCTGTGTAATGCTTTCAGCCCAACGTAGCTCATGAGCCTGGGATTCATAATACACTGTACATCCTTCCAAGATTTGAGTGATTATTGACATCATGTTGGGTTTATTTCCACACATTCAAAGTGAGATAAAGACGTGCAAAATACTGTATTTTTGAATAATTAACGTTTTCCCTTTTCTTGAAATTCTTATAGAAGGAGTCAGATGATGATGAGGAGGAGGAGGCTGCATCCACACCTGCCAGCTCAGAGGAAGACTCAGACTAAACACGAACTTTTACTCATCGTACCAACACAAACACACACCCAGGACCAAACATCTACACGCTCTGTGCTGATTTCACGCAAATGGACTGATGGAGGCTTCAACTGGATTAAGTTGTATTTTTCTTCTTCTACATGTTTTTTTTTATGGGTACAAATACATCTCACCTCTGAAGTTATATTTGATATTTGATTATTCCTACTCACAGATAACTGAAACAGATAAATCCATGTGAACTTCTTCGCCCAGATCGTGTCATGTCTTCTGCCTTTAGACCCGTGGGGAGGGTTGTTGTAGTTTTATAGCCCTGCAGAGTGTAGGAACCACCAGTTGAAATGACGAAGAGAGGAAGACAAACAATTCTCCTGTGTAGTGTTTGAAAAACCCTCGTAGTGTTTTTTTTTGTTTTGTTTTGAGATGTCATGTTTTCAGGCTTTAAGGAATAAATAATGATTTTTAAAAAATCCACTTTAGTATTATATTTTTCTTTCTCCAAACAATGCTACAAAGTCCTGTCAACCTTCTAAACTCAGTCTACAAACTTCAGACCTAATTTGAAATAAAGTTTAAAAGCTCGCTGTATAATGTTAGGAAGTGGAAGTTTGAGAAAGCAAACAAGTTGACTCGAACGGTTTGAAAATATAATAAATACAATAGTCGCATAACTACAATTTTTATTCAAATTCTGGTCTCAAGACTATGAAGAGGACACTCAAGTGTTAGGGTCTCGAGATCCTCAGGGAATCATAGAAACATGAGTACCCACTATGAGAGTCTAGATGCAGCATTTAAAAGATTAACATATTTTCAATCATGATGTAATTTACACCACCAGATGCACATTTTGAGGTCATCTGCACATTATTTAGACACAAGTGCTCACTGTAGAATCGCAGCCATGAAATACCTGTGGGATTCCTATCCACACTGCTGTACATCAGGCCTGTTTAACCAGGCAGGGTGGTTTTGGAGTGTGTTTTATCAGGGCAAGTTAGATGCAACACTGGTCACTGTTTGAGAGACAGTGGTTTCAGACAGGAGGCCGAAGCCTAAGTACACAGTGGTTTGTAAAAGGGCTGCTATATTAGGGGCGAAGAGAGTGGTTTTTAAGAGCACAACACTCCCGGATGTGTGGTTCAATCCCACTTGTACAGTGATAGTTTGATGTGGAAGAGCTCTTCTTTCTGAACCTTCTTCTAGACGCACCGGATGTCCTGAGAATGACCCTGCTTGTTTACTAGAAGTGACATATCGCAACAGTTCTTATCTTTTACCATCTTTTACACTATTAGATACAAATTTTACCAAAACATGGCCTCATGTTCTCAATTTGTGCCAGTTTTAGTCACTCAGCACCATTTTATGGGACTTTCCTCTCTACGTCTTTGTTTGAGGCGTAATGGGAAAACAAAAGGAGATCTACACTTCCTCTATTACATACCCTACTCTCTTGAAAGTGTTCAGTGCTTTAATCTGAACATTAAAATGACTGATTGAGTCCAAATCACAAGCAAAGTCAAGATGTGTGTGGTTGATGGTCTGAAGCCAAAATATCTGTCAACTTAAGATGGTAAGGAAAGCACAAATAGTTGGACAAAAGTTCATTGATAGATTTGCCAAAGCTCCTTTTTTCTGTTTCTAACCCTTACGGACTTATCTGAGACAAACAAGTGACGGTAAAGTGTGTGAGATATCAGAGAAAAGTGTTTAGATGATAGAAATAAGTGGATTAATCTTTGAGTAACTATATAGTATCGTCTTCAGTTGGTGTGTTTATCTACGAGAATTCGCTCATGTGATCTTGGGGTGTTTGTGTGCTGGCATGTCCCAAATGTGGTGCTCCAAGATGGATTGGGTGTGGATGTTTACCAAGAAGTCTTCCTGTTACATGGCGACCACTTTCACGATGGTTTCCTCTTTCACGACAAAATCCATCTGACAATCCCTCACTCTCTCGTCTTCTACTATCTGACAGCGTCTCGTATTTGTAGACGTATTAGTTTCATAATTTCCGTCACCATTATAGGAGCGTGTTCATGTACCTGTTATATGCAGCATGGAAGCTTTTGCACTTGTTTGTTACATCTAAAGCATGAACGAGTGCTCATGTGTGTCTTGTCTTGTATTGGATTACCGTTAATTGACCACAAACATAATGGACCCACTTAAGAAATGACATAGTCTCTGGGCACATACATCTACTCACCCCCTCCCTCTACACGCACAGACACATACACACACTTTGTCACTGCATCATTACATTATCTCCCTGATGTAAGGGAATAATGCTGTCAGCATCCATGAGTGAATTGAGAAGTGGTCGTATCACATGTCACATTATTGCACAGTTGTCAATCATGCTACTGTGGGTAATTTATCACAGCATATTTGGACTCATATGTGATATATCTGATAGGAGCCTGTATGTACAGAGTTTTATTCATTTTTCCATATTGCTGAGAAGCAAACAAATTCTAATGAAGGTGACATTTTTAGAAGTTTGTCCGTCTTGCGGCAAAGAAACAAAGAATCCTGCATGAATTATGAATGTGGTCCACAGTTAGTCTCCTCCACAAGAAACCATACATGGAGCCTCTGCAGGTAAGTAAATGAGTAAGTAATTAAATAAATCAATAAATATAAGGACTTTGATTATTTAATACCATTCAACTGCACAAATAGTCTGTGGTTAATTTGTGATCAATAGCAAATCGATCGCACATTTTCTATCTGCTGTAAATGCGAGTTAAAAGAATGGAAAAGTTTTTAATGCTTTTCAAAAGGTAGTGGACAAATGCGACTTAAGTTTTCAAACTTACGGACAAAAAATAACTAGGTGCTGTGCTCAAGTGCTATTTGAAATGGCTGCTACTACCATTCTTAAAAAAACAGTGACTTTTATATCATAAATGAGCAGCATATACAGTACAGGCCAAAAGTTTGGACACACCTTCTCATTCAATGCATTTTCTTATTCTCATTACTATTTAAATTGTAGATTCTCAGTGAAGGCATCATTACTATAAATGAACACATGTGGAATCATGTGCTTAAGAAAAAATGTGAAGTAACTGAAAACATGTTTTATATTTTAGATTCCTCAAAGTAATCACCCTTTGCTTTTTTGATAGCGCTGCAAACTTTTGCTGTTCTCTCAATGAGCTTTATGAGGTAGTCACCTGAAATAGTTTTTACTTCACTGGTGTGCCTTGTTAGGGTTACTTAGTGACTGCCAGAGTCAGTTACTAAGTACTTCTGTCATCAAGAGCAAAGGGTGGCTATTTTAAAGAAGCTAGTATATAAAACTTGTTAACAGTTATTTCACACTTTTTTATAAGTACAAAATTCTACATGTGTTCATTCATAGTTTTGATGCCTTCAGTGATATTCTACAATGTAAATAATCATATAAAAAAATAAAGAAAAGACATTGAATGAGAAGATGTGTCCAAACTTTTGGCCTGTACTGTAAATCAATGTTTTTTTTTCCTGCCCTTAAACAGCCTCAGATGTTGTAATTTATAAATAGGTGACAACATGGACAGGTTTTGGGTCTAGATTAGACAGAAGCATTCAGAAAATATCAGAAACCTTACTAAAATGATGTTGAGAAAGTGGGAGCTTGGTGCAAGGACTGAGTAAGTGTGCTGGTTTCCAAAGTACACTGATGTAAAATGCCAGTGCGGTAGAGAGAAAAGAGGTATGGGAGATGGGGATTTGTGGTCAGGACAGATAGAAAAAGGGAGGGACAAAAGGACACTTTGACGTTTTCCTCTTGTTAATTTGAATAGAGGAAGGGGAGGTCCAGTTTGTGGCATAAACCAGTGAAACAAAGACAGTGAGGGAGGAGAGAGAAGCAAATCAAATATTCAGTGAAACAGATGAACACAGATCATAACACAGAGTGAACATCAGGAGCAGTGTGAGGCTCGAGACCACATTTCTCTCATTAGAGTTTTGTCATTTGTAACAATTTTACCTCAACACTTCCTGAAAACACCTGTGGAGGCGAGAAGAGGTGCACTTTTCTCCAGACTCAAGAGGACCGGACCCGTCTCTGACTCGCTCTGACAGGCAGCCATGGGCTCCATGGTTCTGGGCTGTGTTACTGACTTCTTCACCTATGAGACCACCAAGTCTGTGGTGGTGAAGAGCTGGTCTGTGGGCATCATCAACCGGATCGTACAGCTGCTCATCATCACTTACTTTGTCGGGTCAGTGTTACTTTTCTCAATGATTTCTTGATATTTGTCCATCTCATGTTTCTGATTGGATGCTCTTTGATTTCTCTCACCTCAACATGGATTTACCAAATTCATATAAATCCTTCTTCCAATCTAATTTCATATCCATCCACGATAGTTGTTGTTGTTTCAGGATACAAGAAATCAGCCTGCCTGCAAACTATCAACAATGAAAGACTGCATTTTAGAAAATCAATATCAGCTTTCATTTTCATTGTTTACTCAGGAACTGCCCACAGAAAAATGTGTTTGCTCACAGAACTGAATACAGCTTAAAACTGTAAAACAGAAGCTGCAAAATAAGGTCCTCTTTGGTTTAGGGTCAAGGTACATCATGATAAGTAAAACTCAGAGGCTCTTTTAACCTGAAAGGTGCCAGGAGGCAATCTTGCATTTTCAGCTTTGTTAAACCTCATCACTGTTGTGTTAATTTAGAGAGTATTTCCATTTCAACTGCAAATGCAAACAGTGAAACGATGGACAAACTAAAGTAAACTCAGAATACCTCTGAATTTTAAGATTATAGTTGGGTATTTGTAAAAAGTAAACTGGAGTTAATATAGTATTTTAGTAGGTGTTGCTGTTGTAGATTTAAAGATGTGTATTACAATATTTATAGGATTACAGCATTGCACACAATCCTTGATCTTTTTTGTTTGTTTGTTTGTTTAACAGAGGTTCTCAGAAATCTCTCTGAGAGAATAAAACAAGTCAAGATCATCACCCAAACTTTAAAATCAGCTGAAACCAGAGTTAGTTTTTAAGTGTGAGAAAGTCATTTTTGAAAGCATAATTCTTTTGGGGGGGATACTTATTTGCCATAAATGCAAATTTCTCTCGATAAACACTTGGTCTTTGGTGACTGGACATGCCTCCAGCCCAAGTCGGTGTAGCTCGTCTCACATGAATTGTCGTCCTCACACAAAAAAAAACATCCTAATTTGGGGTTCAACAATAATAAAAATAGAGTTAAACGATCTTAAATCTTCCCTCCTGAAATAATACATTGCTTAATTTGTATTTGAAGCAAACAGCTTATTTTATTCAAATAATGATATTTATGTCTTGAAAAATCAACGTTCTTTAGAAAAAACCTGGGTCAAACTAAACAAGGAGACAGAAACACTAGCTTTGTCCGAGTTTTTTTTTCATCAAAGGTCAATTTCTGGCCTTTTACACTTACCTTTTAAAGACTGATCATCAGCGGATGGAGTAGAGGAGATAATCAGGGCAAAAGGCTGGTGGTGGGATCCAAGCTCAGGCTGTCTGCTTATAGCCTGTGAGCATGGAGCATATTAACTTCACTGCTTAACGAAACCCATTTATTCCAATTTTAGACCATTTTCCTCCCTGCTTCCTCTCACCATAGTTACAGTTTTCACCGTCATTTTAACTAAGTAGTAAATATCATTTGTGTCTGAAGGTTAAAATTTAAACTACTTAACTCTTCTTCTGTCCTTTACAGTTGGGTCTTCATCCACGAGAAGGCTTATCAGGTGACGGACACCGGCATCGAGTCCTCTGTGATGACCAAAGTAAAAGGCTTTGGTTACCATAACAACCATGTGATGGATGTGGCTGACTACGTCCTCCCGTCACAGGTTTGTGACCCTGATAACACGTGGTTAACATCCACTCAAGGATGAGTATGACCTTTGACCTTTAATGCACACGTGGCTGCTAATAATTACTCATCTAAAATTAAATAGATAATCATCATTCGGAGAAAATCTTGAACCAGTTCATCGTTATTTCTGTCTCCTGAGGCGCGGTCTGACTTTGGTGTAGTGTCTGGTTGGTGTGATACATGTACACTCCTCACAGTGTGTGGTTCTGCTGTGTTTCAGGGTGCAGGTGTGTTCTGCATCATGACCAAACTCATCATCACTGAAAATCAGTTCCAAGGAAGATGTCCAGAGGTGAGGACACATTTAAACCTTTGGTAGCGAATAAGTTTGAATGTGTAGCCCAGTAATAACTGGAGAAGTTGGCCTTTTTGGTGTGAGGCTGGTTCTTTGTTAAGTATGAGCAGAGCAGTCTGCAGAGTAAAGCACTGAATGATAAACTAGTCACCTCATTTTATAACTCCCCTCGCCTTCTCAGTCACGTCCCTCTAAGCAGGACTTGTTTAGTGTCTATCTGCTTTATTTCACATGGTGGTCATTCTTTTGTCATTTTAAATAAATGGTCAGTTGCTGAATTTCTCGGGAATTTCCTGTGTCTCCCCCTTACCCAAAGACAGGAAACAAATGACGTGTTTATAGCTGGATGAATTTGTCACTTTTTGGTCAAACTCCAGGCTTTAATTTGACCAAAGCTGTTCATTCTTTAGGAATCATGGTTCTTGAAAAAAAAAAAAAAAATACGCCCTTACATGAACTCTCCATGAGTCTGTCTAAGAACTGCACTTTTTTAATCTATTTAGTCTTATCTATTTCTTGTGTGGATATGAGAGGGAGGTAAAATAAGTGTTTGAAGGCTTCACTGGGTACTTATTTAGGATCTTGTGGTCTGACTCTTCATTCAAACTTTATTCATGAACTTTTGTTCCTTTTGGGTGAGACAATCTATTCCTGGAACTTTCTCAGTCCTACTTATGAACCACTGTGACAAACTGCCATGTTTTTCAATCAGTTTGTCAGACCTTTCCATAATTCTTTGTTAAGTTTGCATCTGAGCTCCAATACATGTTAATTCTATTTTTTTCTATAATTCTATGTGGTTGTGTGAAGTTGGAGGACATCAATTGAACAAAGCCTTCAAGCTTATCCAATCACTTGTTACTCCATATGTACGACTGCATGATTAATAATAGTCCTATAGCGCTCTTGCTTAATCCTTGATCGTTGCACACAAATTCTACACTTGTTTATCTGTATTTCAGACTGGAAAGGGGTTCAAATGTACAAAAGATGAAGACTGTCACAAGCATTATGGTGCCATCCTCTCCAATGGTGAGTCTTGCCTTAAGATGAATATTGTGTGGAAAAGTGACATAGAGGCAGCAAAGACACTGTTTGAGTTGAAATAAGTGATTTTTCAGAAGGAGTCCTTTCAAGCCCACTGCAGGGATAGCTGTTGTTTTTATCAGTCCACTGAAAGTTTTCTTTCATCTCTCTGTTTTAAAATCCAGGAGTAATCACAGGCGATTGCCGTAAGTCCGCTGGTGGCTCTCATGGCATGTGTGAGATTGAAGGATGGTGCCCGGCTGAGAACGACAGCGTTGTGGTGTAAGATTGACACGCTCGCACAAACTTGTAATAACATATTTCTACATTAAATCCTTCACCTTCATTCTCACCCTCCTCCTCCTCTCCAACATCTTTTAAAGAACACAGATGCTGGATGTCAGCAACTTCACCATCTTCATCAAAAACAGTATTCGATTTCCACTTTTTAATATCACCAGGTAGGTAACGCCCAAGAGTGCATGTACACACACTTTTAGTTTTCAGTTTATAGCAAGTTGGAAAAAAGCTTTTGTACTAAAGTAGCTCAAATCTTTGTCTACAGAGGGAACTTTCCTGCCACAATGAAGTCAGACGAGATCAAGCGTTGCACTTACCATCCAGAAACAAATCCTTTCTGCCCCATCTTTCGAGTGGGGGATGTGCTGAACTACACCGGGCAAAATGTGTCAAATCTGACTGACAAGGTCTCGTCTGTCCCTGACTCCTCCTTCTATCACATCAACATTGAACTGCACTCACTTTCTGTCCTCTAAGCTGAAGTGTTGTTATAAGAGAGGAAACTTCACACACAGAGACAGTTTAGTGTTTTACTATCATGCAGTATAAACCCATTTTTGATCAAACAGGAGTGCACATCTGTTTTGTTAAAATACAAACCAGGAATTGGGTTGTGTTAAGCCTCATTAATGATTTATAATTTCTTTCATACTCTAAAACCATAGAAGCAAATTGTTGTAAGTCCTACTTTGAATGAGCTGTCTGCTGTGTGAAGTTAAACTGACATGCTAATATGTTTGCTAAGTGAGAGCTCAATTTCCACTATTTACTCAACAGAACAGTGCACTTATATCACAGAGAGTTGAAAACTGTAGAGGTAAAAATGAGCGAAACTAAAGGAGTTATGACTGACCTGCTCTACAAACTCCACTCGCAGTAGTTTGATAGCTGATGCAAAGATGCACAGATTGTTTAAACCACCTCACTTCTTTGATTACTTCAAACCAGATAAAAATCAAACAGCGAGAAGAGATTTTTTTTTCACACTACATTTGCATTAACAGGCATCACTTCTGAAGCAACATCCTCAGAGTTAACAACCTGCAAAGAAAGATTCGGGACAGTCAAGTATTTGAACGATGACATAAGGAGTATTTAGGCAGTGAAAATGTCAGTTATTATCCACCAAAAGTTTGCCCAGACACTTTCTCAGTAGCATGATTTATATCTGTGGCCTTTTTTAAACTCAGTAGTGATAGGTTGGGAGAAACATTCTCTTTCAGGTTTAAATTTTTTATCGCTCATTTTTCATCTCTCCTTTTTGAAAATGTCTCTTTCAGGGTGGCGAAATAGGAATAAACATTGAGTGGAAGTGCAACCTGGACCTTAACATTGATTATTGTGTACCCAAGTACTCTTTCACACGACTAGATGAACCATTTGCCAAGAATGCTGTCTCCAAAGGCTACAACTTCAGGTAGGGGACGGACAGTTTCTTCCTCTTAATGTCTACTCAGTGCCTTTATTTCTGTTCTCTCTTGGTCACTTATTGTCCTCTCTGTGAATGCAGATTTGCTAAATATTTCAAGACAGAGAATGGGACTGATTTCCGGACACTTCACAAGGCCTATGCGATTCGTTTTGATGTCATGGTCACTGGCAATGTGAGTGTGGTGAATTGTTAAACCACATATTTTGGAGATTGCTCTTGAAATCCTGAACAATGTGTTATGTTATGCCCTAAGAATATTCACAGCCTGATTTAATGTTGTGTTTATAACCTTCTCCCTATTTCCTTGTCTGTGTCACCAGGCAGGGAAGTTTGACACAATCCCGACTCTGATCAACTTAGTCGCTGCCTTCACCTCTGTTGGACTGGTAAGAATTCCAGATGAGTTTAAAGATAATAAAAAAAACTCTTTTCTGTGTCGCTGCCAGTTTTAGTAACACCTCTTTTGTGTTGACAGGGCGCGGTTCTCTGTGATCTCATCTTGCTGAACTTCCTAAAAGGGGCAGAACAGTACAAAGCCAAGAAGTTTGAAGAGGTATCAGCTTTTTTTTTCAGCAGTTTCACTCAATAGACTGTGACTGTAGATCTTTGACCGGCATATCCAGGTGAGATGTGTTCATCTTTGACAATCTGATCATTCAATTTCCTCCACTGTGTCGTCCATCCAGGTGTCAGAAGCTCAGATCGAAGCGTCCCTTGCTCCAAGCCCTGGCAGTCCGCTGTCACTGAAAGGAGGTATCAAGAGTTCTTATGACTCTGGAGCCATTTCCCTCGCCACCTCTGATCAACAACTTTGACTGGCAAAAACAACAACCTGATGACAAAAATGTTACACCTCTTCTCTCCCTAATTTCCCCCTGCTGTATGTATTTTTTTCAAGTCACTGTGACTAATTAAAGAAGGACCCTTTGCTGACATTTTTACAGTTGCTGAACTTAAATAGGTTGTCAGAGGAAAGTAATATGCAGCTCTTGCCTCAACATTTAAGCAATTTCCCTTGAGAAACACACCTACACTGAAACTCAATGAATGGCCGACTCTTAACCACTTGTACCAAGCTTCTTTAAAACCACAGCTATCATTCCCTGATCGACAGATCTGATTGTAAAATTGTAATTTATAAAAAGCATTTTCATTTCAAATAACCTCAGCTGTAATAAATTGCATTCTCATGTTTGATAGCCAGAATATTAAAGCTGAACTCCTCTGTCTTCCTTGTCGTGTTTGTCTTTTAAATTCCCAAAGCGCCCCACCTCTCCATCCTGCACAAATAAAAGCAGTCATGAGTCTCCATATGGTGAAAAACACGGTTAATAAAGACATGTATGTGTGCATTTGTGTTATTATGAGTGAAGGCAGTGTTAGGATTGAAGCGTGTGTGTGTGTTGTGTCAGGAAGCAGCAGCAGCAGCATTATAAATGTATGTTTGTGCAGCTTGTGGTTTACAAATGGGCCATTAATAGTCCATTTCTGGGGGATGGCATTCAGTAAGAGATGTTTCTTTACTAATGGACTGATGTAATACCTATTTTTAAAATAACCTCAATGTGCCCTGATGATTCCAAAATTTTGTTTATTTCCCCATCACACACCACAGCACACATTTTTTCCTCTCAGACGTGGACAACTCTGTTTCTTGCTCTCTCAGTTACAAACATACTGTGAATCTGAGTCCCTCTTAGCCTCCTCCTCCTTCTTGATCCACTGTAAACTGTGACTGGGGAATTCTTAGAGGAGCTAAAGAGCCTCTTAATGGCTCTGACAGTGATTTACGAGAGATCCCAGCTGTGAAGGGACAGCCACAGAGGAGCTAACAGCAGACAGCCACAAAGTTTGATGAACTAATTTAATCACACAAATCAATCTGATGCATGTAATGGAAATATCAGAAAATTATACATGATGGTGCATTTCAGCACTCTGTCCCTCTGAATAAAGCCTCTGGTCAGTGGCTAGGTTGGACAGAATGAATCTAAGAGTTTCTCAGAGTGCATTAAATCTGACCGCTGCTTGGACTATGAAACATAAAAACAAATTAATGTTTCCCGGATGGAGGGATTCATTTATATGATTAAAAATAATGAGGCTGGAGAGTGCTGTTACTCTTGCATGAAAAAAGTAAGCTCTTACACATTTCCCAGCACCCTTGCAGAAGATACCAAGAGCAAAGGATGGTTGTTTGAAAAAAAAAAGAGACAGAATCCACTCTGATGTCTGTTTGACTGAAGTAAAACTGCAAAGTATCTTTATTGCTGATAAGAGCTTGGGCGCAGACTCAAAAAAAGCTGTCAACACTCTGTCCAAACATAACTGTATTTTCTGTAAGTCAGTAAAACAATCACTGCATCGCTTCAAAATAACAGAAATAAAGTAAATCTCATAAAAAAAGATCACATTTAACTGTAATAAGGGTTTGTGTGTTTCATTCATTCTTTATCTTATCTTTTCTTATCTCATCCACTCATTCGAGAAGGAACTATCTCTATTGATCAACATCAAAGGTAAATGTAGACACAAACAGCTGTTACTGAAAGGCTGGCCCTTTGATAAGATGTTATGTGGCATCATAAAAATAAGAAAATATGTCCAACAGTGCAGAAAAACAAATAAAATATAACAGAATAAAAAGATCTGACAATCTGGTATTTTGCATGTGATCAGATGATACAGCTATAGTGGTAAATATGGTATCAGCATTGATATTTTATGGTCACTCTTTCATTAACTACTGTACTGGATTCCACTGATGTGATACCCCGACATACAAGACACTCTAGGTGTTTCTTCCCAAAGATGGACTGAGCAGTTTTTCCTAAATGCACCTCTACTGATTCTGTTTGTAGTAAAGTTGATGAAGCCAGACAGAGTCGTACACACTATACCACCATATTTGTATTTGGTGAGGTTTTCCCAGAGTGTAATTCTTAAGGATATGGTGATAATGAATGATGACTGAAAGGTGTCTTTGTCTGATATTTGTTTCAATTGTGTCATACGTGGTAATGTTTTCTTTTTTGTTAAGGAATAAGCATCTTAAAAGCAAGAAAATATTCAGGTAAGATTGTGACAAAGTATTGAACTAACTAACCAACTATACTGAGACAGAGTGACCAAGTTTGTTTGAAGGAAAAGGCTTCACAATATTGCGAATAAAAGCTGGAAAAGCTCCTTAAAATCAGTTAAATACTTCTGCAAATGATGTAACACTGACAGCAAATGATCCAGTCTGCACAGACAGAGTGGATATCATCGAATAAAAGACAAGAAAATGTAAAATGTAAAAAAAAAATCCACAATGAAACTCATATTTGACGCTTGAATTTGAGAGTCTTTGTGGGATTAGACCTTTAAATTTGCGGCAAGCCTGCGCCCCTGGTTACTGGAAACAATTTTAGCTCTTAAGAGCACAAAACATTGGCAGTGGATGTTTGTAATTTTGAAGGCACAAAGTTATCCCAACACAATGACAGTCCAGAGAAGGCATTAAAATATGCAGCTGAGCTTAAACTGTCTAAAACAAAACAAGTCAACAACAGTCAGTGCTTACTGGAGAAAAACACTCAGCTGATGAAAGCTGAAGTGGTTCCATGAGTCCCGCATCCACAAAAGTCAAGGTTATGATGCATTAATGTTTCTGTTCCAGGGTTAAATAAGTGCAATACTTTTTGCCAGACATGCCTTTTTCGAAACATCTTAAACACAGGCAAGAAAGTCTTTGAAAGAAACCACTTTTGCACTGAGATTATTTGTGCTTCTTCCCGCTGTTCATCTTCTTCAGCGCCAAGATCCAGGCGGGCAGGGCAGGCCGGCGTGCATGGACCACCTCCTCCATCACTACCCGCTCCGCCTCAAACTCCTCACTGATCACAGAGTCCTCCTCTGCTTCTGAGTCTTCCTCATCAGAGTCATCCAGATCCATCTCCAGAGGCGGTATGGCCTGCACTTCCTCTGAGAAGCGAACTCGCCGGTTCTCCTCAACTCGCCTCTGATCCAGAGAGGGACGAAGAGGATTAAAATACAAAAAGAAATGAGAAATGGTTAGTAAGATGTGATGACCATTGAAAAATGTTTTTATTCTTTATTCTTTAGTACATTGGGTTTAAAAAAGACAGCATTGAGATCAAACTTCTAAAAGTCTGTTTCATGTTACCAATTAATTAAATACTCATGTAAAGAAGAGCATAATTTGGTGAAACAAAAACCTGAGACAGTGTTTAGAGTTTTAATTTCCAATCAGTCGAATAAACTTAGAAAAGTGTATTTCCAATTGAAGTTAGTAAAAAAACACTGTTGGATTGTCCACATGGCTAAAGTGATGTCATCCTTATATAAGTATGAAAATAAATAAGAATTATAAATAAATTTTTAGCTGTTTGGTTTTAAGTGCGCTGCCTTTAGACGACATATTTTTACCCTGTTATATGCGCTAACTTCTTGTTTCATTACGATATCTCTTTGAAGTTATTGACAAAATGGTCAAGAAAGTAGTTTAGGAAAACAACAAACAATTGTTGTGTGAATATGGAAAAAAATTAAAATGTCTGTAACTTTATAGGTTTTTTTCTACAGGTAACTTTCATGCATCAGGTATGTGTGAAATCAAGGCTACCACCTCATCTCTCCCCAACCTGCCAAGTCTTTTGTCGTGATGTACTGACTTGGGACACTGATAAGCTACACTTTTCCACCACAAGGAGGCAGCGTTATTCCCATTTACAGTACTTTTTCTTTGGACTCACCCTTTTTGACTCCACTTCCATTGAGGACTCTGACTCCCGGGATATGGAGTGTTTGAGAACGCCCTTGGGTGGAGCCGAAGAAGGAGACAGAGGTTGAGCAGACTTGAGGGAGTACAAAGGCTGGACGTCATGTTGAGACTCCTCCCCTGTCTTATTTGTTATCTCCCTGTTTGGAGTCATGGACCCCTCTTCTATGAGGAAAGAGACAACAGAGCAGAGTTTTCCATTTAAAAAAAAAACACAACTTCATCAACACGTGGCAACAACCCAAAGTGTGTCATCAGAACCCTAAATGTACAGGTGCTCTGACCTGTGGCTGTTGCTTTTCCAGGACTTGTTTGAAGCCTGGGGTCTGTCCTCACAGCTGACTGATGCTGCCGCTTTCTGTTGAGCTGAACTCTGCTCTTTAGCGCTGAGTTATCCAAAAGATCTATAGGCTGCAAATACAACAAGGTAATAGGGTGAGAAACATACATTTGTACATTAAAGTCCACCCTCTGTGATATCATTTCAGTTTGATCTCTTAGTTTAGATAAAATCAGATGATTACAAAGAACGAATACAGCTGTTTTGTATGTTCATATGATAACTGACCCTTAAAAATAAGGATGGTCTTTGTTGTTGTCCACTCTCCTCTGACTGCATGTCTGATTGGTTATGTCCATGCTCCATTGGTTCTGAGTGATCAGCCTCTCTGTGAACATCCAGCTGTTGTTTCCCTCCTGAAACGTCCATGCTGACAGGCAGGAACACATCAGGTGAAGTCTGTCCCATGCTCACAACTGAGCAGGGTCTTGCCTCAGCCCCCATCAAGTTCAACTTGTTGGCTCCATGAGGATTTGAGTCGACTGAATCATGATGAAGTTGTGTAGTTTGAAGTTTCTCTGACGGTCTCTGACTGGTCAAAGGGGATGGCAGGTTTGGGTTCAGAAATTTGGCCCATTCTTGACCCGTAACGATCTCCTCTAGTAAACTGAAGGAGCCTAGGCCAAACTCAAAGTCCCCAGTGGACCTGTCACAAGAGAGTTCAATTCACTTCAACTTCATTTAATACAACATGAACACACATACGTACTGAAAACACAAGCCCTGTCATCCCTGACCTATTCATGCACAAGTCCTTACACATCAGAGAGTCTCATGACTATTTTTACCAGCTGTCAAGTTTTTCAAAGTAGTGGTCAGCGAGTCAACTTGTCATCATGTAAGAATAATTGTGTGATAAATAGTCATAAGTGTTGTTTTCTGTTATGCTAACCTCACGGGCACTCCACATTGAGATCCCACACTGTTGAAATCACAGTTAAGAGTGGCGATGTGGCTTTTCTAGACAAAACCCACCTTTAGCCCCATGTCAGAGCCAATGCCCTGCTGTGATATTGACTGTCTGAGTAGTTGAGGATTGCCAACAGTGCCGACGATGAGTCGACTATTTGATTAGTTAGTGTAACCCCTATTACACATACTGTATACACACAAGCAGGCAGCCCATTCTTGACCCACAAATCACTTAACAACCTGGCCCCCACCTCCCTCACAGACCTGCTCCACTACTACACCCCCTCTCGTGCCCTCCAATCCTCAGAGGGAAATTTCCTTGCCCTACCCCCTCGGACCAAGCACTGAACTTGGGGGGGACAGAGTCTTCTCCGTTGCTGCCCCCAACCCTCTGGAATTCACTCCCCAAACCCATCTGAGACTGTACAGACCCCCATACTTTCAAATCACTCCTAAAAACACAACTTTTTAAATTGGCTTTTAACCTGTGAACTGATCTTTTATTGTCTTTTCATAATATGTCTTTTTTTTACATTTTACATTGTTTGTCTTATTACTCCAAATTTTCTCTATTTTAAATTGTGTTTCTTATAAAGCATCTTTGAGCGCTTGTAAAAGCGTGCTATAAATAAAATTCATTATTATTATTAAGCAAAGACACACTGTTATAGGTTTAAAAGTCAAGCAATGTTTGAAGACTTAACACTGAATGTTGCTATTATAGCTATAAGTCTTCAGTGGGACTTGATGAACAAGATGAGGGAGCTGCATGTGCATGTGTGATATTCTGCTACCCAGAGCATTTTGTTGGAAGAATACACAATAAACTAGACAATAGTTTTGTGATGGCTGGAATCAAAAGTTACCACACAGATTTCAAGTAAATCTGTTAATGGCCGATGAAAGGATGTCGTTTGGAAATCCAAAATGACTCTAGAGCAGACAGGGACTCTGACGCAAGCAGCACTCAGTAAAATGTATCTTACAGACAGGGCATCAGAGATCATATTACAATGACAAGGACCACTCTGTGTGATAAAATGAGCACTGATATTGTGTTAGTTGGTGTGATGCAATTTTACAAAAAGGGATTTTAAAAAGATACAGTATTTTTTAATCGTAGCACGACCTTTGAATATCTTACTGATGATGTTACCTCTTAAGACACGTCTTAAAAATTTCATGTGACTTATCGCAGTGCTAAAGTGTGTCTTACAAGCTGTGATGACAGCTGCTGTCAGTGATGGGGTGTGTTTGGCACATTAGAAGGAACAAATATGAGGCCAAACTAATATCGTAGCTGTGGTTTCAGTCTCACAAATACTTCACATATCTCACTCTGCGTTGCTTTTCGCCTGAGAGGCGAATCAGCAAACCCAGACAGAGAACTTTAAACATGTGTCTTTATGGCTTTAGCATTGCTTAGAATGTATTCATGCATTTTTGTTTCATATTTTTGACACTGTCTGGTTGCTAACCTCATATATCCATCACTTTCGTCTGTGTGTGCAGCAGGAGTTTCACTGGAATCGCTGCTGTTTAATGAAGGGGTCATTCTTCCTTCTTCTTTATTTGATGTGTTGATAAGAATTTCTGGTGTAATCAGCTGGTTTTCAGATAAAACCTGTGAAGTAGATTAAGTTTCAGTTTGTTGTTATTTCTGATAAGTTTTGACAATAACTAAAAGCTTCACTCACTCCACTTCCTTGCTGGTTGTTTCCTGCTCCTTCTTCTTTTCCCTTTTTCCCAAAACTTCCCTGCCTGTCCCTCCATTTCTCTTTGATCTTCTGAGTCCATCTCCTTGTTTTATTCCCTGTTGTTCGTTGCTGTCTTCTACTGAGGCTGTTTGTTTTCCCTGTTGGTGAAACCTGCAAGTCTTTGGCTCCAAATCCTCCATTTCCCATGTGCAACACTTCGCCTGCTTGACTCCCTGTGTCAATATTTCCATCTGCGGGCTTCAGGGACCAAGAGTAGACTCTGGGGGTGAAACCCTGACCCGGCTCCTGACTCTGTCCTGTGCTTGTCTCAGCATCTTTATCGTCAGGGGTGTGACTTGTCATTGCAGAACTGCCCAAACTCCCCCTCTCTTCATCAGTCCTCCCAGAGGAAGAGATACCAACATCCTTGAGTGAAACAGCAGGAAGCAGCTGTTCTCTTCCTTTTGGGATCTTTGTGGTCTGTCCCGTCACCCTGTTCTCACCCGTCTTGCTGTCAGTGTTGTCTTTCTGGGTGGGGAAGGAAAAACGATAACCATGCCCTTCACTTGCACGGTCTGGTTGCTGCATCTTGGCTGCAGAGATCCCAAAGTCTTGTGAGGAAAAACCCTTAGTACTGGATTCAAATCCATTTACAGGACTGCTCTTTACTCCCTGGGGGTCAGATGTCCCTCTGTCTCCATCCTGCCCCCATGTTGGAGCAGCTGTGTTGGGTAAAGGTGAGTGAAGGTACACCTGACCCTCTCTCCCTGGTTGGAGTTTCAGCTTCTGCAACATGGACTGCAGCAGGGCCTGAGAGTCTGATGAATTTCGTGGCTGAGACATTTCTGATTAAGGCTGCAGTGTATCAAATCCAGAGAAATGTGACGATGTAAACACAACAGTATAGTCCTCTCGACATGGACGGATCGCTCACAGACATCGGTGAAGTGTGGAGTTAAAAAGAATCAAGACAAAGTGAAAGAAAAAGAATCTTTGTGTGGATAACACAGCCACATTGTCCAAATTTTACGAGGGTAGCCCCCTTCTTTTTTACTTTCCAATCTTTCTCCATTATCATTAAAAAAGACTCACTTTGAATATGATGTCAGGCCCATTTTTTAGGCTTTAATTCCTCAGTGTCCTCTCTTTCTCTGCCTTGGATGGATGTTTTGCTGTCTTACTGCTTCCGCTCCTCCATAATCCATCTAGGTTTCAGCAGCAGCTCCTCTCTTCTTGACAGAAATCGGACTTCCTTCTTCCCAAGTCTTTCCAAACTCTGCTTCTCTCGTCTGTGGATTCAAAAAAGGTCGTTTTAAGTCACTCCCTTTAAGCAACAGACATTTCTATCAATGGGAGGAGAGACGGTGCAACGTTCCCCAGATTTTACACCCTAAAGCAGACCAACAAGAAAGACCAGTGAGGTGAGATAATTGTGTACTGACAGTCACTCTCTTTTTCGTTCTCTGTCTCTCTCTGCCCATCTTTCAGTTTCCCCTCCCTTCTGTTCCGTTTATGTCTCTTTCTCCCTTAGTTACACATGTGCACTCACCATCTCCCTTCCCACCGTGACCTATGAGCAGTAATTACAGGGCATTTTCAGTGCACAGCTGCTATTTGTGTCTTCAGAATGAAAGAAACACAGAGTACCCAGCTATGACCTGTGGAACAACCAGACTTATGGGAGTTTAGAAAAAACTAATTTTATTTTGGAAAAAAGATACAACCCACTCACAGTAAATGACACTGACACTCTTCCCAAACTGGGAGATTGTGTCTTTGTTTCCACATGATTTTTTAAAATCTTTTTAATCCTGATAACATTACAAGTGATTTTTTTTTTTTACAAAACAGCTTTTTAGCAGTTATATGCAATAATAATAAAAATAATTATTGTACCAGCTGAATAGTGTATTATAGATAAAAATACACATGATTGTGGAGAAGTGACTGTTATTTAGGGAGAGAGAAGGTGAGGAAGGGCTGGGGTGGATAGTGGGGGGATAGTAGGGATACAGTTCAACTTACCCCGCTCCTATGGTCAACTTACCCCATACACGGGGTAAGTTGACCATAGGAGACCACTTTTTTTTGGCATGCTATATTATCAAGACAGTTATGTTTACACTCATTCTGTTGGTTTGCAGGGATACACAACATCTTAAAATATATGCAGATACACTAGTTAGAGACAAAACTATGATTACCTTGATGTAGTGATCTGAAATATGTAAAATGGCTCATCTTACCCAACTCTCCACTACTTACGTTTGATTTAGCGCTGATAACCTGCAGGAGCCCACTGCGCATGCTCTGAGTCGAAACCACGCCTCTTTGAGTTCCTACCTCTCTGATTCGTCATCGCAGCGGAAGCGGGTTATGGCGGCGTAAACAACGCAAGGGTTCTTACGAGTGGCTGCAAACATGTTGAGTTGCGACGGAAATTTAAAACTGAAAAAATAGAACAAAATAGTAAAAAATTTCTAGTGCAGGGAGGGTTTCTCTGAGGCGTGTAACTAACAATCCCTGGTTCGTTTGTTGTTGGAGTTCGAGAGCAGGTTTCGGCTAACTTTTAGCCTAGTTTGCTAAGTTGAGAGAAGAGAAGTTTTTAATTTGAGATGGACTGCGTTGTGACAGGAGGAAACGTCAAAGGTAGCAAACCGCGTCAACCTTTATCAGCCCCATCTCTGCCAGTAATACTAGTTTGAAGATGATAATCTGTTTATTACATGAACTGTTTATGTTTGTGTTCCTACCGTCTGTCCAGTCCTGGCCAAAGCCATCCACTCTCTGTCCAGGATCGGTGAGGAGCTGTATGTAGAGCCTCAGGAGGATGGGGTGAGCTGCTCTGTCAAACACCAACACTTCCTCCTGCCAAGCGCGTAGGCTTGTTGCTTCCTGTTGGTGCACCCTGTGTGCGTCTGTTATAATCACTCATTGCGGTTTTTTTTGTCTCTTGTAGCTGGCCCTGCGGTCTGTGAACTCCTCTCGGTCGGCATATGCTTGTTTCCTGTTTGCTCCTCTCTTCTTCAGCAGGTGCAGACTCAGTGTTTAAATGGCCCTGTAATGTGTGTGTGTGTTTTTGCTCATAGTAGAAAGTGTGTCATTGTGCATCACATTTTTTGTTGTTGTTGTTGTCTATGGTATCTATTAGTTTTAATTTAATCTGGTCTTCGATTTCTTGTGCAGGTTTACCACCCCAAGTGGACAAACCTTCCGCTGCAAGATGGCAATAAAGGTGTGCTGAGAAGAACTGTTCATGAATCTTTCCATGGTTTCTACAATTCATTACTGTTATTCTGTGTATTTACATGGTAATTAATGATTAAAGGGAGATGCTGGTGTAAAATTGATTTAGGGTCAAACACACTGTAACACTGAGTCAGACACCCCCTTCAGAGATGAATGTTGCTGACCGCTTGCTTTGCTAGTTTTACCAACTTTAGTAATGACCGTGCAATAGCAATACAGAGAGCCACTTGCTCAACCAAAAAAAACAATCTATAGCCACAACTTGTGCTCAGAACAGCACCTAACTTCATCAACAATACTTATAGGGTCCTAGCCATAGCACTAGCCACCAAACATCTTTTTAACTTTGTCTGATTTCTTAAGCAAAGAGACCAAACACAACTCACCTACTCTCTTCCAGCAGCCGCTTGTTTGTAGCGAGACCTCTGGGCGAGTCCATCAGCTGCAGCGGGGGGAAGCAGCTCGAGGAAGAACATTTATGATAATTTCTTTATGGAAATGCAATCAGACTGAGACGCTAAAGAAGAAGAGGTCTGCAGTGCAAAATGATTATTATGATGAGTATTACTGAAAGGAAATGAAAAAGTAATGATCATAAATATTCTGTCTTGAGCTGCGTCACCCCGCTGCTGTCGATGGACTCACCCGGAGGTCTCTTTGTATGATATTTTTTGCATAATTGTAATTTCAGAGGATTGAGCAATTCACACGCAAGTAGAAGTTAAATTCAGTGTGTGTGTGTGTGTGTGTGTGTGTGTGTGTGTGTGTGTGTGTGTGTGTGTGTGTGTGTGTGTGTGTGTGTGTGTGTGTGTATTTATGTGTATATTTGAGTCTATTATAATTTGTTTATTTATTTTCCTCCTTCCTCTTTGTACAAACCAGAGTGTACAGGCCGTATTCAGGTCCCTGGCATCTCTAGAGAAGACGGTGGAAAAGTGTCACATCCAGCTCGATGAACAGAAAAACCGTCTCACCTTCACCCTCCACTGCAAACACGGTATTTCCTTCAGAGATAGTTTGCAGTGTTTTACGTTGATGATTACAAAAGGATTACATATTTCTGCAATGACACACATTTTTTTATGTTGCACATCATGCAACCATCACATTGTATTCTGCATGCTTTTGTGTTGGTATTTTCTCTGCAGGCCTCCTGAAGACACATAACCTGTCTTTCCAGGACAGTGAAAGCTTACAAGCAGTGTTTGATAAGGACAGCTGTGCCAATGAATTCAGGTCCCAACCCAGGTCTGTAAACCTCTCTAAAATCTCTCTTTATTGAATGATAACAAACTTTCTTTTAATTATAGGCCTTAGACTTTCCAGAAAAGTTTTTACCTGGTTTTGCTATTGCCCTGTTATGCTTTAAAAACATATGTGCAGCTGATGCAGGTATTCAGGATAAATTAGAGTTAATTTAGCAAATTTAATGATTTTAAATGAAGGGCAAACTGAGGAAGTTATCAAAAGCATCAAGCTGCTGTGTTATCGTTTTTGTGTGTGCAAAAAAAGGTGTTGAATTAAGGCATGTATGGATTCACAGCTTTGCGCGAACAATGTTATTTCAATACATAGCACCACAAAACTCTTCAGTTTTTGCTCGGCTAGGTTCTGTCCTTTGTCATGACAGCTCACTATGTGATCTTCCTCACCCTCAGGCTGCTGGTGGACACTGTCATTCACTTCCCTCAGTCTGTAGATGAAGTGACCGTGTCAGTGAATGATGAGCGAATGTGGTTCAGGAACCATGTGGAGGATGAAGCAGGTAACTGAGCAATCTAGTTTTCCCATTTTAATCCACCTTTATCAATGACTAAAAATTTCAGTCATCACATGAAGACTCAAGTAATTCAGTGCAACAATGCTCACTTAAAAATCAGGGTCACTTGGGGTATTGCACAGAAATTCATAACATTATATTGACATGACAACAGTAAACCCTCCAAAATAGCAAGAACACTTTTAAATTTGTTTAGACAGACTTATTCATTAAGTCAATGTGTGTTTTTTGAAGATTTTTAATAAAAATAATATAGATGAGAGTTGCTATTGTGTTTCTTTTAGTGATTTAAAGTATCAAATAAAAGGGGAAGTGCAATGAAAACAGCTCAGTAGTGTCTCTCTGTGGCGGATTGTTAGAACAGCAGAATGTTTGGAGTTGTATTTGCTCCTGTTGGCAGATAGAAGTACGTTTTTTAATTGATACAGTTTGGTAGACCCTGATCTCGCTTAGGTTTCCACATGTGTGTCATGCAGGAACCATGTTTGCTTTGTGACAGTCTTTAAGAAGCTTGATTTTTTTTTTTTCTAAAAGTACAAGATAACACTTCTCTTTTGGCCTCTATTCACTCTGACTCCTCTTTCTCTTTCCCCCTCAGAGCAGGCCAGGGCCATGCTGACAGAGCTGTGTCTGGCATCGGATGAGTTTGACCATTTTGCCGTCAAATCTCACGGCAGCATCACCTTTTGTCTGAAGGAGTTAAGGGTAAGTCAGACAACAAATGTGGAGATGACAGAGGAGAAGTAGAGCAGAAACAGACCTTTCGAGAGAAAGGAGAAGTTTTCAGGTAGTTACAACAGACAGAGGTTAAGGTTTTAAATAGGAGAAATAATACTTGTAATGAGTAACTTTTGTTGAGTAACTTTTTTGTCATTTCTCCTGCAGGGGTTATTAGTATTTGCAGAGTCTACTGGTCTCCCTATTACTATGTACTTTGATGAGCCAGGCAGGTAAGCATGCTCGCATAAGGTTCCTTGAAGATCTAATGGGCTACTGAATATCAAGACTCCAACTAATGAAAATTCTCAGTATAGGTTGAATTTCAGGCTATTTTCAGGTCAACAGAATAATTAAATCTGCAAGTGCAGCAAAACTGCAAGAAAAGCTAGAGACCAAACCTTAGTATTCAATCGCTTTTATCTCAAAACATTTTATAAAAGATGACAGAAGAAAACAGCAAACCCTTCATGGGAAGGAATTTGTTTGATTAACTTATATAACATATTGAATAAATGATTAGTGTCATTTGATCAACATTGACATCTTGTGTGTTTGTGTGGGGTGGTGATATGATGTGTATATTTGTGTTGGTGTTTACATGTATGTCTGTGTGTGTGTCTCAGCCCTGTGGTGCTTTCAGTGACAGACAGCGTCCTGGAGGGGAACTTTGTGCTGGCAACACTTTCAGAAGACGCCGGCCACCGTAAAAACAACTCTAGAGGGTAACACTAAACACTCCTGCATGTGTGAATGAAGCAGCTGCTGCCTCAGGCTGGATTTTTTTGTATTATGCGCAATTTTTATTTCTTATTTTTTTTATATTTTTGTGCGCTTTGTTGGCCAGCTGTGAACCAGTCCCAAAAAAGCTTCTGGCAGAATAAGGAACTACCCTTTGATCCAAATTGTTCATTCAGTTTTAATGACAACAGGCAAGAAATACTGGACGTTGCCTCTAAAGAGATGCCATCTAGTGGACAAAATGACAGTTGAGGACAACTGTTTTGAAGACTGTGGGATCCTCTGAATGAAAGATCAGCCTGAGAAGCTTTTTTTCAAAGAAATCTCCAAATTTACAAAAGCAGCAGTCTAGTCCTCAAAAAGGGAAGGTTGTATGCTGAGACATGATGTGAATCTGTCATGTGAGGCCCCAGTCTTCACCAGTCCTTCTTTAGTTCTCACTTGTCGTGAGCCCACCATGGAGTAGGATATAGACATGTTTAGGGATGGATGTGAAATTCTGTGAAATTCTACTGTAACAGTTAAAGATTTCTTTAACCTGGCATTTAAAATCTGTTGAACTTCTTGTTTTCAGCTTTGATCTTATTTATTGTACTTGCTAGAGATAGGGGAGGAATATCACCTGTAGAAGGTAAACAACACTTGAATAAGTGTCCATCTGCCTCTTCATCCTGCATTGGTGTATAGTAACACTGAAAGATATCTTGTTAAACTTCATCAAAATAAACTTTAACGAGCTTTACACCTCAAATTGTTTTACATCAATAACTGTGCCTTTGTTTGGTTTGGTCAGCTGAATGAAATCAAAATGTTATTATTATTATTATTATTATTATTATTATTATTATTATTACTGTGTATTATTGTGCAGCTCATTATGTGACCAGAGAGACATTTCCACCTCTCTTTTCCTCATACTCAAATTTGTCTTGACCACCTTTAATCATTTTTTCAGAGGGCGCTCACCACAACCACCGCCCCCTCCTGATGACTTCATGAATGACGATATGGATTCTTTCATTATCGCTATGGATACCAGCATGGCACCCGGTCCCTCAACTTCACGTCCATCCACATCCCGCTCTGATTATTCTACATGTTCAAAACAGTCGACTGCAGCCAATCACAGGACAAGGCATCGCAGTGAGGAGGAGGAAGAGGAGGAGGAAGATAACACAGATGATTTAGACAGACCACCTAATAAGAAGGTATGGGTCACAAATTCAGTGATGAAAGGATTTAAAGGCTCAGAGAAAATGAGAAACTGTTAGGTAAATATAGAACAGAGATGGATTTCCAGACATGCAAAAAATCTGTTCCATGTGCCATCGTATTTTTATAAGAATTAATTACATATTTATCACCAAAAAACTGAAAAGAGTGTATCAAATCCTCTCTACAAAACCAGATGAGAAAGACCAGCTGAGAGGAAGACCTTGAACCCGAATGCCTAAATTAAAACAGTTCTACATTAAATTCTACTTCTTTCTTATTTTTGTTGACATGGTCAGACAGATGATAATTATTATTTAGATGAAATGTTAAAGCTGTAGTGGTTGTTGGTGGTGTACTGAAGTGCGTTAAGGGTGTCCCTGATATTTTGCACTGCTTTGCTTTGTTAATAAAGTGGATAAAATAAAGGAACACCTTTTAGTCTAACACATTCTAGCATATCACCACCCACTACATCTTTAATCATAGAAATATAGTAATCACTGTCTGATTATGTCAACAAAAACTGAAAATGGAGAAGCTTCTTTAGGTGCTGTTGTAGATTAGATTACCCAGGTGTACTTAGTGTTATGGCTGGTAGGTGTATTTTACTCAAAAGGGTGCGTTATTAAACATGAAACACACTCTTCTAATCCTCTGTCTGTTTTGTCCCTCAGTTCTGCTCCCTGTTCTTTGGATCTGTGCTCCCTCCATCCTCGCAAATGACGACTCAGCCGGTGATCAGTCAGGAAGTGTTGGCGAGTGACAGCGAGGATGACCCACAGGATGAGTGAAGGCGTGCTGATGGATGATGAATCAGATGATAGATGGGTGTTGTGTGTTGAATTACTTGTACACACCTACCTTGAGCAGGATCAGAAAATAGAAGCACTTCCTGAAACGTTTTCCACTTTTACAGACTGGAGGATATTTTTTCATTTTATATACAAAGACGGTCTACAGTACAGAACGGGATTACCACTGCTCATGTATAATGGCTTTTTATTGAACTATTATGTTGGAGGTGGATTATGTCAAACTGGACAGAAAGCTCTTCTACTTCATTGTGGTTCAGTGTGCGCAGAAGTGATCAAGGTGAAAGGAAGCCTCTTCAAAATAAAAGAGACTTACTTACTTACTTTTCAACGTTTGTGAAAACCATTTATAAGTTATTTACATTTCAAGAGGTTCAAATAAAAACATCAATATATTTCTGTCTGGTTTAGTCCAGTCAATAAAAAAACACCTCATTATCAAAAAGACAAATATATGTTGTCAAAAGTAAGATTCAGCATAAGAAACAGAAGATCTAAGAGTCTGTGATCCTGCATTGACATCCCGGCTCACACTCTCCTTTTCCCCCTGAAAACTTTTCCCTTTTGTCTGCGGCTTCTTCCTCTCTTGCTCTCTCTCTTTTTCCAGCTTCTTCTCTTTCTTCTTTTTCAGCTTTTCCTCCTCTTTCTCCTTCCTCTCTTGCTCCCTGCGCCTCCTCCTCCTTTCTCTGGAGCTCAGTTTCTCTGGCCCCTCTTCTTTGACTACTTTCCCCACCCCTGTCCCATCACTAAAGTCCTGTATCAGGATTTTGGGCACCTGCATCGTGGCCGGTGCTTTTTGTTTGGCCTTGTTTGACTGCTCCCCTTTCCGTCTGCGGAAGAGACTAAAATGTTTGGGCGGGTCTGGCAGCTGCTGCTCTTGCTGTGTGGAGGTCCTCTCAGTTCCTTCTGCAGGCGGTGACAAGGTGACTTCATGGTGTTGGGTTGGATCTACAGCTCCTGGAGTGGGTTGTGGTTCAGGGGGTTTCACTTCTTGGTCATGAGGGTCTGGTTGTGTTTTCTGTGGCACAGTGAAGAGATCTTCAGACAGTCTTCGCCCCAACCAGGACCTACGTGAGCTGGATGACTTACGAACACAATCACCAGAAGACCTGCTGTTGCGACGCCCACAAGCTTGTGTCTGGCTACTGTTACTGGGCTCAGTCTGGTCTTTGTCAAAACCAGAATCTTTTTCTTGGATTTGTGGGTGCTTGTCAGTATTCTCAGAGTCTGTTTGTTCTGACAAAACGAAGACATCTTCCTCCTTTCTAGTGACTTCCTCAGTTTTTTCTGTCCTTTTCACATCCACCACAGAAACCTCCATCTTTGTTGGTACAGTTTCAACAGAGGCTCTCACTTCTGTCAAACTCTCGTCTGGCACAGGGATGAGATCAACATCCTCAGTCTGTGTAGCAGATCCTTCATTCACCGGACTTTCTGTTGGTATTTCCTCTGCTTGTACTATATCATTGTCGAGCTGTACCTCTGAGCTCATGGTGGAGAGGATTTCTTCTTCTTCTTCTTCCTGTGCAGCTGTACATGTATCAGAGTCACACTCCTTATTTGAAGTTGGAGCAGATTCTTCTTGTTTGTCTGTCACCGTTTCTTCAGTAGCTTCAGTGCCTGAATCAGGGGTACTGTTCGAGCCATCTTTTGGTTCAGTGCATTCAGGTGAATACAAACATGCTGTTTCTGCCTCTGTCTCTGAAGTGACATGTTGTTTTAGATTATTTTCCTCTTCCGGCTCCTGTTTCTCCTGCACAGTTGTATTTTCCTCTTGAGTCTGTGACAGTACATCAGTGTCTATTTCTGCTTGAGCGTGGGGTTCATTTACGTCTGATGCTGCTAATGACTCATCTTTGTGGTCCTCCTTTTCTGATGAATCTTCCTGTGGGTTTCTTTCGTTCTCTGTGATCACATTCTGATGTTGCATCAGGGGATCTTTGGTTGTCAGAGCGTTCAACGTACTGTCCTCGTTAGCTGTTACAGGAACTTCTGTAACCGTTTCGAACTGTGTCTCTTGAATATTTTCTGTTTCTGTCCTCTCCTCCAGTTTCAAGTCAGCTTGATTCACCTGCTCCTCACTCAGATCGGCCCTTCCTTCCAACTCCACCTCAGTATTTGAATCTACATCAGCATCTTTCTGTGTTTCAGTCTGATTTTCCTCCTCAGCAGCAGGTTGTTCACTTTCTGTTTGCTCTGCTGTATCTTTGTTTTCAATTTCCTCTTGAATTTCCGGCTCTTTGCTTTTGTGACTCTGCTGTTTCAGGACTTCCTGATCTTTGGAGATCTGTTCAGGTGTATAGAGAATATCTTCATCAGTCTGATCTTTGGCTGGTCCCTCTGTTTCTTCTGATAACATTTGATTTTGCTCTGTCTCTTCCATTTGGCTGTTTTCCTGTTCATTGTTTGACTTTTCCACGTGCTCAGTTTTTTCTTCCTCTAACACTAATCTTTGTGTGACATGCTCAGTTGTTACATTTTGGATCGTGTCTGCACTCTCAGATACCTCTAAAATTTCTTCCTGTGAAGTTTGTTGTCTTAGATCCTGCTCACTTTTTTCTTTGCTTTCATCTGAGTCTACATCCTCCTCCTCCTGAACCTCCTTCACCTTCCTAACAGGTGATCCAGTCCAGCTCCTCCAGTCTTCTTTTGCCCCCATTGAGAGATGCCTCACAACTTTGCCTCCGCCCTCCCATTCTCCTGTGTTGACCTTCCCCCCTTTTCTCCACTTCTGAAGGAGGGACGGAGAAAGTGAGAGAGTGGAGGCTGAACGAACAAGAGGGACCGTCAGGTTCCCTTTCTCTCTCTCCCTCTTGTCCCGTTCCTCCTCGGTGTGGCGAATCCTCGCCCACGCCATCTGGTATCCATGGCAGCGGCCTCTGGGGTCAAAGGTGGATGAGGGTCGTTCATTTCTCCACTTTTCAAGCTGCTTCTCTGTTTGTTTCTCAAGATCTTTGGCTGAAAGCTGCACAGAGCACACCTGAGAAGATAAAAAAAGTGTTGCTTTAAATTCATGCTGAAGTTGTTGTGAAGTAAGTTTGTTTACTAGACCACTTTTTTCTTCTTTCTAGAAATAGTTTGTAGTCATTGCCCTAATAATTTAGTGGAGTGAATCAGAGAGGACATTAACAAAGAGTCAAAAAGTGCTGTGGATAAAACTGTATATCCAGAGAACCCTGTATGTCAACACTACCTTCAAACATCTGTGCAGCATCGCTAACAGGCCCGGAAACTAGACGAGGACTAAAATCTGAGCTGTTTGTCTTTTAGTAACAACAAGATACTTGGTTTCAATTTCACCTCTGCTATGAAGGTGTCGTCATCTTCTTGGACCTGATCCTTGACACCCCTCAGCTTCTCCAGAGTCTCCATCTGGCCCTCGCACTGCCTCCTCTGCTCCGCTCGACCCAGCACCCGACGCACCAGAACCACCGCCACCTGAAGCAGCACCCGCACACCTGCACCCCAGAGCAGAGGACGTCAGGTGCATCACATCATGAGCTTTACTTAAATTGATGTGAATTATTTTAGAGGTTAGTCAAACAAACAACCTAACTCCAGCCCCTTGATTATTTTTCATTAAACAAAACTGAAAATTATAAAAGACATAAATAAAATTCTTTGTTGCTTCCTTGTAAACAAATGTATTAGTGACATACCAAAGCAGAAAAAAAGGTCCCAGACTCTCAGCAGGGTGTTGAAAGGCAGATGACGTGTGAAAAGACACATCAGCCAATCAGTGGCGTACATGAGCGGCTCCACGCCGTGCTGCTGTAGATGTTTGTGAGCAGCTGGACATGTTCTCTTTAATACCTTGCTCAGTATGGCTGCATCAAACAGGACCCCCTCCTAAAAAGGAGAATAGTAAGAAAAGGTTTGACAGTTTAGGAAAATACAAATTAAGGCAATAGATCAGTCACTTTATTTGTCATTGCTGCTGACCTACCAAACAGTGACTGAAATAAGCTTCACAGTCCACACACTGATTGAAAAATGCATCAATTTTGAGTAGAAGACAGAGAAACTTTCACAAACTTCCATTTGAGTTGTAGAACTCCATGAAGAAGCCTAACAGGTAGTTATGAGTGTATGATGGGATAGTGGTAAGAAAGAAATGCAGTGTCAGACATCTAAGTATGTGCGTGTGTGGTGGTCCTCACCAGCAGGGGGCTGTAATATCCAGGCAGGTACTGCTCACTGATCTGCACTAAACACCAGAACGCTTCCTGCCAGGGTCATATGAGGTGAGATTTTGATGTAATGTCAGTGGATCAGCACCAAATGCAGTTACAGTTCATTTATCAAAAAAAAAGGGGATTAGCAGTACGATTGATCACTACCTCAGCTGGCATGTTCATCAGCAGCACTGCAGCCACTGGACCCTGTGCCTGACAGTAACCCTCCACTGGTTGGTACTGAGTGTAAGCTTTCAACACTCGAAACAAACCACGCTGCCTGCAGACAAACAAATCTTAACTTTAGATATTATGATGTTTGGATAAAAATAACATCTGCATGATTGTTAGGTGTAAATTCCCCTTGACAACAGAAAAACTAAGACATCAGGAAATTGAAAAGAGAGAGGTTATGCAGCTGAACAAAACATAAGTTCAGGTCATATTTCCTACCCATGTCCATCCTTAGAGAGGAACATTTCATGGAAAGGAAACTGTCGGTCCAGGTCTCTCTCAATCACATCTACCCAGCTCTGCAGCGCAGGCTGCAAGTCCAGAGACTAACAGAGATAAAACAGAGTTGAGTCAACTGTATATACAAATCATAAACAAATCTTAGTAGGAAGCCTTTCTAGTTTTATTGACCAACAGGAACAACCAGGACAAGATGATATTTGTGCTTGGATGAACGTTTTGTACACTTAGTGCTTCAACTAACCAGCATTTAATGTCATTTAGTGATTCTACACCAAAGAATAGTGGTGTAAAACAAAACAGCAGCTTTAATAGTTTGTCATCTTAAAATCTGTCCATCTGCTTGTCAAATGATAAACTTCTAATTTGATCACAGACATCTGAAATATTTCAGCAAAAATGCTGAATCACTAAAACGAAGAATAAAAAGAAATCCTACCATCTTAAAATAGGCTGGGAAAAAAAGGACTTCAAATGTAAACTTTACTCTGTAAATCTAAATAGTTGGACTCTGTGGCTGTAGCAGCTGATCTGAACATTTTGACCACAGTGACAGCGTTTAAGTCTCTTACCTGATACAGGGTTTCGTTTTGTTTCATCTTGTTGGTCGCTCCACATAGTAGAGGCCAGCCCTTTGCCCTGAGGGAGGCTGGGATGCCTTTCTGACACTGAACTTTGACCTAACGCAGACATAGAAGCAGAGTAATTTCACCCAAAATGTCATCTATCGTTCAGTTTTGGATTTTCTTCTTTATTTTTATTTTTTGAATCACCACACACCTTACTAGTCTTTTTTAACAGGATACGATCCCATTGGCCGATGATGCTTATCCATTTGGCCTCCCTCTGTCTGACCAGTTTGGGGGCTGGACCAACACTCCTGACATAAATCAGCAGATGAAACAAGTTTTTTCATTAGTTGAATGATGTATTTGTAGACAAAGGGGTCATTTCTTCTGCCAACCCTTTTATTGTAAAGTACAGACTGGTCATTAAACAAGGGGGCTTTAAGTTACTATGCAAAACTGCTGCATGCTGGTTTGTGTGTTTTCACTGTAGAAGACAGCACTCACAGTTCAAGACAGGAAACAGGAAAACCACGCGCTTGCAGTTTGAAGTCTCCATGACAACAGGTCAGGATGTTAACAGAGGGGGGAGACGTTAAAGGTAGCAGGTAGCAGCTAGTTAACCTGATCTTGCCCTGAACTTAAGCCACTTTATAAAGTGTGTCACCTAAAGATACAGTCACACACATTGAAATATGTAGTGTGTTTTAATTTATACTTCTCTATGAATTTTAAAGATTATCAGATGATCTCAAAGTATCAGTCTAAGTTTTCTCTCTTGTACCGCAGGGTTAGGGACACCTCAAACCTCACACAGATTTAACTCTGCTCTGTTTTATATCTATTTCTCCTATTTCATTTTACATTTTTTGTCTCATAAAACTATTGGAATAAAGTCGTGGTCTGAGGAAAAACAAACTCTTTTACGACCTGCCCCTGATAAACTTTAACTGAACTTGTTATCTGCTACTGTAACGGTGTTTCAGCATTCAGGGGAACAATAAGTCTCTGATCATACCGGACATTTGCAGAAGGAACTGGAAAATATTTAAATACCAAGTGGTGTAAACGGCCTGAAAGCACAAGTGGAGGAAAAACCAGTGCAGTGGTTACCATCTTGAGTGTCAAAAAAATTTAAGGTGTGTCCAGATGCTGTGGTTACAGAAAATGAAAATCATTTATTGTTTCGATTGTAAGTGATTCCCTTTGCAAGAAAACTACATGGTCTAACTTTGAAAAAAAGAAAAAGAAATAAAGTCTAAAACTTAAACGTTTCTCTTTGCCAGAATTGTCAGGGCTTATGTCATCCTTCAGACAGCAATGATGATGACGGTGGATAAAAGGTCACAAAATCGCTTTTTTAACGGGTCAACAAGCCACAGATGTTGGAAGAAATAAAAACCTGAACAACATACTAATGCATTACTAGCTGGAAAATGTTTTATTCTACAGTTGGGAAAAAGGAACATTAAGTCTTTATGTAGGCTTATTGTTGACTTAAGTATAAATGATGTGTGTTTATAACTGCGCATGTTAACTAATGAAATTAAAACATAAAAACCTTGGCATTTTACAAAACCTTCTGTATAGAGAAAATAGAAACCTGAGGATCTCCGTGGGTTTGTCTACCATGAGACTCAGACTACTAATCCAAACAGCCACCACAGATGTCATTGTCTTTCTCTAAATCAAATTGTCTCTTTTGGGGGGATATTTAAGTAATTCTGAAAAACTGCTTACCCAGCTGTGGATCCATTGGTCAAAATAAAGCCAAACCGGTCTGTTTCCCGTTCTAGGCTGACCTCTGACCCTGCATCAGATCCGGAGCTATCCTCTTCATTGACCCTCTTCTGGGCTGGACTCGGTGGGCTCAACATCTTACTAACAGAGATAAAAAGAACACGGTGTGATCTACCATCATGATGATATAGAGCTGACAACTTCGCCTCGAGACTGTGGTGGCTTTACGTTGCCTTCTGTTTAATACCATAAATCCATCCAGAAACATCCCTCTGGCTGGAGCATGGCAGACAAAACACACCTCTCAATGCTGTAACAGAACATTCGGTCTCACTTTATGACACTTTAATGAAAAGTGCACACTTTATCACCTGTTCCCAAACCAGGTGGAACAATGTCGTATGTCATATCATTTATAAGTTTAGTTTTAATCAAGAGAGTAGAGAAGTTCAATTCAAACCCTCCAATCAAAAACAAACAAAAAGCCAGCCACATTTTAATTTGTGAAGATATGAATGTATATGTATTTACCTTAAATATTTCCGTCATGTTTGATCAATTGTTGACGGGTGGAGTATGAGATCCTATAGTGAGAAAGGAAGACATACTTCCTCTCTCTCTCTCTCGCTCTCTCTCTCTCTCTCTGTCAGTTTATGACACATACAAACGCCAACTCAATCACTCCTTTTTTTTATTTATATTTAGCGAATGTAGATATAAACTCTCACTATTGATAGCAAACAGCCTATTTTTTTTTAGCTGGCAGTGAAGTTACATCCAGTTTTTCAATAGAGGCCCACTATGTATCAAGTGTGACATTAGAATGATAAACAAATAATCTCTCTGCTGTTAATATCCTTTAAAGTCCTCCCTTTTGTCCTCAAAATTTGAATGCTTCTTGTACTTGCTGTGTGAAAAAAAATCTGTAAGCAAAATCCATGTAAATAAATGCAAAAGTTAAGAGAGCAGCTTTACTTTGCAGTTACCTAAGTGAGAATGGATATTTACGAGCCTTTCTTGAATGTGACACAAATTCGACTGCGCAGTTCAGGGACCGTTGTCTGCGTGTTGGTGTGCATCATAAACTTGTGACAGAGGTAAGTGTGGGAGAAGAGGATTATCGAGATTAATTGAGTATTATTTAGTTCAAATAAAGACACAAGTGGGGCTTATTTACTGAAATTGAAACATTATTTTAATTTTTTAGTTCGTTTCTTCGTGGGGTCAGGGGTTAGGGTTCAGCTGGGAAACATTTTCCATGAATTACTTCACCATCGCCCTTAAAAACTTTAAAAGTGTTCACCAGTGTTCACAACTATTACGTTTGGACATTTTACCGCCGTATTATTGGTGCGTGATTTCCCGCTATATTATCTGTTTTTCTAGCTGTTACGACTCTTAAGTTGATGAGCGATAAATTGTAATCACACTGAAAGTCAAATTAAGAGATATGCAGTCTGTACAATAGAAGAAAATAACCCAAATATATATGTTAGGGAAAACTACGCAGTCGCCTGTGGAGCCCATTTTGCGACCGGTTACTTAATTTGTAAAGAGGCATTCACGTGTATTTACAAAGATCGTAAATACGGAGTCCTCGTTACACGTTGAGCGGAAATGACTGCCAACTCACTTAGAAACCGGTTTCAGTTCTTAGGTAACTCCGCTACTGTCGTGGGTGTAGCCTATGGTGTTGGTCAGCCGTGTAAATCTCACTTTATCTTTCAGATTTGGAAGCGGTACAATATCATTCATGCTACTCTAACGTGATAGTTTCTTTTTCCCATTCTGCCGGCATGCCCTGAATGTGGCAAACCGCTGACGTAAAACGAGGGATTTGGGGCGCAAGATTAGGCCTGTAGGATGCTTGTGCTCCAGCTCCAGCCAGCTGCCTGCCCCCTCTCTCCCTCCCTCCTCCCCTGTTTCAGTGAAGAGCGGCTTCTGTGTTACAACAATGGAGGTTTCCAGCAATGACTGTGTGAATTTTAGTTCCTCAAATAACTTTCAGCTATGCCTGAATGCTTTCAACTGTCTTCTCTGCTTAGATGTCTGCTGCACAGAGTCTGCGTGTTCTTCAATGGTATTCAAAGCCAGGTACTTCTGAAGAAGTTATCATCCACTTCTGTCCACATGCACAATGTTACGCGTTGTCTAATCACTTTTGTATGTTTTCTAGGCACATTTGGATGTGGTCCTGTGGTGTTGAGGTCTTTCAGCCTCAGTGTGCAGAGAAAGGGCTACAGTGAGTTCTACTTTCAAACTGTTCAATGCTACAAACCAAGTGATGTTTATACAAGGCATTCACAGTAGATAAACTTAGTGTTTGAAACTATCTACTCTCTCCTTTTGCTTTCCGTGCAGAGTATGTAAATGCACAGGAGCTACCAACGGACATGAAATCCATCACTGACCGGGCTGCCACTACCCTCCTATGGACTGAACTCTTTAGAGGTAGCAAAGAATCACACACATGCATGTGATATGCATTATTTAAGAATGAACAAATCAGACAAAAATGCAAAAACAGACAACAAATAAATCAAAGTAGGGGAGAGTGGGGTAAGTTGAGCCACCCCCTGTTGCTTGGAAATGGTAAAAGTAAACAATAATGGGAAAAGGTTAAACTCGATAACAGTCATGTTAGCTATATACAGGCTTGGAGCAAACCTGAACCACAGCTCAGTTGGATGTTTGTTGTGTGAATATGATGAATAACTCTGGTATTGGTCATTAGAGTGAGTTGTGGATGTCCTTGGATCTTTAAAACCTTCCTGCAGGTCTGGGGATGACCATGAGTTATCTGTTCCGTGAACCTGCCACCATCAACTACCCATTTGAGAAAGGCCCTCTGTCTCCTCGCTTCCGTGGAGAGCATGCCCTCCGCCGCTACCCTAATGGAGAGGAGCGCTGCATTGCCTGTAAACTATGTGAAGCCATTTGTCCCGCTCAGGTGAGCACAAACACACTACACTGCTGCTATACAGATTGAACCCTGTTAGTGTAGAGAGCTTGTCATTTCGTTTCTTCTCAAAAATAAACCCGATAATAGGTTCGACCCGTGTGAATTCTGGATGTATGAGAGCAGGGATGACCTTTTGTTTTTCGTTTATAGTTTATCATACACTACCTACATCATCTTGGCTTTTACTCATTTCATTTGTATCATCAAATGTAATTGTTTCTTTTAAAAACTTTGGGCATTTACAAGCTTAAGTTCTGTGAAATTTCCATGTTGTTTTTACAGCATCCAGGGTTTTCTACACTTCTCTCTGTATAGAGAACATAGGTTGTGGCTTATTCCAAATGAAGTGCTGTATATAAGGTAGATGTGTCTGTCATATCTGACTTTGATTTGTCTTCTCTGGTTCTCTCTGTGTTGAGCCTAGGCCATCACCATTGAAGCTGAGACTCGAGCTGATGGCAGCAGGAGAACTACACGCTACGACATTGATATGACCAAATGTATCTACTGTGGCTTCTGCCAGGAGGCTTGTCCTGTTGATGCCATTGTTGAGGTAAGTTCTGTTTCAAAACATATATCAAGCATATAATTCTATATTATGAATATGTATTTTGATAAACAGATGTTAATTGTCTTCTTTTTCACAATCCTTTCATTAGGGTCCAAACTTTGAGTTTTCCACTGAAACTCATGAGGAGCTGTTGTACAACAAAGAGAAGCTGCTCAACAATGGAGACCGATGGGAGGCTGAAATAGCAGCCAACATACAGGCAGACTACCTGTACAGATAGACCCACAGATGTAGTGCACTATTCTCCCAAAGTTGTCCTCTTGTGCTTTAAAACGGTTATTTGTGGCTTTAAAAAATATTCTAGAGAGTGTCATATGTAAAGTAAAGCCTCGAGGCCTCAGATTCTGTTTTTAAACAGACATGATGTAAACACGCACAATTGTCGTATTATGTGATGTCCAATTGCACTGATTTAACCTGTGAATCAATGTCATGACCCATATAACCAATGCACTTTATGTCATAGACTATTTCCGGCTGCACTTCAAAAGCCTGTTTTACCTCCATGTAGTAGCTATAGGCCATCTTTGATCAAGTAGGCCTAATTATGTAATGTTGCTAAAACATTCTGAATTACTGAAATAAATGTCTCCGAACATCAAAAATTATCCCTTTATTTTAAGTATTACTAAAAAGGAGAGGTGACTGACTTATTTAATGATCACCCCATAACTATCAATATATGCACTGACCAGATATGTTTATTTCTCAGACAAACAAGGTGTCGCCCGTCTGTTTATTTTTAATCTGCCTTTTTATATAAAAGTGAGCTAAATAAAAAACAAAGAAAGTCCTGCTTTTCATAGCTAATATATCTCAACAGAGTGTGTGAGGGGCTTTTACCCAAGAACACTATCTTTGAAGGCATATTTGTTCCTCTGATCCAAAACCTGCTTTTTCCTACAGGCACGTGTTCGAGTGATTTTCACCTGGCAATAGTGATAGAGGGTAAAGTAGGTTTGGGTGGATTTAATAGCTGCATATGTGGGAGAATAAGGTCAGTAAGAGTAGTCTTGGAATTTGCATGCTATCTTTATTTTGCGCAGTGGTTATGACTAACTATCACAAAGCAGTTATTTTCAAGGGAATTCATATGGTGATAAGAAATGTTTTAGTCATCTGGTCATATTTACTCTCTCAAACTACCATATTTTGGTTCTCTCTCCTGCAGCTGTTATTGTGCCGAAGACCCTGAGTCCACCAGGGAAGACTCACATTCCCCAGGAATGGGTGGAAAAGCATTTTTATTTGGTCTCCTCATAGCACTTTTTTTCCCTCCCTTTGGACATTGCACAGTTAAAAATAAAAGAAAACTACTTTAATTTGTCATGTATTATCCTATTTTGATGAAAAGTACTTTTTCTTGGGTATATTATTTCGGGTAAAAATCACCCGGCAAGAGTGATGGTGTTACTAATTTTATCGATATTGGTTCTAGGGTTAATTATAAGCGTCGAGGGCCATGTGGAATTACATGGACCTTGACATGCAGGATCATGCTTTGTTCGAGCTCTGGTATTACATTTTACCGCTGCGGTGATCACGTGATAAGGGCGGAAACTGACTCATAGGCCACGCTGAATCTCCCGCGAACGCAGCCATTTACTTCTTTCCTCTCGTCGCAGTGACACCGGTGAGTCTCTATTATTCTGTCCGCATGGGCCATCCTTCTTTCTAGGTTCCTGATTTTGAGGGCTGTCTGCTAATATAACGTTTTACTCATATGTTTGCTCGGCGTTCGTATGTTGTTTGACAGGTAACCACTGTAAGGTTTGAGCAACTTGATCAGGCCTCTGATTTTCTTGCGCTAACCACAAGCTAACTTAGCTTTAGCTCGGTGAAAAGAATGGCTCCCATGCCGCGCTAGCTAACAGGTTAGCGAGCACAACTCTCCCTCTTTACGCCGCTTTGTTCTGCAGATCGGCTTATTTGTCTTCAGTTAGTGGAATAATATGGTTTTAGTAACAAACCTGGTTTCGTTAAGTCTGGCCGATCGGTTTAGCACCAGTTTAGTCTGAGTTTGTTACTGACTGCATCATGGACCCGATCCGACCCGATTGTTGCAGTCGAACAAGAAAAAGTGCGCTCGCTCGCGCGTCGTATGGCGCACTCTTGCTAACGTCGGTAGCTGGGGTCGCAAGCTAGCTGGTGTTGAAACACTCGGAACGACGGGTTTATTTGATGATAGCTCAAACATCTTTAACACAAATCAATCACATGACGGTGAACAATAAAATTGTCTGACAATCTGGTCGATTTGGACACCAGGGAGTCAACGGTGACATATTGGTGGGGCTAACGGTTTCGGCCGTTTGGTTGGGTAGAAAATGCTAGAAATGAGCTGGTCAGGAAATTCAACTGCGTTCAACGACTGTCTGCCAAACCGAGTAAAGCCTCTGTCTGTACATTATTTTAACCTAAACGACAGCATGTCCGCATAATTGCGTACATGACGTTGCTTTTTACCATGCTAAATGTCCCGCCTTGTTCTTTCATTTCAGGTAAATCATGACCGAGCTAGAGTGTGTGGCGATTTTCAAGGTAAGTGTTTGCTGCGGTGTCAGAAGGAAACTGTCTCCAGTTTTAGTAAACCGTCTCCAGCATATGTAAACTCTGCCTCCAGCTTTAAGTCCCGAGTATTAGCTGTACGCCTGCTGCGTATACGACTCGCAATGTTGGTAAACCAGTACAAACCAGTTTACACTAACTTGCTGTTTTTTTACAGTTGGTTTTGGTTGGAGATGGAGGCACCGGGAAAACAACTTTTGTGAAGAGGCACATCACAGGAGAGTTTGAGAAGAAATATGTTGGTGAGTAAATCCTGTGCTATGAAGGTTCTGTGGACAAGGTGTGATTCACTTAACTTAAAGGTGCAGTAGACTGGCATGGCTGAACACACCCGTAAATACCTTTTCGTGCATTTGTTTAGATGTATGCCGCTGCACAGTAAGAGGCGGCCTCTAAATGACGAACTTGATCTTTGGTTTTTAAGAAACCACACATCAAAACACCTCTGGAAAACTATTAAAGTCGCTGTTTCATTTGTTTAAATCATATATAAATCAAAACTTAAAGATAATTATATCCAACCAAAGGAATCCAGAAGCTGAAGCAGTGCCAAGCAGCCATAGAATGATAAACAAAGGGAAAATCCAACGCCCCTCAATACAACAGGATGCTGTTAAATTTTAGTTTTGAAGTGTGCCAAGTAGGGCCGGGCGATATGGACCAAAAGTCACATCCCGATATATATATATATATATATATATATATATATATATATATATATATATAGGCTGAATATTGATATTCTCTCTCTCTCTCTCTCTCTATATATATATATATATATATATATATATATATATATATATATATATCAACAGGAGTACCTTTTTTTTTTAAATTGGAGCTCCATATGGTACATATTTAAACGAAAAATATATTTTCAATAGAAATGGCCCATAAAGTAAAATAGGCCAATCTTTTTTAAATAAATTTATTTATATGAGAAAAGCATCAACATTTTGACAACTATAAATGGCCCATTAAAATCAAATAGCAGATTTTTCCTTTCTCTAACAAATCCACAGATGCAAACAATGTAAACTATAGAAGAATAAAATATGACAAACCCTAGTATAGGCAGCATTTACATGTATAAAGACAGAACAAAAGAAAGCGCTTAGTTTAAGAAAATTGTTTTTAAACATACTTTTGAGATAACCTATCTGTCCTTCTTATCTTCTTCAGTCTAAACCACTTTCACGGATTATGTCAGATTATGAACTCAGTAAACTTTTCTCCCTCTTTCGTTTTTACTTTGATAAATAGTTAGTGCTGTCTTGAGGTAGACATTAGAGGACAGAAAAGTCTTTGAAGATTTTGTGCGAGAAACACCAGCCTGTCAACAACAGCATAAGAATTCTGTACATTGATATATGCGATATGGTCCAATTCCATATCTCATTTAAAAACATATTGATATATTTTTTTAGATCGCCCAGTCCTAGTTCCGAGAGGTGATTATTGCACCAACATTTATTTATTCAAAGACATTGGGGAATCCTATAATAACATAAACAAGGGGAGCAAAATAGTTTTGAACAACCTGTATTATAATGCGCCTGCTTTAGTTACAACAATGACATTCAAGAAATATTATTATTTGAAATAAAATAGTTGTGGAAACATTGTCAAAGCAGAATTTTTAGTAAAGCTGTTGTTTTTGGTTGCATTAGATTAATGGTCATATTGCTGGTTGAAGCATATTTTAGTCTCAAATGTCTTCCTCTGTAAATGCATGCACTAGGATTTGTTTTTGCTTGTAAATGTTGATTTTAAACAGGGTAATCCTGTTAAGGATTGAATTATAAAGGAGTTGACCCTTTGTATTGAGATTGTAATTTTGATGCCAATGTGGTATCAAATTTGTATTATCCAAGTTCTTTTTTATTTGTTTTTATCCAAGTTCTTTTTTCAGCTGTGCCCTTTTGATTTTTTTTTTATTCCTTTGCTCAGCCATTTTCATATTTTCCACATTTTATTTACTCATACATCTTGATGTTTGCTCATCCATACAGCTACTCTTGGTGTAGAGGTGCACCCGCTGATTTTTCACACTAACAGAGGCGCTGTCAAGTACAATGTGTGGGACACAGCTGGACAGGAGAAGTTTGGAGGGCTGAGAGATGGCTACTACATTCAAGGTGCAATTAACGACTCAAATCATGCTCTTCTTTGTTTGTATTACACCTCATGCAGTTGAGTAGTCTCTACAAAATTAAATTTTCCCACCTTTCTCTACAGCTCAGTGTGCTATCATCATGTTTGACGTCACCTCAAGAGTCACCTATAAGAACGTACCCAACTGGCATCGCGACCTGGTTCGTGTCTGTGAGAACATTCCCATTGTCCTTTGCGGAAACAAAGTGGACATCAAAGACAGAAAAGTCAAAGCCAAGAGCATTGTGTTTCACCGCAAGAAGAATCTGCAGGTAACAACTGCTTGATTTTTGGTTCAAGTCATAGACGGCAACCGTTTGGCCTTTGCCATTTGTCTTGTTTCGCATGCCTTACTACATTGTTTGTATCTGTTTACAGTACTACGACATTTCTGCCAAGAGTAACTACAACTTTGAGAAGCCTTTCCTGTGGCTAGCAAGGAAGCTGGTTGGTGATCCTAATTTGGAATTTGTGGCAATGCCTGCCCTTGCTCCCCCAGAGGTCCAGATGGACCCAGCCCTCGCTGCAAGATACGAGGAAGAGCTTCAAGTCAGTTTAACTTTTTGGTGCAATGTTTTCATAGATTGCTGCCGAGATTTATTAGTGCTCGCATCATTACCTCTTAAGTCTCAATACTGTGTATGGCACCAATTCATCATGTGATTAAATTTTTCTTTTGTCCATCTGATTAGGTTGCATCACAAACAGCACTCCCTGATGAAGAAGATGACCTCTAACCTGTTACCTTACAATGTCCCTCTACCCCCCTCAGCCGTGGACAGAAAGTTGTTGGAATTTTGCCCCTTTACTGTAAAATCCCTTTTCAGATTTTTTTATTTTTGAATTTTTTTTTGTTTTAAAAATAAGAAAAACGAACTTGGTGAAAAAGTTGTTGTTCTAATTTCACTGTTTAAGACACACCCATCCTAGTGTTGTCAAAGGCATGGCAACGTGCTACTCTTCATCGTTGAGCAACCACCAATACACTTACCCAGCTTAGATTATGCTGTTGTATGGTGTACTGGAAGCACTAAGTAAAGAAAACTTTGAATAAAAACATTCTCAAATTAAAAGGTCTGGTTTTGTTTGCATTTTAGACAAATATGTATACAGGGAGCTGTGAAGCTTAAGGACTTGATGTAGTTGAGTCATTTTTCATACAGATGCAGCTGTGTTTATGTAACTTTCTAACTGGTGGTACTATAATCCAATAAAGCAACGATGTTGAAGTGGCCAATACAGTAGATTTAAACAAGTCATTTTATCAATTGATTTCACTTTTTATCATTGATGTAATTTTCAATAGGTTCAAACAAATCCTCAACTTTGATAAAGGATACCCAAATATTTCTGTATTGGTGGGTTACAATATAAAGAATGTCCATGATTCTTGAACTTTAGCCTTCAAAAAGAGTAATACTGATTATATTGCCTTATACAATTGTCATGTTTTATAAATATTCAGATCCTCTATCCTTTTAGATCATCTATATCTTGGGTTAGCCATCTAATACACAAAGAAGATTTGGTTTGGTATCACTTGGCAATATGAAATTCAAACTTCTCGTTGAAGACAATTTCAGCAAATACACGTCTGAATTCAAGATACACAGTTCAAAGTCCAGGACTCGATGTTTTTTAAGGTATGTGACACATGAAGCAAATTTTCCTAATTTGTAATTGTAGGGGTAATGTCTTGTAAGCGATGAGATTTAAACAAAATCTAGTTTAATGAGCCAAAAAAGTTACTGTAACAAAGTCAAAAGTCGAGTTTTCTAAACCGTAAAACATCCTTTCCGTGCGACACAATTGCCACGAGTAGTTAGCTTTTTGCAGCTGTCTCTACGTGACATAAACGCAGGGAAAATACAGTACAATACTTTCCAGCCATTGGGGAAGCTCTTTGTGTAATATGTTCAACCCTTGATTCGTCAGCAGGTGGCAGTCATCACCCTCCATTCAAAGCACCGTGTACGTTGGCACGTTATTACGTAACAGTTTTACGCTGCACATTCGCCGTGACGTGTGCCCTCTACCAGTTTGTACTTGTAGTAAACGGATATACAGTAAAGCACGCAAATTCACATAATTCTTTTATCAATGAGATACTTTGAAATATAATTTCTCATGGTCAGTGTTGTCATTTGGAAGAATTCTCATAAATTATCTTCACAATGAGATTCTTTCAATCTTCAGTTTTCATTTCGGTTATCAACAATGCCTACATGGGAAAAACTCCAGATATCCTTAATCCAATTGTTGCTTGCTGTAATGTTAATGACGGATTTGCTATATATTGTTTTTTTCATCACAGTTTTTACAGTATGACTAATAGGCTCAAAAACTGGGTTGCAGACATCTGTAGTTGGAGGTTTTTCAATGAGGGCATTCTGTCCCTCTGTCCCACCTATCCAAATGAGGATGAGATGATGGACTAGGGAATATCTGGAAATGAAAGCCCAGTATGAATAGCAAAAATAATCATAGTTCTCTCAATACGAATTTCGTGGTGGATATCTGGAATGGCAATAGTTTATAGAATATAAATACGGTCATATTTAATCATGAAAAGCTAAGTGTGTTGTAAATTTGTACTATAGGCTATGAAATATCAATGAATTCCTTCGATTTCATCATCAAACTGTTTGCCAAAAACTCACTGCCTTTCACCACATCATCGATGGTACGATAACACCATAAGACGCATTCAATATCACTCGGAAACACCACTTCACCTGTTCAAAAATGACCACACAGGGTGTTGGTGACTATAGATTAGTGAAGTGGCAGTGCAGGCTGAAGAGTGAAGAGTACATTTTTCAGTGCATACAGAAAAATAATACATGGAATAAATAATAGATGGGTAATGAGTTCATCTTTAGAAAGCTAGACTGTTCTGGGACCTTTAGAGTTATGGTGTGTCCCAAATTGCATACTTCCATACCAAAAACTGAGTCAATCGTGCAGTGTGCGAGTGTCGAGGGTGCAGAGCTGTCCCAAATCGCATACTACTGCGTGGCGCACTCACTGGAAATGACGACATGATTTGCCTCATGTCTGAACATTTATTGTGCATAACAGAAAAACAACAAACTATTTACATATAAAAAATTTAGAACAGGAAAACTAAAGATACACTATTTACATATCAAACATTCGGAACTCGGTAACTAAAGATAAACTATTCACAAATTAAGCATTTAAAACTAGAAAGAAAGTATTTAAAAAAACCCTACTTTTTAAACATATTTTATATAAAATATAATACATTAATATAAAATATAAAAGCAACTTATTACTTACATCTGTACAAAGCTTCCAGGTTGACTGTCGCTGATCCACTGGCACCACAGCTGTCCGCAGCCATTCTTACCAATGAATGGCGGGTGTCCACTGTCGCATACTCAAAATCTTGACCGATTTGAGTATGTCATCCGTGTACTTTTGCATACTCAATTTTCGCATACTATCCATATTTTTTCTCCATTTTGAGTTGAGTATACTCAAAATTTTAAGTTTTTAGTATGGAAGTATGTGATTTGGGACACACCTTTAGTGTTGAGGTGCATTCCATGGTTATTTGGGTTCTTTTAGCTTAAACTTCTCACAGTTTTAGTATTATTTTTAATACCTCAAAGGATACATAATGTTTTGCAACATTTTCGATGCAAATTTGACAGATTTTGATGTACTATATCTAGTTTCCCTTAGCAGGTTAGTAGTTTTAATAACCTTAGTCCTCAAATTGTCCTGATTCCCGAAAACACCTGAACGCATCGTCGGTGCAGGTGGCTAACAGGCGTGGCTTCATCTCAATGGACAGGGAACCGTGTGCGCATGCGTCAGCCAGAAAAGTGCGTTTTAGAATGATTACTGGTGGCCAGCGGAGAGGCAGATTATACAGCTCTACACAACTGTTGTTTTAATCCCCCGAGCGAGGAGATTTAGCAAAGAAAAAACACTGGTTTTAAAGCCAGCAGCCATATTGCATGGAAAATAGACGGAAAGACTTCTCTATTCAGAAAAAGTCGTTGTCTCAGACACCTGTGTCAAGACTTTTGGGAAGTTTACCTCCTTGTCTTACTGGCTGTGTTTCTGTCGGACAGCTAGCCTACCAGCTGGCTGACGAATCCAGGGATCTGGAGTGTTTTTTTAAACGATTTTACACAGTGCTGTGGTTATCTTTTTGAGTCAAAGGTGTAAAATCAATAACCTAAACGATGAAGGACCGATTGGAGCAACTTAAAGCGGTAAGTAGTGAACAGGAAACGTGAATTTACGGTTTAATGGCATTTCTTCCTCCACTTATATCTCTTTGTACACGTTTATCGTCCCTCTGATGTGTCAGTGTGGATAAAATTAAAAAAAGAGCCATTTTAAAACGTTTAAGACTTCACATAGCCTGTAAAGGTGAACAAACCGCTCCTGTATCATGTGATAATGTATCAGTTATGATAGCTCTAGTAGGCCTGAAGGTTAGGAAGTGATTAAAATGTTGGTGTTGGGGGAAAATCATTCAGTCATTCAGACATACCCTTTTTTTTACATGCAGCCATGTTGTATCGTGTCAGAGATATGTTGTAATGCAGTAAAATATGTTTTATTGCATGTTAATGTTAAATGACTACATTTAGGTTCTTGTTTGTATAATATGGTATAAACATTTTTTTTGGTCTTGCTGTAAAAAACAATCCATTTGAAGATATCTCTTTCAAAACCTGTAGTACACATACCTCTTAGTATGTATTGGTTGTTTTTCATTGAGAAAATATGTAGATTGTAGAAACACATTGCTGAAATTATAGTGTTTCATAAGATCTTTGTTAGCAATTTAAAATGGATCTAAGACCTGCAACTTCTGCAGAGATTAGACCACTAACTTAGAACATCAGGGCTTAAAAAACAATGAAAGTTAATATTCGTCTTTTATTTCATACCTCACTAATAAAGATGAATACACCTGCTGTCTGTAGGAGTAAGGTCTTGATCTAATTGAAACCCTACGTCGGGATATGTTTCCATGGCTCCCTGAAACTGCTTGCCAAATATTTGCTGTGTTTGAAGTTGTTGAACTGCAGTAGGCTTTCCCCTCTGGTGTCTGTATCTCGCACAGCTGGCTCCTTTTCAGGGAAAGGAAGTCCGCACAGACACTGAGGTGGGCTAGGCTTTTGTTGTGAAGTTGACATTGCATATGTACACACCGTTTAGAATCAGGTTCTTTTTTCCTGTTTTCCTCCTTTCAAAACCGTCCTGACTCTGTGTTTGTGTGTGAAGGGGGTGGGCATGGGTTCATGTGAATTTGGGCTCATGCCATCGCCGTCAAAACATCACCTGATGTACTGACTTGGGACAAAACGAGCAACAAGAAATGCTGACAGAGTTAAATATGGATGTATAAACACATGTGAAAGCTACACTAAGGTAGTCAGAAAAGACTTCGCTACATGAAGAATAAAAAACACTGTTGACGCTGTTGGCATGTTTGTCATATTTTATCACTGGACTTAAGGCTGGTGTTGAGGATGTTTGTCTCAAAGGGTTAATAAATAGCGTTTTTTATGTTTCTAACTTTATTTTTTGCTCTGTTGAGTCTCCATACACCCGAACAAACTGCCTTCCTTCACAGCGTCAAAGAGAGGTTTATTGTCTTCTATAATTTCTTCAGTTATGACCCTTGGAGACAAAGTCTGGCTGTAAATCACCCTCCAGATTTTCAAGGTGAAGGAAGCAGAGGAAAGGTTTGCAGAGGGGAGGACATGACATGGAGTGTGTTTATGATTGATGATATTTTTAGATTTTCTTATTTGAATAGAATTAACTCCAAAATTTGCCGCAGTAATGTTGGAACTGAAAACACTTGTTAAGTCTTTGTTTTTGGTGAACTGAGGCATTCAGTGATGAGTTTTTACTGAGCTTGAATGAACATTAACTTTGACATATCAAATTGTGTTGATAGAGCTCGTCAATTTATTGAATTGGAGAGGTAGACGATCACAGTGTCTGCTTCAGAGTCAAACCTTGGTCAAGCCATCGCCTTGGGAATTATGCAACTTGACATATGGTGCTTTGCATGCAGAACAAGTTTAATAGATTGATTTGAATAAAGAGAACAAACCTTCAGCTGAGCTAACACATTGATCACATGTGCACTGATGTGCAGCATGTGTCCATCTTTTCATTCTAACATTGATTTACATTGTGTGTAGACGTTCTCTGGTGTTTAATATAAGATTACAAAATCTTAATGTTATGAAAATTCAGCATGTTTTTTTTTTTTTTTTTTTAATCTTGGAAAGAGAGAAGAGAGAATCCAGTAGCTGATTCTTGGTCTACTTTGTCAATAAATATCAACTGAGTTTTTCTAGAATTGAAATTATGATTAGAAATAATAGTTTCTTGGGGTCAGAAATTGAAATCAGAATAGCGCCTTTACCTACAGACTTTTGTGGTTTGTTGACATGTAATGCTGCATTTTGCATCACATGTTTTATGAAGATATAATCAGCTAGGGAAAAGAGAAGCTGTGAAATCTCTGTGCAACACATTAGTTTTAATTTCTGCACTGAAAAGCTGTTAATCACCCTGTCCCTCTTAAGTAAATACGTTTAATTCAATAAAATGGCTGCGGAACAGGAGTGCGAATCTGACGGGCATCTCTTTTTTCAGCATCACCACTTATGCACAACTTTCCACCTGAAGGAATTAGTTAAAAAACAGTGAAATGCTTTTTAATATACAATATGTTAAATTTAATTGAGAGATATATTTATATGATTTCATAGAATATATATTTGAGCTTCTCCCATGTCTTCTTACAACAACAGTGTCTTTAAGTTTAGTTAGAAGTATAATTAAAAGTGAGATAAATAAACAATATTTTGAAAGTTTTCTCGGGTAACTTAGTTAAAACACTCTCTGACTGTTACTGTCAGTGTCAGATTCTTGTTACACAGAAATAAGTGTTGGCACGTCTGTGGTATTTTGTCAGTTTGTCAAAGCATTTCTTTCACATCAGCCCCTTTCCCCTTATTTTTGCTGAATGTGATACCCTGGAAGGAAGTCAGCGCCTGCTGTTATCTCGCTGCTTCAGAAGTGCTGTTTGAGGGAACAAAACGTGTCGGCCTGAGTGTTACAACTGTATGTTGAGTGAATAATTCACCAAAGAGTGTAAAAAAACCAGCAGTGTGTCAGTGTTTCCAGGGAGCTCTGTTTTCAAACTTGTTGATGGTAGCAGCGGCCTGACACAAATATAGTCTCGACTAAATTTACAATTCAAATTTCAGACAATGGGGAGAGCGTTACAGAGCGATGAGAAACTTGTGTTTAAACTTAAAAAGAGTAAATTGTAGAAGGGCTGGCATTGTCACGTCATATTCATCCTTTAGGCAAATCAAACTAAACAGCTGATTTTGATATTCTATTCTATTCTATTCTATTCTAGAAAGACTCATGCAAATGTACTGAGGTTAAATTCTCTGTTGGCTTACATCCTGATTAATGGTCTAATTCTGCACCTTAGAAAACAAAACAATTTATTCTTGATATAAGAAGGCCAGCTAAATGAACCAATGCAATGTGCTGCTCTGTTTGAACAAAGGAGGGTGATTTTACTGAGGTATGTTGAAAGATCGATGACTAACAGTTTCCTAAATGTGACTCTGACTCAGGCAGACTTTCTTCATGATTTTTCATACTTTTAATCTTTCAAGTTATCTAACTCCATGTGTTGAGTATTTCACTGTCAGACTCGGCTGCACCTGTGAAATGCAGAAGTAATTAACAATATGGGAACAAAGTGCACGTACTGCCTCTCCGCTCAACACCGTCACAGCTCAGCCCTGTGATGTCTGTTTACCCTCAGAGCACGTGAGCTGTGGTTTCTTGGGTAGACTCTTGGGAACAGGTTGAGTTCCTGGAGCCTGGCCCTCGCCCCTCACCGTGTAAATACTCCTCGGCAGCTCTGAGGTCTGTGTAACCTGGAGCTCTGCGCTGTGTTTACCCAGTGTCCTGTGTGACGTGCTTATGACTTCAGAGCTGTCAGACTTCCTTATGGAAGTGATGGGTGTGGGCTGATCAGGGTCAGGACAATATTTCTACCTTGTATGACATCTTCAGCTGATAACCAGGAAGCAATTTAACTGCTGAGTGTTTGTCCAGGGTGAAAGAAAGACACAGAAGATATCAACTTAAAACTGTCTGTAATGAGGAGGTGGTCATAGAGTTTAAATCTTGGTGGAAAACCAGATTTTTTTTCCATGTTTTAAGTGATTTGAGAAAACGAGTTTGACCCTCATGTTTGTTCAGTGACCATGAAGCCTAACTGGCAGCTGGATAGAAAAATGAACACAGTGGGAAACTAAGAGCCTGACTGTGTGCATCAGTCAAGATTATCTATAGAGCTCACTAATGAAGCCTTTGTATTCTGATTGTTTTATTTATGTATAAGACTGTATGACTAACTTAGGCAAACAAAAGCAAGCAGGTAGATTTGTAGATTTATTGGCAGTAAGAAAAGAGGACACAGGTTTGAATGTAACTTCACAGTCTTGGGTACACACTGTTTATTGTTACTGTTTTATTCTAAAGGTACGTCTATTTTGAGGTTTTGTTTCCAATCACAAGGATAACCTCCAAAGTCGTACACTCAAAAGAAGTACTTTTGTATCCCAAACATCTGCTCCTGTATCAAAAGTTTAATGGCTGCCGTTTTCTCTGTTAGACGTGTGATCAAGATGACGACGAGGTGGAGATCGCTGTGGACAATGCAGCTTTCATGGACGAGTTCTTCTCCCAGGTCAGCAGCACTTTGGTGCATTAGTACTCGAGTTTTTATCAGCACAGTGTTGGATTATATTTTTATCTGAACACATGCTTGAATGTTTGTGAATACCATTTGATACAGTTTTAGGGCTGACGCTGTAATTGTCTGTTTCAGATTGAGGACATCAGGAACAGTATTGATAAAATCGATGAGAATGTGGCTGAAGTCAAAAAGCTTTACTCAGTCATCCTGTCTGCTCCCACATCAGATCAGAGTAAGATCACCTACTGCCACCCTTTTTGTCTCTTTTGACAAAAGCTCAGAGAAGACCACAAATATGTGACAAACAACCATGACTTTCTGACAGTAACTCACTGCGCAGCTGAAGGATCAATGTATTGTAAAAGATGGCAGAGCTTTCCCTGATATTGTTCATTGTTATTACCTTGATTTAAAATAGTAGTGTTTATGGATGTGCTTGTTGTTTATTATCTCTGTTTTCACAGAAACTCAGGATGACTTGGAAGCAATCACCAATGACATCAAAAAGATGGCCAACAATGCAAGAAACAAACTCAAGAGTGAGTGCTCATACCCCGAGACTGAATATTTCTGAAGAATTAAAAATGTGAAGAGCAGTGTGTTATAAGCTGAATAATGAGCCATTTATCCTCATGTCTTCTTAGCTATCGAGAGGAATCTGGAGTCTGAGGAGCAGGAGAGGGTGTCTGCTGACATGCGGATACGTAAATCACAAGTAAAGCCTATTTTTAAGTTTCAGGTGGTCTCTTGTAGGCTTCCTTGTTTTTTAGTGAGATGTTTCATTGTTCATCAAGGATAGGCAGAAGATAGAGCAAGAAACTGGAAGAGAGAGAGAGAGTGGCATATTGGTAAGGGGGTTGGGCAACTGAGCCACCAGACCAAACTAATGCTGGAGGGAACCTCTTTCCAGGTGTACAGTGTCAACACTTAATTTGAGAATCAGCTCATAACTTTCCCAGGAGATCAAATATCCACTATTTCTGTTCCATTTAAAAGGTTTGGTGACTCTGTTTGAACAGATTACTGCCAAAGAGTTCAATAAATACCCAGATTCTGCTCCTGTTCTTAACAATTTAAGTTTGAGACAGGAGGACAGAAGAAAATAACCGATAGGGTTGTATGTTTATTGAAATATTCATAAAACAAAACAGATTGTATTTTAAACCGAACTGCATTAGCAAATTTAATGGTTCTTTTTAGCCTTTTTAAGCCTGACCTAAAGTAGTTTGTCTGCTTCCACTAACGTTTTCTCTTTGCTGATTTTGTCTTTCTTTTTCTTCTTTCCCAGCATGCAGTGCTATCCAGGAAGTTTGTGGAGGTAATGACAAAGTATAATGAAGCTCAAGTGGACTTCAGGGAGAGGAGTAAAGGACGTATTCAGAGGCAACTAGAGATCAGTGAGTGACACCTGCACACATGTGGCTAATAAAGTCCTGTGAAAGTCCCACAGCAGAGATTATGAGCACTTTCTGTTTCTTGTTTCTCTCTCCAGCTGGAAAAGCAACAACAGATGATGAGCTGGAGGAGATGTTGGAGAGTGGCAATGCTGCTGTGTTTACCGCAGGGGTAAGAGTGTGCATGTGCAAGCATGCATTTACCACTTTTTACAGTCAGGTAACATTCCCTTTGCTTTGATCATGACGTAAAACTGAGTAAAGCCAAGTTACTCAGTGAAAGTTAAAACCCCTCACCTCAGCTGGTTAAAGGTTAACAGTTTGTGACTTGGCTCAAATTTAGTTTTCTTTCTTGTTCCTCCTTCTTGAGAGTTTCAACCCTGCGGACAAATGGAGATAAGAGAAGTTGACTTTGAAGTCAAGATTTCTTACATTTGTGATCTGACCAGTTTGCATATTTAAAGCCTGCAGGTCACAACAGAAAGCACTGTGGGTTTTTTTTTCTAAACCTCTTAAACCATCAAGTACACATCAAACAAGCACATGTGCACGAAGCCTTTTAACTCGTGGTCATTTGTGGCGAAGTTTGAGAGGAGTTACTTGAAAAGGAATACAAAACTCATGCTGACATTCACAGATTTGATAACAAATGAATGGTTTGTTTACCCTCTAAAGGTTTATTCAATATATATTATGAGTGTTGGTGACTAAATAGCTTTAACAATAATGAGCTGCTTCTCTCTCAACTATATCAAAGTGACTTTCTGGAAGGTGGAGGTTGATCATTTTCTCATGGCAGGTGGCCAAAACTGTGTGACACTGTGGCCTAACTGTGGTTATTAGACTCTGTTCACCCAGCCATGGCCTGCATCTTAAATTAAAAATGTTTCTCAGTAAATGAACTTGCAGTGTGATGTGAAATCAGTACTTATTTGCTGTAAAAACAGCAGTGTCTGATAGTTAGATACATTTTTCTGCATTTCTCATAAGAAGTATTTTATATGACCCAAGTCAGAGGTGGCTCTTCACCTAGACCCAGATGTTTGCCTGTACTGGTCGTAACGGGTAACAATAAAACTTCTCTTCACAGATTGTGGACTCTGGCATCTCTAAACAAGCTCTGAGCGAGATTGAAGCCAGACACAAAGACATTGTCCGTCTGGAAAGTAGCATCAAGGAGTTACACGACATGTTTGTAGACATTGCCATGCTGGTGGAGAGCCAGGTAAAGTGACACACCTCCGCCTGCTCTTCATTTCAAACACCTTTTAGGGAGTTTTAACACATTTCATTTAGATATCCTCTCCTGTCCAAACCTTTTTCATTTCTTCCTGCATTCAACTCTCTCAACGATTTCTCTTCCCTGTCTCTGCTATGGTGTGACAATCAATCTGCATCCTTCTCTTTTCTGTTTTTCAGCTCCATGTCTTTCTCCTTCTTCCCTTTACTCTGCTTTGCCATCAACACCTCCATCTCCTCACCCAACATTGATGGTACTGTTGTCATACATGTAGTAAGATGCGTCTGTGTACACGTAACAGCTGACCTCACAAGCTTGGAAAGCATATCAAAAAGTCTAATCACATATTTCTTGCTGCTTGCACCATGCTCTCTTTGAGGGAAAGACTTGTATGAGGTAAGGTTTGTGTTGGTCTCAGAACCATTTTCTCTCCAGTTCTCAGTTCACATGAATGTATCATTTGAAAATCTGCTCTGACCCAAAAAACGAATCTCTAGGTTTCAGCTGTATAGCAATCATAATCTTCCATAAAATTGGGCTTTTATGTCTGAGCAAGATGTGTCTCTTTATCAATGCCAACCAGTTTGCTATACGTCTTTTCCCCTCTGTTTCTGATTGTTGTTTGTGTTGTTTTTCAGGGTGACATAGTAGACAACATAGAGCAGAATGTATCCAAATCAGTGGATCACATAAGAGTGGCAGAGGAACAGACCAAAAAGGCTGTAAGGTATCAGACAAAGGCACGCAAGGTAAAGTAGCTTAGCCGCTCTGCTTGTGATCTCTTCCTCTCTGTTTTCCCACTTCCTTTCAGAGACTTCTTTGACATATTTAAAAACCACAAAGTGCATTTATGAATCACATCCCCTCAGAGAGCAGACACAATCACTTCAAACAGTCGAGCATTCTTGTTTGTTCCTCTCTCTTGCTTTTGTCTTATTTGTTTTATTTTGCTGCTCTTCAACGCATCGCCGCCTCGTGTTAGGGAGGTATGATTGACAGGATTGAGAGCAACATGGACCAGTCAGTGGGCTTTGTGGAGCGAGCTGTAGCAGACACTAAGAAAGCTGCCAAGTTTCAGCAAGAGGCTCGCCGTGTGAGTGAATACAGGCAGAGGTCGCAACAGTCGGGTTTCCCACAAGCAGCTGAAAAACTGTTATTATAAACAAATCAAGAGCAATGCGTCTTATGTGGATACGCTTAAAATATCAATCTAGATGTTTGTTTGGCACTCCATGGTCTCAACAGGTTTCTTTGCACCTACAGTATGTCAAAGAAAACCAGAGAAATAGTCCTTGTTGTGATCAATTTCGGTTGGGGAGTCACAAATTTAGGCTCTTTTGTGCACTATTTCAGCATCCACAAATGACTTAAACTTACTGGCCACAAAAGGTTACATTTTCTGGTGTCACTGGGACCAGAAAAACTGCAAACCCTCATCCTGATGGTGAAAAAATGCTTTTGGGGAACCTGCCTGTAAATAAGATCACCTCCCAATCCTGACCCTGAACATCACTTTGATCCGTGATGATTTGTGAAATCCCTCCGACGTTGGTCTTTCCCAAGTCTCCACCTCTGTAACCCGTGGACCCCAGTGTTTCAAAACCCACTGACCTGCCCAGCATCAGCACTACAACCCCTCAAAGCACACTCACACATGCACACTCACACAGCAGCATCCACACTCTTCTCTCTCTGACTCTTCTCTTCAGCCTGCTCTGTTTGACTGCGCAGCTCTTTGTTTTTGTATGTCTGAAGGTATCACAGGTCAGCTGTGACTGCGACAGTGTGTGTGAAATAATTTTTGCTTTAACAGATTACCACAAAGTAAACACTGCTGTGCCAATGGTAAACAGGATTATCAAACTTCAGAAAAAGATTGACACAGAGTTTGTGTGGTTGCTAAGCTACGAAAACAATCCTTGAAACTTGATACAGCCATTGTCCCTGTATCTGTACTTTCATATGAAACCAGTCCAACAATTTCACATGCTGTTTCACTCCAGAATCGATGCACGACAGATGTATTAATAACAGATCTACTGTTTTGTCATTGACTATTTTGAATGGTCCTGATGCTTCTGTGTGCACTTTGTTGTTCCCAACAGAAAACTGTGATAATAGTGGTGGTCGTGGTGATCTTACTGTGCTTGTTAGCGCTTATCATTGGGTTGTCAGTGGGATTAAAATGAAGCTGATGAGCTATTTGAACAAGAGGAGAGCCAAGGGGTGAGTAACGCTGGAGTAAATAACCTCTGTGATGCCTCAGTGGGTGGGTGTGGGTGTGAGACTTGCTTTTGAAACCGCTTTGCACGCTCTTTATCTTCAGGCTCCTGATGTTTGTGTGTCTTCTTCCCATCCCAAGAGCTTGAATGAGGTGTGTTTTTGTGTGTTTGAAGTTCTTGGGTGTGTGTGTGTTTTTCCTATTCCGCAGTGCTTGTGCGTGAGTGCTGCTGAACTAGCAGTGCTCATGATGAGATATTGTTTCAAATTTCCAGCCTGAGTTTGGTTTATGTCAGTGTTCTATTTCTCTGTCATTCACTCACCATTGCTTTTTACCTCATACCCCCTCTTCTCTTTCTGTCTTTAGAAGATGATCTTCATCGATGTCATCTGTGGTTATTCTCATCGTCCTCATCATCATCATCATCATCCTTGCACATTTTATCAGTATGTTTGTCATCCACTCCACCCTGCCCTCCATCAGCCAACTCGCCAAAAAGATTAAAAAGAAACTGATCACTCTGCACTGGCGGTTTAGAGCTTCATATGACTTCTGGGGGAACTTGAACTTCTGGGCATGAAAAACTGAGGAACTTTTTTGTGCCTTTCTCCAATCAGAACGGTCCTTCCTGCTCTTTTTTTGTGGGTCTATTTGACTTCCTCACGTGGCTCGAACTGTTTTAGGATGCCCTGCTGCAAATGAGGACATGAAACAGCCGTGAGGTAGTGATACCTATTGTTTCTCTGTGAAGAGAAAAAGGGAATTAGAAAAAAACTGAGAATTTTATTATCAAACAACCTGTGCAAGTTTTAATGTCTGACCCTCGAGAGGCTTAACGGAAGCACCTCCTCTATCGTCATTTCACGGTTTTATGAGCCCTGATCGAGAAGCTAGCTAATGTTGGTTCACTGTATTGGGATTTGTTGGTTTTGGGAAGTTCCAGCACTTTCACATGTCAAAATGACTCTTATTTCTGTAATGAAGTTTAAACTGTAATGTAAATAGTTTGATATTTTTGTGTTTTGAGTATATTTAGCCCCTAAAAATGGTTCAAATTTTAAACTTGAAGAATATCTATTGATTTAAGAATGTGAAGGATGGAAACATTTCATGGACGAGTGACACTGAGATAAGCAAACAAGCAAAGAACACAGCCACAGGGAACCAACATGCATTCCTTGCTTGAAGATTTATCTTAATACTGCAACATTGGAAATGCTAGAATATCAGTTTTCTAGATTAATAACTACTATGCTGCAATGCACATGACTTTCAGGCTTCAAAAACAAATGTTTTGAAGCCAAAGGGTGTAAAGTAACACTATCCTTCCCTGTCCATGCCAGATAAGTCTCTGTATTTATTAAACCGTGGACTCTGTGTTGCTGGTAAAGTTGCACGTACAGAAATAGGTGTGAATAGACACTCTGACGCACAGCAAGGTTTCTCATGTTTTTCACATTTTACATCTCATACAGATGCAAGCTTAACTTCTACCATCTGAGAATATTACAGTCTAATACAACAGCTCTGTGGTAAATCCTCCTGCATGTTCATAAAGATCATAATTTGATCATTGAACAGTTAAAGGTAGATGTTGATGACACCTCATTGACATTTCAGAGGCAGCAGTATGTTGCTTTTGAGTTCCAGAAATAACCGAGAGGTGTCTCAGGTGTTATGCCCTGCTCTCACTTATATAAACAAAAAAAATAGAAACACCTCTTGGAACAACTTTCTATGGTAGTTTGATCTGTTGTTATGCAGATTGTGTGAAAATTAACCAACCCTAACTAAAGAGGATGTATTACAGAGCTGTGGCATTTGAACTGAAAATGTAATTGGGCCTAATTGTGTTTGTCCAATATTATCAAGGTAATCCATGATTTTCACTTGAGAAATGTTTAAATGATTTGTACCTCAACTGAGAGAAATCTGCGTTCCTGCCAGACCTGGACCTGGATAGTGCCTTCAATGCAGGTTGTTTTGGGGGCTCTTGAAAGTTAGACCCCCAGTCAGCCTGATTCTTTGACCTTAAATTCTGCTCTCTAGGATCAACTATTGAGTCCTCATGTTTCTGTAAATTCTCTTTCTTACTTCACGTCACTCTAGGAGTGGGCACATTGAGAGGAGGGGACGCTGAAGATGTACAGTGTTAATGTTAAATTACAATGCTCATGAATGAATGAATGGAAATTAAAGGTGTAATGTTTTTTAATGTCTAACTGGCTTTGTTTTTTAATGACTGACTGGTTTTGTGCTTCTCCATCTTGCTGCTGACAGATTGTAAATCTTTTAACTGAATTTTACACTTTTTGATTACCTCTTGAGCTTCTGTGTTTTTTAATGGCTTGGCTGTAGTTGCTGTCAGCAGATTGTTGATACAGCATGTTAACCACTGAGCTGCAAAGTGCAGCTATTTATGAGGTTGCACAAGTGTCAAAGAGGAGGTAAGTTAGTCTTTTTTCACACTTTTATTCTCTCTCTACACACATAAAAACACACCCTAACCTCAGTGACCCACCCCTCCTTTGTTCAGTCCTTCATGCAGTTTGTAAGTGTGAATTTTTGTGTCACGTGTTGGGCCAGTTTGTGAGGATGAAATCTCAATGACTAACTCCTGCTGTCTTCTTACTGTTGTCTTCTTTTTGATTAAATCAACAGAAAAAGATGATGATTACATTGTGCTGTGCCATCATTGGGATCGTTGGGTTCTCCTATCTCTACAGCTTCTTCTCATAAAAGGTTTTACACAGGTAAAATCACCTGTATCATCCAATAACTCAATGAACTCTGACCTTACATGGTATATTTAGTATTTCTGAATAATGTTTATTCTTTCTGTCTTTGTGTAGCATTTCTTGATGGGATGGTTTGATGAAAGAAACTCTTCCTGAGGTGCTTCCCCTATTTTATTACCCTCGACCCATTTGAATCTGAGTTAAAATCTTTTAAAGTATTTTAAAAATTGAACCATTATCAGTCCTGTGTTAACCCTCATTTAACCATTCAAATCTGATTAATTTTAACTCTGTATGAAGTGTGGTAAAATGTGTTTTATTTGCTTAGATTTACTCAGTCTGCTTGTGAAAATCCAGATGGTTCGACTAGAGCCAAGTATTTCTTGAGTGTAGTTTACCGCCCCTTGGTGGCAAACAAACGGAACAACCATATATACTTATATAGGCTGTATACAAATATAACCATAGTTATGAAATTTAGAGAAGATAATACTTATTGATTCATTTGATCAAGGATTTTCTTACAGTTAAAATAGAGATAATGCATAATAAATATAATGTTTGTGCTTTTTGGTTCAAAACTCCTGTTTGTAAGCACACACTTGATATGCTCTGCTACAATATAAGCCATATATATATATAACTTCTTACTAGTTTGTTGTCATATTTTGATTACATCTTGTGTGTGATTTGTTGTGTGTGATTTGTTTGTATGCTTCTTTGCCGCAGAAATGCCTGTATTGATGGTCTTTTCTTTAAATCACTCACTGGCTGTCTATCCAGCAAAGACTGTTATGTAATAAAAGATTTCTGTGCGTTGTTGCAAAAGTGTTGGTGTCTATCTTTGGCTTCTTGTAGCTGACGGTTTGCATGAATGGATTCTTTAACACCGGATTATCTGAACAACAAAAGAAATCTCGTGCTGTTACAATTTTTCATCTTTCTAAATCAGTGATTTAAATTACATCAATTCAGTGGTGATGCGCGACAGCCCGTTTGTGTAGTAAAAGCTTCCGTGACCTCATTTCATCCATCTCACCCCCTTCCAGTGGTTGGCCCCGCCCATCACACCTTGGGGGCGGAGTCTACACAAGGGTACGCTTGTTTTGTATCCCCCTTTGTCAGAACCAGAATACTTTGGTGAATGTGGGGGGATACGGTCTCTAGAAAATAAAACTGAAGGTTTATTACCCTGTTAGTGTAGAAATTTCACTTTACATGCAACACACAGTATCCATAAGATACATTAAGAAATATGAATGTTTAAATAGATGCTCTATACAGGCACCCTGAATAAGATGATGCATGTGAACTGCACATTTCACGATACACTTTTAACGCAAAAATATGAAAACAGGGAAAATGTGAAAAATACTTGTTCATAACTAACATTATTATTTTTATTATTATTATTATTATGACCTTTAATTAAACAGGTTTCTCTCATTGATATCCAAGATCTCTTTTGCGAGAGAGACCTGGCCAAGAATGGCAGCAAATATAGTTTAAATACATAATCACATGAATCATATTCAATACATAGAATGCAAATAATAATTGAACATTCAAAATTAGTTAAAAGAATTTACAAGATTCATCAAACATTTGCACTCAAAAAAAAAAACAAAAAACCCTTTGCACTCCTGAAGCCTGGATGAAATGGAATTTATCATGGATTTGAATACATTCAGAGACACCAGACTTTGGAATTTCACGTCTGATTGCAAGATGTTCCATGTTCTCAGCGGAGAAAATCTAAAAGCTTTCTTCACCACTTCTGTTCTGACCTTAGGAACAGTAAAAAGATAAACTGATATTAACAGTAACCATCTTATGTTATTATTATTATTATTATTATTATTATTATGATCTTAGGAAAAGTAAAGTGATAAACTGATAAAATGAGTTTAACAGTAACCGTTTTTAAACATTATTTAAACAATAACCATTTTATTTCTTCTTCTTCTTCTTCTTCTTCTTCTTCTTCTTCTTTTTCTTCTTCTTCCTCTTATTATTATTATTATTGTTGTTGTTGTTGTTGTCATTATTGTTGTTATGACCTTAGGAACAGTAAAATGATAAATTGATAAAATAATATTAACAGTAACCGTTTTTAAACAGTATTTAAACAATAACCGTTTAAATCTAAAAGCTTTCTTTCCCATTTCTGTTCTGACCATAGCAACAGTAAAATGATGAACTGATAAAATTATATTTCCAGTTTCATTCGATATTTTAAATGTTCTTGTTCGTAAAGGCTAGTTAATTGTCCAATGTTGCTTTACATGCTATTCCTGTATCAAAAACTATAAAAATGCGTACACTCATTGGCTCAATGAGGACTTGTGATATTTTAACTTTAATTTGTTTGCCTCTCTACAATGAAAACTGCCTCAGTTTTGTCATTTGTCAAGCACCGCCATTCAGCCGCCAACAATGGCGGACAAATCGAGCTAATATAATCATTAACATATTCAAATCCTGTTTAAAGAGCTCGTGCTGTGTCCAATAAGAGGTCCATATGCTAATTTACGGAACAGTGGAGTAGATAGGGGGCGGGACGTGAGTTTTCGTACTAGCTTGTGTGTGTACGTGCGTGTGTGAGTGTGCGTGCATGAATATATGTGTGTGTGTGTTTTTTGACCAGCTGAAAATGGCGGCTCGAAGCGTCGAATCGTCCTAACTTTATCGCACAATAACAAACATAACAATATCCACCGCTGTTATCACATAACATGGGGAGAAAGTTTACCGAGCAGCCTCGGGCGCCTTAGTTGGGGGACATTACTTTGAGCAGCGGCATCAGGAGTCCAAACGCGGAGGTAAAAGATGAAGAAGCTGAAAACTGCCGTCTACAGGCTAATGTCAACCAGCTAGCATTGTCAACTAAGCTAATGTTTAGTTTACGTTTTAAGATTACGCCAGGTTTATTGCGACATTAAATTGACGCACTGACTCAACATTATCATATTAAAGGGCGCCTTTTATATGTGGCACTTGTCCTCGCATTGTGAAGCATGTTCAGCTGAAATGTTTGTTATATTGTACGTGTCGCTAACCTTAGCTTGTTAGCTGTTGGCTAACGGTAGCAACAGCTATCGAGCTCGGCTGTATTCAGAGAGAGAGAGAGGGGTGTGTGTGTGTCAATCCGACAGGTTTTAAAACACACCCTAAATATTTCTGGGTCATTTATCTATGTTATCAGATAAATTTAATGCCACACTCGAAACTTTGTGTCCCTTTCCAGAGACCGAGATGGAGGACCCTCATACACGGTACAGCAAACGGCTGGTGAGTAACTTAAGCAGACTGTGTTTCCTCCTGGATCACCTGTTTTATCACCAGTTTGTATCTCTTCACTGCTTCAAATCCATGCCTTAGTCACTCTGCTTCATGTTAAATTCACAAATATAGTGTATTCACAACGTTAAGCAGGTCTGGTATTGTCCCTTCTGTTCGGGCTCATTGTGAGTGTTTCTCTGTTTCCTTGGTCTTCATTATTATCACGGTAATGAACCTGGTTTTAAGACTGAAGGTTCACTGAGGGGTCAAGTTCACTGTGTAACCTGACTGCTTTTGTACTGTGACCCAGAGTCACCCCTTTACAAGCTTACCACCATGTTGTAAAAGAGCTTTCTATTCCTCTGTTTTACCCACTGTGAACTTAGTAGAATATTATTGATATTTATCTTGAGAATAAGACAGAATTATACACTCCTGGTTGTATAGATAGTGTGTGTTTTACCCTACACTGCTGACATGTCTTTTGTATCTCTTGGCCAAATAGTTGATCACACCACAACTTAAGAAGACCCCTGAGTGAAATATTGTTTAATCATGAATGATTGTTTCTCTTCATTGTCTTTGATGGCACTGGATTAAAACAATAGTGTGGCTTCTTTTTTATAATGTGAAGTTTATTTAATTTTCAATAAACCATGTTCTGTGCAGCCTCTGGTTATAGAAAGGAAGAGGATCAGAGTTTAGATAATACCACATTTGTGGCTCAGAGATGGGGGTGGGGAGATCTTAGTTGCGGGGGTGTTGTGCTTTATCCATCTGTCTAGCCAAGCAGTTGAGCATAGGGTGAATGGCAGGAGGGGAGTAAGGGGTGGGGGCAGTGTGTGGAAGATTAACCCCCGCTATTGTAATGCTGTATTGTTAGGTTCCCTCATGAGCTGATTTGGTTGACGGCTGACTGATGAGCTTGGGTTGAATTGTTGTGGTATTTTGATTATTTTTGTATGGGAAGTAAAAGTTTTATTTGTTCATTGGTTTATCAACAGCAGGTTTTGATTCTTTTTGTGTGATTGAGATAAAAATGACATGGATCAATTCATATCTTGACCACTACATTACAGTGAGGATATATTTTTAAAAGACTTTAAGCAGCCCTTAAGCATGGATTGTTGGACTTTTGTATCTAAGATTGAGTGATATGCACCTGCTTTTAATTGCCAATCAAGACAAGCCAATCAGTAGGTTTTCTTACCAAGACATGTTTGTGGAAGTATGTAGTCTTTAAAGTTGAGATAAGCAAACACTTGGCTGTTTTACTTTGATAAGTTTCCTGATAGTAACACAGAAGCACTTTTAACACATTTTAAAGTCTTGTCAAAGGCAATAATCTCTGTCCCATAAGTGGTTGTAACACAGCTTTGCCATTTCACTGCAACTTTCAAAGATATTCCATCTTTCTTCCTGCCAGTTTTTTTTTTTAGAAAACACATATACTCACTGTTCAGCCCATGACATAAAGGTTTACAGAAATCCCTTTTTGTTTTCAGCGTACGGGCACACGGCGGCGCTACCAGGACGATGGAATCTCAGATGACGAAATTGAGGGGAAGCGAATGTTTGATCTAGAGGAGAAGTTGCAGTGCGTCAGATTTAACTCTGACTTGATCAAACACATGGAGGGTAAAGGTGAGAGGCTGAGCATCTTATCTGAATGAAGTAAAAGTTTGATTCAAGTAGCACCTGAACATATAAAATAACATGCAAGAGTGCTGGCTGTTTGCTACATTACTTCTTCATACTGCACATTTTTGACTTGGCATTGAATAGATTAAACTCTGTCTGGGAGTTTAGGCTGATTATTTTAAGTTCATCCATCACAACGGAACATTTCTGAAGGGTTACACAGCCAACCTAGTTTGGGTTTATTGATGACTGTTCGAATGCTTGTGTTCCTTTTTGAAGAATTCACGTTTGAATACATCCAGAGAGAAGGACTCAGGGACCCTATTGTCTTTGAGACAGCTGATGGCCTTGGCCTACAGTAAGTCAGATTATTTTCATATCTAATTACTGATAATTTCTGCAATGCAAATATTACAAGAAATTTCTGTCTTGCAGAATGCCAGACTCTGATTTCAGTGTGAGCGATGTCAAGCTGTTTGTTGGTAAGTTCCTGTTTAATGGCCTTTTGCAATTAATCGCTCGGATTTTCTCAATGCAATATTTTAGTTTGCTGGAACAGCTGGAGCAATAATTAGCTCCTCTGTACCTAATTATGGGCTGAATGGTGGTACAGTAGATAGCACTATTGCCTCGCAACAAGAGAGTTCCCGGTTCAAATCCCTGGTTAGACAGGGGCCTTTCTGTGCGTAGTTTGCATGTTCTTACTGTGCATGCGTAGATTCTCTCAGGGTACTTCATCTCCCCTCACAGTCCAAAAACATGCTTATTAGGTTAACTGGTCACTTCTAAATCACTAGTAGGTGTGAGCACGAGTGTAAGTGGTTGTTTGTCTGTATGTCTCAGTTCTGTGAAAAGCTTGTGACCCGGTGCACCCTGCCTCTCGCCCAATGATGGGCTTTAGCCCCACTGTGACACCAGACAGGACAAGCATCAAGATATTGGATGGCTGTTTCTAACTGTTTTTATATGGGTATATCAGAATACCTTGACCTGTTAGAAGATACTGTAGGAGAGAAATGGGAAATAAAAAGGGGGTATTACACAAAATGGCTATTTTGTGTTTTGTTGGAAGATGTGATTGGATTTGGTTTATGTAGTATCAATTTTGACTCTTCTCTGTCCCCTGGGCCGTGAGCAGCCTCCAGTGCAGTTGGCCTCCTGGCGTTTCCTGACCTGGCCCCTCTGTACTCAGCCACATGCTTTTAAGATTGTATTATCTGTGTATGTATGTGCTGGGGTGGGGTCTCAGCAGGGGGTTGGGTGATGGAGATGGGGGGAATTGTTTTGAACATGTAAAGCACTAAGTGCTGCATTTCCTCTTGCATGAAAAGTGCTTTATAAATAAAGTTTGATTCGATTCTCTCTTTTTGTCTCTTACAGGTAGTCGGCGCATAGTAGATGTGATGGATGTGAACACCCAAAAGGGAATTGAGATGTCAATGGCCCAGTGGCGACGCTACTATGAGACACCACCGTCAGAAAGAGAGAAACTGTACAATGTCATCAGCCTGGAGTTCAGCCACACCAGGCTAGAAAATCTAGTCAAACGACCAGCCTCGGTAAGAACACCCAGAGTGACTTCATATTTCTCATTAATAATGTCACCCCAGGGCTTTTACTGGCACGCACCCGTGTTTAACAAAAGCTGTGAAGAGCTCAAAGTTATAAACAAGAAAGATTGAAAAGTTGTTTTAAAGGAATATTTCAGTTTTTTTTTTAACATGAGGTAGTAAATGTTACATGTCACTAGATAGTGTAACGGCCACAATGGATGACAGTCAGCTCTGCCATTGTAAAGAGAAACCACCACTTGAAACAGGGGTCTCGTATGCCTCTGTTTTCAGCAGACTGTGCCGACCCTGCCACATAAGTTAGTGAATCTTGAGAGACTCTGAAATCTTGTGCACTCATGTCTGTTGAAGTGTACACACTACCTAGACATTTTTCAGCCATCAGAAAGCCCAGTTAATTTTTCACTATTTGTAGCCAGAACACACACAGACATACTCTTCTGCATGCAGCAGGTCAGCTAATTGGGTCCATGATGTAGGAGTCACTGATGTATTGTAAAATGTTGTATTTTTCCATCTCAGTTTCGCACTATGTTAAGTTCCTTCAAAAATAACTTCTAAAGTACTGAAATATCCCTTTACTTTGTCAATCTGTTACATTTCAATCATTTCCTGATCATCAAGGTGGACCTTATTGACTGGGTGGACAACATGTGGCCTCGCCATCTCAAAGAAAGACAGAGAGACTCCACTAATGCCATCATAGACATGCATTACCCCAAAGTACAGAAGTGAGTAAGTCTTCAAACCCATAAAGTGCATATTCTGAGGTTGAATAACAATGTTTATTTCTCTTTCTTATGACCTTTTATCTTTAATAAATGAAAAATTGTGATTTTTATCTTTGCTTTGTCCCCCTAGGTACTGTCTCATGAGTGTGCAAGGCTGCTTCACAGATTTCCATATTGACTTTGGAGGCACCTCAGTCTGGTACCACATCCTACGAGGAGGAAAGGTAAGGCTGGATGTCAAGTGACGCACATTTCAAAATGTTCTTGCCTGTACTGATCTTGACGACATGTTCAAGTCGTACTAAGAGGAAGCCATTTGTTCAGTCATGTGTTCAGAATAAATGGGGAAGTGATCCATCTGACTGTTTAACAGTTTTCTGATGTTTCTTTATGAATTTATCAACTTGAGTCTACTTATGAATGTCCTTTTACCTGTAACCCCTGCAGGTCTTCTGGTTGATTCCACCCACGCCACAGAACCTGGAGATGTATGAGAACTGGGTTTTATCTGGAAAACAGGGGGACATCTTTTTGGGAGACAAGTGTCATGACTGTCAGAGGATAGAGCTGAAGCAGGGAAATACTTTCATTATCCCATCAGGTTTGTGATTTACCCAGACACGAAGCATATAGAGTGAAACACTCTGTCTCCACCACTACGTGCTTCTAGTATCATGTCTTCTGTATGTTGTAGGATGGATCCATGCTGTTTACACTCCAGAGGACACTTTGGTGTTTGGAGGAAATTTCCTTCATAGCTTTAACATCCCTATGCAGCTCAACATCTACAGCATTGAGGATCGCACACGGGTGAGCAGCACATCGCTATTACCCTTGATGTTTTTCTGCTGGTAATGCGTGGTTGTCTTTCTCTAAACATTTTGCTAATTGCTTTAAGTTCTTAGATCAAACAAAGCTTGATTCACAGCTATTTTCTGTGGGATTTCTCAGTAGAAAAACTGAGGTAGAAAAATGTCTCAATAATTAAACTTGGAGGTTTTTGAAACACTTGGTGCCAGCAGTCTTGATGTGGACCTGGTGTAGAGGACCAACACCTTTTGTCTAAAAGGCAGCTCAGAGAAATATGAACAGTCAAGTAGTAAAGCTTAAGTCCATACATGTTTCTCTCTTTGGTGTAGCATCTGTCATTTAAGTGAGTCCTATCACTACAACACGTCATCATTGGAAAACACAAAAGTCATCTCTGAGACTACATATAGATTTTCTTAACTTAGGTACAACAGAAGTTTGGTTATACTTGGTGCAAACACACTTTTCAGAGACCGGCAATGCTCAACTGTAGATGATGTAGGTGTTCAGTCTGCATCCGTGCTGTAGCCACAGTAGCCACACCATGGTTTCCACGCGTCCTGCTTAGCAGAAATTGAAACCACAACAGAGATGTGACAAGTCTACCTGAGGAGTGCTTCAGAAAAGTCACGACAGAAGCAGGAAATGTGCACTCAGTATAAAACAACAGAAATCAGAGGACTGTAGTTTACAATGTATTAAGATAAAATACAGTTAATTGTCTCCTTAGGGAACTTTGTCTTGGACTCCAAGAGCTGCACATATAAAACTTGCCTCTCACAGTGTATTACTTGACTGAACAAAGTCACAAAGATTCAGAAATAACTCAGAATAATTTTTCCTGTTACATTTCTGTCCTTCTCCTCTAGGTGCCAGCAAAGTTTCGCTACCCATTCTACTATGAGATGTGTTGGTATGTCCTGGAGAGATACCTCTACTGTCTGACCAACATCTCCCATCTCACTCCTGAGTTCCAGAAATACTCTCTAGGCATAGGTGAGGATTCAGTGTGAGAAGTGTGGTTGTCCTGCCTTTTTTCTCTTGCTTACAGAATTCATCCATCATTGACATAAACCTCATCCTCTGTCTGTCTAGGACTAACCCAGGCTGACGTTGATACCATGAACCATACTGGGAATGGCACCTCAAATGGGGTCAACAGTGACAATGAAAATGGAGGGATGGAGTTCAAGGAAGAAGAGGAAGTCCATGACGAAAAACCAGCTCAAGTTCCCAAATCCAAGCATGTGCTTACTCCCTTTGAGCTTGAGGGCCTGTGTAACCTTTTAGGAAAGCTGGAGGAGCTTCCTGTTCACAAAAAGTGTGTCCCTGCAGGCATCAGGAACGCTGCAGCTCTGCTTGAAGATATGAGGGTGAGTGTCTCCTCTCTTCTGTGTAGTTCAGCTCCCATGAGCACCAATATACTTGAAACACAATTAGCTCCTACAGTTTTGTAGGTTGATGTCCAAATATAATGATGAAGAAGTGTGTCAGTATACACAATTTGTGGGTACAGGGTGATCTTGAAATGACAGCAAGAGAAAGGAAAAACACACCCTCAGTACTACAAAAAGTTTTCTGGATCACATTTGCTGGTCTTCACCAGGTGAAAGATTTCAGAGAAAATAAAACGTCACTGGGCCAAGACTATTGGGTTAAATGTCGTAATTAAATTCTTTTTTTTGTGGCATCAGCGAAATGTGCATGTTTATCTTCTGTTTCTTAGAGAAGTCAAAAAGTATTTGTCACATTAATCATCTTATCGTCCTGTTCTTTCTCTCTGCTCTTCCAGGTTGTTCTGAGGAATCATGTCAATGATAACCCGAAGCTGTCCTACACTGGAGTGCCAATTGTCAGGTGGCCAGAAAGGGTGAGAACAGACCAAGTTTTGATACTCTCTGAACTGGGAGCACTTACGAACATACTGTGTAGAGATAATGATCAATGTTTTTGACCATACATGTTTGTAGTGTAGTGCTTCAGCAGTCGTAAACATCTGTCCTTCGTGTAAAATAAACATAAACACATTGTCAGTAAAATAAGAGTTCTTTAGTCTAATTAATTACAAATTGATCACTTAACAAACTAATAATGACATTAAAGTGTAATTTTTTTATGAATTTGTTCTCAGTAATCATACAATTCCCACACCTGTGAATCAAGTGCAGGACATCACTTAAACTCGTTTGTTTCTTCTGCTAATGCCCCTCAAACAGCCGTCATGGTACCAGCCTCCCACTCCCCCTCCCCCTGTAATATACCGTCCTCGTTTGGGCCCCACCCTCCACAAACCCTTGGGACAGAGGCCTAACAAACGCTCCTCCATCTCTGCCCTGAGGCGTAGACGGGTGAGATGCAAGCGCTGTGCTGCCTGCCGCAGGAAGGAGTGTGGCACCTGCCAGTACTGCCACGACATGAGGAAGTTTGGTGGGCCAGGACGCATGAAGAAGAGCTGTGTCATGAGACAGTGTTTAGCGGTAAGTGCCCATTGTATCATAGTAGCCTCATTCCCTCCAACATATGTGATTAGTATCTATAGGTTATGAATACACGGATGTGTAGCCTTGGGTGTTTTAGAGGGGAGGAGTTTCTTAGGAAAATTAGATATCACGGGAGTTCTCTTTGGAATGAGTGGATTTTCTGATGACTGGCGGCTGTACACATCAGTAATTGGACATGGTTGAATAAATTATATCTAATGTTATGTGTCGTATATTTTTTTATCTGTTACAGCTTAATTATTCCTAAATGGAATTGTTTTATTAAGCGTTCACTGTATGTAAAAACTACATTTGTATATTTTCCTGCAGCCTGCATTGCCAAACACAGCGCGCTGTGCCATATGTGGAGAAGGGGAGTCAGAGGAATCCGATCCAAGCACTCACTCACTCATGGAGTGCTCTGTCTGTTCGCAGATCACACATCGGCAGTGTCTTAAGGTAACTGAGATCATAAAGAATGTAAACTCATAGTCTGCAAATGTTCTTCTGCCGACAAAGCCGCAGATGTTGTTCATGTTTAGAGAAAACGTTTTCAGTCTTTAAAATTTTTTGTTCCAGGAACCTGGTGAGGGGAAAATCAATAAGGATTTGCCCAGCTGCTGGGAATGTCCCAAATGTTACAAAAGCAAAGGGTCTGAATCAGAGGTAATCCTCTCACTTCTACATGGCCTCTCTCGCTCTTTCTCGCTCTGTGTCGCTCTCTCTCTTGTTCCCTTTTCAATCTGTTCACTTTTTAAAGAACTTCCTCACGTTCTTTTCTATTTGTTTATGTTTTAAAGTCTCATTAACAATGATCTCCTTATCAAACCTCAGTGATCATCTCACTGTGTACTTTTCACTCCAGTCTTCCAGTGATGAGGAAAGTGCAGAGTCAGAAGGTTTCACCTCCTTGCCGCCATCCAAACTTGCATACCGAGAGGGTATTGGTGTAGGAGACGGGTTGGGACGAGGGAGACGTAGTCGACCTACCTCCAGACCCACAGCACCACCACCTTCTCAGAAACTGCTACTGCAGCATCAACAGAGTCGCAAGAGAGCAAGTGCACTGGAGCTGAGACTAAAAAAAAGGGTAAATGAAGAACAAAATAGCATTTGGGTGCATTATTTCAATTTTCCATTATTTTATCATCCAAAGAAAGTAGAGTTACATCTTTGTGCTCTATAACTAAAATGTTTTGATTGAATGCTTGTGGAGAAGCAAATGTATAAAGATATGTCTGATAGACAATGACCAGTCTTACATTTCACATTACACTTACAATCCTGTTGATTTAGTTGAACCCGAATTCTCAATGAAAGTAAGAAGTGAATCTATGTCTTTCTCAAACCATCTATAAAAAGTTAAACTGTTAACTGAATGATAGTCAGAGTTATGTCAAAACCTGGTTTGGTCTGTGTTTCAGGTGATTCTCAGCTTTAGAATACAACAAGACAAAAATTTGCCTCTGTTATCACTTTTACCCAACCATGTCTCTGTGTATTTCAGATCAAACTGGAGCGAAGCAAACTGTTGACGGTAAGAGATGCTTTTCTTCGACAACGACTTGTTGTGCTAATTAACTAAATTGTGTGTCTTAAATTTTTTTAAAGCTCTGAAGTGGTAAATAGTGAATCTATTTTCTTTCAAAAACTATTTTAGGTGTCTTGTTTTGGTTGCTGCTCCACATAAATGTTCTTGAGATCTTATTTCAGAGCGCTTCAACATGTATTCTTTGTCCTCTTTTGCCATTTTCCCCCTTTTCCTTCCAACAGAGACAGGCAGCTCTAGATCGTTCCCCCAGATTGCTGGGCTCGAGGATGCTATCCAGGCTACGTTCTCCTACCAGCAGACTTTCTCAGGGCAGAGGCCGGGGCACCACCTGGACGAGTGGCTCCTCTCAACACAGCTCTACAGGAGGGACAGGGTCTGTCCAGCAGCAGTTGTCTCCCCTTGGTCTGGCGCTTGAGCCGAGAGGAGAGCCCCGCAGAGGGAGGGGAAGAGGGGTGAGACTGAGGGGTGGGGGAGCAGGACGAGGAATGAGAACTGGGAGAAGCCATGAAGAGATGCAAGAAGAGAGTGAGGACAGCAGCAGCAGCAGCACCAACAGCAGCAGCAGCAGCGATGAGGAGGAGGAAGAGGAGAGGGGACAGAAAAGTGTGAAAGGTTTGGATAAAGAGAACCAGCCACAGTCGAGGCGAGGAGGACGAGCAGCCAAAGAAAGAGGCGGGGAAGGGAGCGAGGCGGCAAACCAAAATGGCGCAGAGGAGGAGGATGAGGAGGAGACGGAGCAGGACAGTCAAACTGGGGGCAAAGATGGCTCAAATCTTAAAGTGACACTTCAAAGGCCAACCAGGGCCAAGCGGGACCCATCATCTATAGTCCCTCAATTAGAGGCCATTGCCCCTCAAACTGCTTCTTCCACAATACACAACCCTAACAGAGTCCTCGCCAGACCCCCCATCAGAAACCCCGATCAACACTCCAACAGGCACACACCCCCACACACTCGCAGTAAGCACACTGACACTCGTAGTTCTCACCATGCAATGCTGGACACCTCAAAAAGAACCAAGCTGAGCAGGCCGGCTAAATTGAGCAATGGAGCCTCTTGTTCTTCATCCTCTGAGCTTCCTCATCACCGTGTCCCTTTGTCAGCCCTGCAGGAAGGAGGAGGTGAGGCAGACAGAGATGGCAGTGGGAGCGGCCCAAGCTGCGAGAGGGAAGTGTGGGTGTCTGTTTTTCGATATTTAAGTCGAGCAGATCTCTGTGTCTGCATGGCTGTCTGCAAGAACTGGTACAAATGGTAAGAGCTTATGTATATATATATATATATATATATATATATATATATATATATATATATTCAATATTTATTTACATTTTTTGTGATTGAGAGTGGATGGAGAGTCTAGGGTGTTTGTCATATTGCTGTACATATGGGAAGGAGGATGAATAAATGTGTTCTAATGTGGCTGTTCTTGTTCATAGGTGTTTAGACAAGCGGCTTTGGTCACAAATTGACCTTAGCATCAAACGCACCGTCACTCCTCAGGCCCTGACAGGTATCATAAAGAGACAGCCAGTCACACTCGATCTCTCTTGGACCAACATCTCTAGAAAGCAGCTGAACTGGCTGGTTGGCCGTCTGCCTGGTAAGTAATCACACACATTTTTTATGTTAAAATTTAGTTAATCTTCTTTTCTTGTATCGGTTGCCTCATACATGTAAAACAAAGGCATTGTTGAAATGGATACTGTTTGAAGAGACTTGTTTGTGTGCTCTGACACCCATCAAACAAAACACTTTTTCACAGGGCTGAAGGATTTGATGCTGGCAGGTTGTTCCTGGTCATCTATTTCAGCTCTCTGCTCCTCTGGTTGCCCACTCCTCCGGTCTCTGGATCTGCGGTATGCAGATGGGATCAAAGACACACAGATCAGGGATCTAGTCACACCTCCAGGTGAGATAAAAAGTAGCCTTTTGGGCAACTAATGAAAATCTAGGTGTCGATCTCAGTTAGCCTTCAGTGTATTTAGAAATAAACTCTAAACTCTGATACAAACGCTTTTTTTCACTCCCTCCAGGCTGTGACAATCGTAGTCAGCTGCGGACCATGCAGTGTTTACGACTAGCAGGCTTGGACATCAGTGACTCCACTGTGCGTCTGGTGATCCGCCACATGCCCCATTTAACAAAACTGGACCTCTCCCACTGCAACAGCCTCACAGACCACTCCATCAACCTGCTGACTGCAGTGGGCTCGTCCACTCGAAACACTCTCACAGAACTCAATCTAGGAGGTGAGATTTAAACAAGACTAGCCAGTACGACAGAAGTTTGATTAGTGTTTCTGCCCAAAAACTGACATCTCTGTGTACCTTTCTTTCCAAGGCTGCAGTAAACTGACGGACACATGTCTGAAGTATCTTCGACGTCTCTCTTGCATCTCACTGCTCGACCTGCGAGGCTGTAAGGGTGTCTCACGTAAGGCCTGTGAGGCCTTCATCTCTGAGTTGTCCATCAACACCCTGTACTGCCTGTCAGATGAAAAACTGATTCAAAGGATATCCTAAGCGCCTGTCTTCTTCGACTGCAAAGGTGCGAAGGCAATAGAATGGATCCTGTGTGACTCAAAGGACACAGACTGGCAGAGAAGTTCACATGCACCTGTATGACATGAAAGGAAGGGTGGGGTCTAAACTGCAATGGAACAGAGTTGTATACAAGTTTCCCCCTGTACCTAGAAAGAGACTCAGGAGCTTATATATATTTTTTGGGGGGAAATATTTCTATGTTGAGAAGAAAGCTCTTTCTAATGCAAGTAGGAGTGAGAATACATGGGCAAGTAGCAGATCTATACACCTTTAAGGTGAGAAAGACGATCAGCTCTCATTTGGATAGATGCATTTTCAATTCCAGCCTCAACACAGAGAGATAAGAGTTACATCCCGAGTTTGACCTTGGAATGTAACTGCATTGTTCTGTTTAGCAGAGCGTCATAAAGTCTTATTTATTACCAGATTGCTCATTTGATTTCAGCTGAATTTGGCTACTCCAATTTAATTATTTTCTTCAAAATTAAGAGAACAGACTGTTGTGTGATGCCATGTGCACAACTATTTTATTTTCATAGACAGCTAAAGGAGGCAGGTCTCTCTCATATCCACTTTTAAAGTGAACAACTCGTCACCTGTGTTAACCAGTTTTATGTCAGTATAATAAGGCACTTAAGCACAACAGTAGTCCATTGGTATGCTTGAGAAGTATACACAAACACTGAATGGATGCTGTTTGTAGAGGAGAGAAACTGAGCGTGTGAGTAAGCAATCAATGTGACAACAAGACCTCACCCCAGCAGAGGGCAGGTTGCATTAAGTGCAGAGTAAGCCAAGGATTTGGTGGTGGATAAATAAATGGTGCATCAAACAACCGTTAGACTTCAGGTGCTATAATTTCCAAACTCTTCTTGCTTTGTTTTTGTACAGAGAATACATTTAGAGAAAACATGTTAATATTCTAGGTGAAACGGCCCCCTCCCTCTTTGATAAACTTTGGTTTCTTTTCATGGATAAAATATTGTGAGTACTTTTCACTGAATTTCACGACCTCGTCTGACTCAGTGTAGAGATGTATTATTTTGTTTTTTGGGGGCAGGGTGGTTGTTCATTTCTTTTTGTTCCCTTCAAGTGTAGTGGTTCTGTATCAAACTTATCTTCCCAGACAGGGTTTCCTGGCCATACCCCTTCAAATGAGTATAAGTATATAAACATATACTTTTTGTGTAAATGTGTTCTCCTCTTTTCAATTATCAAAACGGGAATCCTGTAGCATTGTTATTATTTCCAGAAGTCTTTTTTCACCTTATGTTGGTATTTTTCAAGAAAAAATAATAAAAACCTACAAACAATGGGTAGCTGCCTTTCACTTCCAAACTGAAGAAATAGTTTGGCTTCATTTTTCCTCACAGGATCGCATCAGATATCTGTTCCTTCCCGGCTCCACCCAGCTTTTCCCCATAACCTGGAAATAAAGCGACGCCCAGTTAATAAATAAATAATGTAAACTACAGCTGTTCATGGTTTTCCTCCTCTGCAGACTAGGCTGGTTTCCGAAAGATCAAGGCAGAGCTGGACAGATGTGGTCCGCTTCTGAGATCACTTCACAGCCTCAACTGAGCGCGATAGGTTAGCAGCTGAAACGGACATCGCACCAGATGCCCCAAAGTCGACTGACCTGGATGTGAAACCGGGATAAAGCCCGGATCTCGCTGTATTTGACAGACCGAAACAACCATACAAACCGGGAATGGTCGCAACAGCTGCGGGGTAGCTAGCTAACCGTCAAAAACGGCGTTTCCACCCCCCCTTTTTCCTCATAAAATCACACAGTTATCGTGGAAACATGGAGGAATTCGGGAAGAGCATCTTCGTCCGGATCAATTAGTTGTCTTGCCTTGTGATTAATGGATAACAGGAGCAAAGAGGAGCAGGAAACAATGTTGTTATTAGCCAGTTAGCTGACCTTAGCTCAGCTAGCCGTTGGTTACCGTTTACTTCATCAAATTAGTGGGCTGAGTTAGCCGCGCTAACTCAGCCCACTAATTTAAATAGGCACGCAAAATATTTCTATCACATTTTCTTTCTGCTGTACAACTTTGACACTCGGCGGGGTTTGCTGACAGACAGGTTTGTCAAGTGAATCACTTCCTTTAGACGTTTACCATTTCTGCTGTTAACTAAGCTAGCGAGCTAGCTAACCAGCTGTGCCGTTGAGCGCTGATCCGCTCCAGTCCAGCTTTACTACTGTTCAACTACCAACCAACCATGGCCCAAGAAGAGTATCCTCTGCATTTACTGGTCTGGAATAATCAGTACCTGGAGCTTGATCGAGAGCTGCAGAAGAAAGAGGTAAGGGGCTTGTTGATGGTTTTTACGGATGCGCTTGATAGGTCGCACTGCATTGCGTTTACACTGCTTGTGGGTTTTTTTTTTTTTTGGTTCTGCAGCAGGATGTGGAGCGCCTGGATCCGAGGGGGCGCACCCCGCTGGAGCTGGCTGTGTGTCTCGGCCACCTGGAGTCCACTCGGGTGCTGCTGAGGCACACCGCAGACCCGACACACAGCAACACGCAGGGATGGAGCAGTGAGTGCTTTATCTAGGGTCCCAGTAGTAGGGGAGACCGGGGAGTGAAATTTCTTTTTTTGATGGATGGTAGGGGAAGGTCCCGCCCTCCTTCACCTCTGATTGGCTAGAAGTGCTGGGCTCCGATTGGTTATTCCTAATGGCGGTGAAACATCATCGTCTATTGGGTTAAGGTCCTTTCACACAGGGAGGGTTTTTTTTCACGTGATTATTTCGAACATCAATTTTTTTTTTCGAAACCTTTATCCTGTCAATACAAGCATTCACATCAGTGACGTTTTCCCGTCCTGCGATATTGCTGCATTTATTTTTTCGTATCACGGTCAAATTTTCTAAAGTTACACATACTGTGTGTCCACTTCTGACCAATCATATTTCGTGTTGTTGCGAAGTCAGATTCACTCCAACAGGGCGGACCGGCTGATTGTTTACATGTCGGAGAACAGAGTGCTTTTTTATAAAAGACACAAATATTACAAAGATAATGACCTGAAGGGCAATTTGTGGAGAGTTATAGCGTCGGATTTCTCATATGACGATGGTTTGTGTGCTTTAACAGTTTGCCAAACGTCTTTGTTTTAACTTTCATCTGTGCTAAGTAACTTTAGCTCGTATGCTTACCTGTTCAGATACAACATACCATATATATTTTTACTGTCTCAAACTCAATCGCGTTGCTGTCTCAGCAGCATTAGGTCTCGGTTGTTACCTGACGTTAATGGATTATAGTTTAATGTGCTTATCTGGTACTGGCCCCGACTCGGTACATGCTATCATGACAGACAGCCATCTCAACACTAGTGTCTAATCAGAACTGAAAACTGTCAGTCTGGTGTTGTGTCAGTCTTCTCGCTTCCACCCGGGATGCGTCTTTTTTTTCCCCCCCGGGAAGTCGTCGAATCACATCGCGCTTGATGTGTATAGTCAGGCGCATCAAAATTCGCCTCAGGATATTTCATAATTTCGCGTCGTATATTTGCGTTGTTCCCGGTGCGTAAGGACCTTAAGGGTTAGGAGATTTAGAAGTGAGATAATGTCCTGTAACACTCTGTTTGAGGTACAGAGCCAACAGCCCGCGTTCGGCTTGAGCGTGTGACGACATTTCCAGCTATTCTAGCCAATCAGAGGGGAAGAAGGCGGGACTTTCCCTTACCATCCGAAGGAAAAAAAAAGATATCACGACCTGGGATGGTTGTAGCACGGGTCAATTGTAACACTTCCAATTTCTCCAATCAGGAACAAGTTACAAAGTTACACCTGACTCACTCTGCACATGCTTAGTTTAGTCCTTGTTCCACATGTGTACATGTAAAAAACTTATTCTGAGGTAAGAAAGTAGTTATTTAAATTCAGATATTTTTGTGATAGCATTGCCCACTTTGTAGTTGAACTCATTGAACTTAAATCACCTTTTTTGTGTCTATGTAGATATTTTTCTTAAAAGTTGTTCATGCCAAAGTTTTAGCTATGAGCTTTAAAGTAAGCTTGTTCCTGGTGACAAAGGTCTGGGTTAGTTGTAACAACAATGAAAAATGTTACAACCTCCCCCAAGCAAACTTTTTGTTATCTTTATGTTTTCTTTAAAATACAGTATAAGTTTTGGAAGAGACAGACTGACCGGGGGGTACTTCTCAACATTTAGTTCAGTTTATTATATTCAAATGTTTATATAAGACACACACACACACACTGCTGTTTAGTTGTTGAAGCCACTGCAAACACACACACAGCCTATTAATATTCAGTTGGTGCATATTTTCACATTTTGTTCAGTTGTATCATGCTCAGTTGTCAGTCACTTCTAGGACTGGCAGTAACACACACACCAGCTGTGTTAAATTGTTAAATAAAAAGCTTCCAATCAATACAGTTTAGCTGTTATCCTGATTTTTTAATGTTACATTTCACCCCAGGGTACGTTACAACTAACCCAGACTATGAGGTGAATTGTAACATTTCACTCCTTGTGTTTGAGACTAAATTATGCGTAGTCTGTTTGTGTTGCAGGGGTAACTGCTACAGCCTTTAATAGCAGACACATATACTTAGTTTGTATCACAGTTTGAATGCACTGGCTTAAAAGAGCTCTGAGATACAGACAGAAATGTCAAAAATGTTACAACCATCCCCGATCTCCCCTATGTGCTCAGGGTGCTGAGGTGACAAAAGAGTCCACCGTCTTATTGTGGATGTATTTTTCAGTCTTACAGGAGGCGGTGAGCACAGGGGACCCTGAGCTGGTCCAGCTGGTACTTCAGTACAGAGACTTCAAGCGTGCCACTGAGAGACTGGCAGGTATCCCAGAGCTGCTCAGCAAACTTAGACAGGTAAAACACAATGTGTTGTTTGATAACTTTAAGCCTCCAGGCTCAAAATTCGACTGTTACCCTTTGGGCAACACACCTGATCCTTTACCAAGCCTTATACCTTTGGTAAATATTTGTTAAAAGGCTGTTTAGTTTTTGGCTGTTGTTTCTCTTCATCATTTTCATAACAGGAAGTGGTTGCTCCCAACATGCAAACAAGAATTCATAGACATAGCTTGAATATTTTTTTGCGCCTAAATGAAAAGTTTCCTTATTTTTCTGCAGGCACGAGATTTCTATGTAGAGATGAAGTGGGAGTTCACCAGCTGGGGTGAGCGTGTGCTGTTTGTGTTTTCCTAGAGGTCAGTTTCAGCACCACAGTAGTTGGACAGCTCCACTGACACTAGCTGTCTCTCATATAGGTCTCTGTGGATTGATGAAAGATTTAAGGGTTGAGACTATTAACTCCAATCAGTTTGATACAATGGCCAAAAAACAAGATTAAAACAGGATATCTTACTGAAGTCTGCCTCAGTTTACTTCAATTTCTCTCAAGTTTGGCTTAAGACATCGTCACTGTTTTTACAATACATAGCATAACTGATATGATTTTAGTATGATGTGTTTATCGTTTTACAGTAACTTGGGTTGATTTTCATTTTCCAAGTAGCTGTGGTGCTAAGAAGTTAAACAAAATTTTCATACATATTTTCCATCTACACAAACTCTGCTTTTCCATTCTTCATCCTGCACCCATTTGCTGTTTCGTTACCTTACCGTCTCCGACTCTTCCAAAATCTTCCCCTCAGTCCCCTTGGTGTCAAAGGTGTGTCCCAGTGACGTCTATCGAGTGTGGAAGAGTGGCTCATGCCTCCGTGTGGACACAACCCTCCTGGGCTTTGAACACATGACCTGGCTGAAAGGACGCAGAAGTTACATCTTCAAAGGCGGAGGTGGGTGTGATTCCTGAGGTGATGAGAGTGAAGGATGGAGGGAAGCATGCTTAAGGACTGTTAAAGCCTTAAATGAAGTAAAACATGTATTTTGGGTTTGGGATCGGGGTCTTTTTTCACATAGACGATGGAGCGGTGGTGATGGAGGTGGACCATGAGAAGCAGGTGGTGTACACAGAGCCGCTTGTGTTGTCTCCCCGTGATGCACCCTCCCTCCTTGCAGCCATGCAGCCATCGCAGGAGAACACTGCCCAGAGACTCACATCACCCATCGTCTCTACGCACCTCAACACACGCAACATTGCCTTTGAACGGTACAAAACACCAACTGTTCAGTACTCTTTTCTGTTTATGCAAGCCATATGTTGACAGGTGCTTTGTCCTGTTTGATGTGTATGGTAATAATCTTTGTGCCATACTTTCTCTCACTGCTCACTCAGGAACAAGTCGGGAATCTGGGGCTGGCGTTCTGAAAAGAGTGAGGTGGTCAGCGGGTACGAAGCCAAGGTTGGTAACTGCTGAGCAATATTTACTGAAACACAAATAATGTTTTTGTCTGTCATACAACAACATTTCTATGAACAAATCCTTCAATTTGTAACAAACATTAAGAAGAAACTTATGGGTTGATGTATTTATGTGACTGTGTAACCCCACGATCCTCTGCAGCTACAGTAGAGTTAACAAGCTCCAAGCCATTGCTAGCAGCAGATCACTTAAGATGTATATCTGCTGTTATGTTATGTAATTAAGTGGAAATGCTGATAGGCATTTCCACTTATTGTTATTCTCCTGTTTCTTTATTATTAAGTGGAAATGCTGATAGGCATTTCCACTTATTGTTATTCTCCTGTTTCTTTATTAAGTGGAAATGCTGATAGGCATTTCCACTTATTGTTATTCTCCTGTTTCTTTATTATTATTATTATTATTATTATTAAGTGGAAATGCTGATAGGCATTTCCACTTATTGTTATTCTCCTGTTTCTTTATTATTATTATTATTATTTTTCTTCCGCCATTTTTTGGCACTTTATAACTCTTCTCCACTTTGTGCGATTTCAACCGTTCAAACTTTAAACTATTCCTCTCCTTCAGGACATGACGGCGATTACTTTTCACTTTTCTACCCTTTATACTTTTTGATTTTTTTAACTTTTTATGCAAAAATTTTAACATTGAAGTCAATGGGGAAATCTTCCAATTCTTCCTGTTTTTCTTCCACCTTCTGAACCTTGTAACTTCTGCATACTTTCACCTAGAGACCTCATTTTTGCTTTAAAATGTTCATTGTCTTGTCGACTATTACAGTTGTAGTCAGTTTTTTGATATCTTTTACAGTTCTTCCACAATTTAGCTTTAAGCAACTTGTGGTTTTCAGCAAATTTTCAGGCTTTATAATGGGTGTGTATTGGAGAGTTTAGAGTGATGATGTCATCAGCTAGAGTGCAGACCTCGTCTCTGATCGACAGAACCTCGCTCGAATATATCGCTCCCACGCCTACAAATCTCACTCCACAGACATAAAAAATACATCAAAATGGAGGTATATGTGTCCTGCTTCTCACAAAAGAGGTTTCAAATCATTTAATCCTACCCCTTGGCCAGCAGGTGACCAACTGTTCAAATAGGCGGAAATCTCTCCCATTAGCCCTAATGTATTTTTTCTGCAAGAAAATCCTTATCGCCACTCAGGCTCAGACTTTTTTAACTCGCTGTTGTGGCCACATTTCTTGGAGTACAGACATGAAAAACACATCATTGTGTTCATGAAGGGCGGAGGATTCGTACGATGTTCTTATTTTCATTCTTGGACTTAAGGAAATCACGCTATGTGAAGAAGTTCAGAGGCAATAAATTCACTGCACTTAAGGAGCTTCTCAGTCAAACAGTAGGTCAGTTAATGCCTTTGATCTCACAAGTCATTAAGGAGAGACACACACACACACATTCTTGTACTTGCTGCCTTGTGAGGTCTATGAGAAAAGACCCACAAAGCGAGGACTACAAACTTTGAGCTACAGAAACCATTCAGGGCTCCAAAAATTCAGCTCATTGAGGACAATATGGGGTGTACTCAGGATTTTTATTCATTTAACTTTTTCCCACTTTAAAATTATTCTCATTATTCATGCATTATTAAATGCTTCAGACAAATCCAAACTCATTCAAACTGATTCAAACCTTTCGGATACTTCAAACCTGTTTAACACATTAGGACGTCTAATTATTTAAAGTTTTTCCCACTTCAAAATCATTCTCATTATTTATGTATGTTTTGATTCTTCAAGCAAAATCCCAGTTCTACCACTACAATTGCTACTTATGTCACCTTAACTTGTATCTTCACTTCTACCTCCACTGCTCTTGCTTCTCTTAATATTTTTTTACTTCTACTCTTACTTCTACCACGAGCTCTACTGCTTTGACTTCTACTTCTTCTATTCTAAAACTACTTCTACTGCTTACATGACTACTAATATCACTACTACAACTACCTATTATCATACTACTTCTAGTACTACAACTTAAACTTATGCCACTTCTCACGTACTTGCCTTTTAAGGTAATTTACTTCTTCATTCAAACTTTGTGTAATTGTAAAAAAATTTCCAGCCTCTTTCAGCATGAATCAAATTTCAATTTGAGGAGCATATTCGTACTATTTATTCTCCAACCTCTTATTTACAATTATTTAACTTATATATTTTTTTCCCCCTTCAACAGCTTTAACATTTATACCTTTCTCCATGTTTTATTAGCAGTTTAGCATTGCTTTTTCAGCTTTCAGCACTCAGCATTTCCACGCATTTTCTGCAAGGAAATGCAATTTTTCTAGTTATTATTATTATTTTTCTTCCGCCATTTTTTGGCACTTTATAACTCTTCTCCACTTTGTGCGATTTCAACCGTTCAAACTTTAAACTATTCCTCTCCTTCAGGACATGACGGCGATTACTTTTCACTTTTCTACCCTTTATACTTTTTGATTTTTTTAACTTTTTATGCAAAAATTTTAACATTGAAGTCAATGGGGAAATCTTCCAATTCTTCCTGTTATTCTTCCACCTTCTGAACCTTGTAACTTCTGCATACTTTCACCTAGAGACCTCATTTTTGCTTTAAAATGTTCATTGTCTTGTCGACTATTACAGTTGTACTCAGTTTTTTGATATCTTTTACAGTTCTTCCACAATTTAGCTTTAAGCAACTTGTGGTTTTCAGCAAATTTTCAGGCTTTATAATGGGTGTGTATTGGAGAGTTTAGAGTGATGATGTCATCAGCTAGAGTGCAGACCTCGTCTCTGATCGACAGAACCTTGCTCGAATATATCGCTCCCACGCCTACAAATCTCACTCCACAGACATAAAAAATACATCAAAATGGAGGTATATGTGTCCTGCTTCTCACAAAAGAGGTTTCAAATCATTTAATCCTACCCCTTGGCCAGCAGGTGACCAACTGTTCAAATAGGCGGAAATCTCTCCCATTAGCCCTAATGTATTTTTTCTGCAAGAAAATCCTTATCGCCACTCAGGCTCAGACTTTTTTAACTCGCTGTTGTGGCCACATTTCTTGGAGTACAGACATGAAAAACACATCATTGTGTTCATGAAGGGCGGAGGATTCGTACGATGTTCTTATTTTCATTCTTGGACTTAAGGAAATCACGCTATGTGAAGAAGTTCAGAGGCAATAAATTCACTGCACTTAAGGAGCTTCTCAGTCAAACAGTAGGTCAGTTAATGCCTTTGATCTCACAGCTGTTTAGGATGCAGTCATTAAGGAGAGACACACACACACACACATTCTTGTACTTGCTGCCTTGTGAGGTCTATGAGAAAAGACCCACAAAGTGAGGACTACAAACTTTGAGCTACAGAAACCATTCAGGGCTCCAAAAATTCAGCTCATTGAGGACAATATGGGGTGTACTCAGGATTTTTATTCATTTAACTTTTTCCCACTTTAAAATTATTCTCATTATTCATGCATTATTAAATGCTTCAGACAAATCCAAACTCATTCAAACTGATTCAAACCTTTCGGATACTTCAAACCTGTTTAACACATTAGGACGTCTAATTATTTAAAGTTTTTCCCACTTCAAAATCATTCTCATTATTTATGTATGTTTTGATTCTTCAAGCAAAATCCCAGTTCTACCACTACAATTACTACTTATGTCACCTTAACTTGTATCTTCACTTCTACCTCCACTGCTCTTGCTTCTCTTAATATTTTTTTACTTCTACTCTTACTTCTACCACGAGCTCTACTGCTTTGACTTCTACTTCTTCTATTCTAAAACTACTTCTACTGCTTACATGACTACTAATATCACTACTACAACTACCTATTATCATACTACTTCTAGTACTACAACTTAAACTTATGCCACTTCTCACGTACTTGCCTTTTAAGGTAATTTACTTCTTCATTCAAACTTTGTGTAATTGTAAAAAAATTTCCAGCCTCTTTCAGCATGAATCAAATTTCAATTTGAGGAGCATATTCGTACTATTTATTCTCCAACCTCTTATTTACAATTATTTAACTTATATATTTTTTTCCCCCTTCAACAGCTTTAACATTTATACCTTTCTCCATGTTTTATTAGCAGTTTAGCATTGCTTTTTCAGCTTTCAGCACTCAGCATTTCCACGCATTTTCTGCAAGGAAATGCAATTTTTCTAGTTATTATTATTATTATTATTATTATTATTATTTTTCTTCCGCCATTTTTTGGCACTTTATAACTCTTCTCCACTTTGTGCGATTTCAACCGTTCAAACTTTAAACTATTCCTCTCCTTCAGGACATGACGGCGATTACTTTTCACTTTTCTACCCTTTATACTTTTTGATTTTTTTAACTTTTTATGCAAAAATTTTAACATTGAAGTCAATGGGGAAATCTTCCAATTCTTCCTGTTATTCTTCCACCTTCTGAACCTTGTAACTTCTGCATACTTTCACCTAGAGACCTCATTTTTGCTTTAAAATGTTCATTGTCTTGTCGACTATTACAGTTGTACTCAGTTTTTTGATATCTTTTACAGTTCTTCCACAATTTAGCTTTAAGCAACTTGTGGTTTTCAGCAAATTTTCAGGCTTTATAATGGGTGTGTATTGGAGAGTTTAGAGTGATGATGTCATCAGCTAGAGTGCAGACCTCGTCTCTGATCGACAGAACCTTGCTCGAATATATCGCTCCCACGCCTACAAATCTCACTCCACAGACATAAAAAATACATCAAAATGGAGGTATATGTGTCCTGCTTCTCACAAAAGAGGTTTCAAATCATTTAATCCTACCCCTTGGCCAGCAGGTGACCAACTGTTCAAATAGGCGGAAATCTCTCCCATTAGCCCTAATGTATTTTTTCTGCAAGAAAATCCTTATCGCCACTCAGGCTCAGACTTTTTTAACTCGCTGTTGTGGCCACATTTCTTGGAGTACAGACATGAAAAACACATCATTGTGTTCATGAAGGGCGGAGGATTCGTACGATGTTCTTATTTTCATTCTTGGACTTAAGGAAATCACGCTATGTGAAGAAGTTCAGAGGCAATAAATTCACTGCACTTAAGGAGCTTCTCAGTCAAACAGTAGGTCAGTTAATGCCTTTGATCTCACAGCTGTTTAGGATGCAGTCATTAAGGAGAGACACACACACACACACATTCTTGTACTTGCTGCCTTGTGAGGTCTATGAGAAAAGACCCACAAAGTGAGGACTACAAACTTTGAGCTACAGAAACCATTCAGGGCTCCAAAAATTCAGCTCATTGAGGACAATATGGGGTGTACTCAGGATTTTTATTCATTTAACTTTTTCCCACTTTAAAATTATTCTCATTATTCATGCATTATTAAATGCTTCAGACAAATCCAAACTCATTCAAACTGATTCAAACCTTTCGGATACTTCAAACCTGTTTAACACATTAGGACGTCTAATTATTTAAAGTTTTTCCCACTTCAAAATCATTCTCATTATTTATGTATGTTTTGATTCTTCAAGCAAAATCCCAGTTCTACCACTACAATTACTACTTATGTCACCTTAACTTGTATCTTCACTTCTACCTCCACTGCTCTTGCTTCTCTTAATATTTTTTTACTTCTACTCTTACTTCTACCACGAGCTCTACTGCTTTGACTTCTACTTCTTCTATTCTAAAACTACTTCTACTGCTTACATGACTACTAATATCACTACTACAACTACCTATTATCATACTACTTCTAGTACTACAACTTAAACTTATGCCACTTCTCACGTACTTGCCTTTTAAGGTAATTTACTTCTTCATTCAAACTTTGTGTAATTGTAAAAAAATTTCCAGCCTCTTTCAGCATGAATCAAATTTCAATTTGAGGAGCATATTCGTACTATTTATTCTCCAACCTCTTATTTACAATTATTTAACTTATATATTTTTTTCCCCCTTCAACAGCTTTAACATTTATACCTTTCTCCATGTTTTATTAGCAGTTTAGCATTGCTTTTTCAGCTTTCAGCACTCAGCATTTCCACGCATTTTCTGCAAGGAAATGCAATTTTTCTAGTAATTTCTGGTGTCTCATCTGCCGACTCTGCATGACACTCTACAATCCAAACACCAAGAAAAAGACAATGCAGAGCTACACAGGGTTTGTAGAGAGGTGCACACAGATCACTTTGGGTCACAACCACAACTACTTCTCCTTTTATCTTCAGCTATTCTCCAACTTCCACAATCATACACCTTCTACCTTTTCTTCCCTTTTACCTCCTTCAGCAGTTTTAACATTTATAATTTTCTCCTTTTTTTTCTTCTTCTTTGTTTTGCATGGCTATTTCAGCGATCAGCATTTCCACGCATTTTCTGCAAGGAAATGCAACTTTTCTAGTTAAGTGGAAATGCTGATAGGCATTTCCACTTATTGTTATTCTCCTGTTTCTTTATTATTATTAAGTGGAAATGCTGATAGGCATTTCCACTTATTGTTATTCTCCTGTTTCTTTATTATTATTATTATTATTATTATTATTATTTTTCTTCCGCCATTTTTTGGCACTTTATAACTCTTCTCCACTTTGTGCGATTTCAACCGTTCAAACTTTAAACTATTCCTCTCCTTCAGGACATGACGGCGATTACTTTTCACTTTTCTACCCTTTATACTTTTTGATTTTTTAAACTTTTTATGCAAAAATTTTAACATTGAAGTCAATGGGGAAATCTTCCAATTCTTCCTGTTATTCTTCCACCTTCTGAACCTTGTAACTTCTGCATACTTTCACCTAGAGACCTAATTTTTGCTTTAAAATGTTCATTCACTTGTCGACTATTACAGTTGTACTCAGTTTTTTGATATCTTTTACAGTTCTTCCACAATTTAGCTTTAAGCAACTTGTGGTTTTCAGCAAATTTCAAGCTTTATAATGGGTGTGTATTGGAGAGTTTAGAGTGATGATGTCATCAGCTAGAGTGCAGACCTCGTCTCTGATCCACAGAACCTCGCTCGAATATATCGCTCCCACGCCCACAAATCTCACTCCACTGACACAAATAATACATCAAAATGGAGGTATATGTGTCCTGCTTCTCACAAAAGAGTTTTCAAATCATTAAATCGTACCCCTTGGCCAGCAGGTGACCAACTGTCCAAAGAAGGCGGAAATCTCTCCCATTGACCGTAATGTTATTTTTCTCCAAGAAAATCCGGATCATCGCTCAGGCTCAGACTTATTTAACTCGCTGTTGTGGCCTCATTTTTCGAAGTACAGACATGAAAAACACATCATTGTGTTCATGAAGGGCGGAGGATTCGTACGATGTTCTTATTTTCATTCTGTGACTTAAGGAAATCACGCTATGTGAAGAAGTTTAGAGCCTCTAAATCCTCTGCAGTTCAGCTGCTTCTCATTCAAACAGTAGGTCAGTGATTTGCCTTTGATCTCACAGCTGTTTAGGATGCAATCATTAACGAGACACACACACACACACACACACACACATTCTTGTACTTGTTGCTTTATGAGGTCTACCTTGCAGTTCAGCTGCTTGTACACACAGTTAATATGTGTCTGCTTCGCCACCTATCTCCACCCACAAACTTTGAGCTACAGAAACCATTCTGGGCTTCTAAAATTCAGCTCATTGAAGATATTATGGGGTGTTTTGAGGATTGTGATAATAAATTGTATTAATGTGTTCAGCAGAGTCTTGTGTTCTCACAAGCTCCTTATCAGGAATAGATACAGAGGATGAGCGTCAGGGCCTACTTGGAGTCCTGTTTCCTTAGCTTCAAGCCTTCTTTCTCCTGCTATAGTTATGCATCCAAGGTCCCCATGGCAACCAATTAGTGCACCTGGAGACACACAGCTGACTGGAAAGCTGCTTCTAATGGCCATATGAGACACATGAAGCCAGGCTCAGCACACATAGCACTGGGGATGACACTTAAAACCTTTTACTAGAGCGCTTGAAAAAACTTCAGCCCCTATCTCCTCACATGACCTTTGACCTACAGAAACCATTCAGGGCTTTATAATTTGAGCTCATTGAGGACATTATGGGGTGTATTTAGGATTTATATTCATTTTTCACATTTTAAAGTCAGTGATGATTTATAATTTTTTTTTTTTCCAAACTAATTTAAACTCATTCAAACTGATTCAAGCCTTTCTAATACATAAAAAATTTCTGATACTTGAGGATTTTTAATGATTTAAATTTTCCATGTTTTAAATTAGTTTTAATATTTATGCATTATTCCATCCTTCAAACAAAATCCTACCTCAAGTACTACAACTACTGCTAATGTCAGTCAAACTAGTACTTTCCCCTCTACTTCAACTGCTATTGCTCCTATTTCTACTTTCTCTACTTCAACTGCTATTGCTCCTATTTCTACTTTCTCTACTACTTTGACTTATACTTCTTTTATTCTCAAACTACTTCTACTGCTGACATGACTACTAGTATCACAACTTGACCTCTTATCATACTACTTCTTCTAGTACTACAACTTAAACTTATGCCACTTCTCACCTTCCTGCCTTTTAAGGCAATTTCCTTCTTCATTCAAACTTTGTGCAATTTTAGACATTTTTCTAGCCTCCTTCAGTATGAATAAAATTTCCTTTTATAGAGCATATTCATACTATTTGTCCTTCATCCAATTAAACAGTTATCCAACTTATTTTTCTTTTTCACTCCTTCAATAGCTTTAACATTTATACCTTTCTCCATGTTTTATTAGCAGTTTAGCATTGCTTTTTCAGCTTTCAGCACTCAGCATTTCCACGCATTTTCTGCAAGGAAATGCAATTTTTCTAGTTATTATTATTATTATTATTTTTCTTCCGCCATTTTTTGGCACTTTATAACTCTTCTCCACTTTGTGCGATTTTAACCGTTCAAACTTTAAACTATTCCTCTCCTTCAGGACATGACGGCGATTACTTTTCACTTTTCTACCCTTTATACTTTTTGATTTTTTTAACTTTTTATGCAAAAATTTTAACATTGAAGTCAATGGGGAAATCTTCCAATTCTTCCTGTTTTTCTTCCACCTTCTGAACCTTGTAACTTCTGCATACTTTCACCTAGAGACCTCATTTTTGCTTTAAAATGTTCATTCACTTGTCGACTATTACAGTTGTACTCAGTTTTTTGATATCTCTTACAGTTTTTCCACAATTTAGCTTTAAGCAACTTGTGGTTTTCAGCAAATTTCAAGCTTTATAATGGGTGTGTATTGGAGAGTTTAGAGTGATGATGTCATCAGCTAGAGTGCAGACCTCGTCTCTGATCGACAGAACCTCGCTCGAATATATCGCTCCCACGCCCACAAATCTCACTCCACTGACACAAATAATACATCAAAATGGAGGTATATGTGTCCTGCTTCTCAAAAAAGAGGTTTCAAATCATTAAATCGTACCCCTTGGCCAGCAGGTGACCAACTGTCCAAAAAAGGCGGAAATCTCTCCCATTGACCGTAATGTTATTTTTCTCCAAGAAAATCCTTATCGTCACTCAGGCTCAGACTTTTTTAACTCGCTGTTGTGGCCACATTTTTCGGAGTACAGACATGAAAAACAGATCATTGTGTTCATAAAGGATGGAGGATTCGTACGATGTTCTTATTTTCATTCTGGGATTTAAGGAAATCGTGCTATGTGAAGAAGTTCAGAACCCTAAATTCACTGCAGTTCGGCAGCTTCTCCATTCAAACAGTAGGTTAGTTAATGCTTTGATCTCACAGCTGTTTAGGATGCAGTCATTAACGACACACACACACACACACACACACACACACACACACACACACACACACACACACACACACACACACACACACACACATTCTTGTACTATTTGCATTGTCAGGTCTACCTGGCAGTTCACCTGCTTGTACACACAGGTAATATGTGTCTGCTTCATCACCTATCTCCACCCACAAACTTTGAGCTACAGAAACCATTCTGGGCTTGAAAAATTCAGCTCATTGAAGATATTATGGGGTGTTTTGAGGATTGTGATAATAAATTGTATTAATGTGTTCAGCAAAATCTTGTGTTCTCACAAGCTCCTTATGAATTTATACAGAGGATGAGCGTCAGGGCCTACTTGGAGTCCTGTTTCCTTAGCTTCAAGCCTTCTTTCTCCTGCTATAGTTATTCATCCAAGGTCCCCATGGCAACCAATTTGTGCACCTGGAGACACACAGCTGACTGGAAAGCTGCTTCTAATGGCCATATGAGACAAATGAAGCCAGGCTCAGAACACATAGCACTTGGGGTGACACTTAAAACCCTTTACTAGAGTGCTTGAAAAAACCTAAGCCCCTATCTCCTCACATGACCTTTGACCTACAGAAACCATTCAGGGCTTTAAAATGAAAGCTCATTGAGGACATTATGGGGTGTATTTAGGATTTTTATTCATTTAGATTTTTCACATTTTAAAGTCACTCAGTGATGATTTATCATTTAATTTTTCAAACTAATTTGAACTGATTCAAACTGATTCAAACCTTTCTTATACTTAAAAACTTAAACTTATGCCACTTCTCACCTTCCTGCCTTTTAAGGCAATTTCCTTCTTCATTCAAACTTTGTGCAATTTTAGACATTTTTCTAGCCTCTTTCAGCATGAATAGAATTTTCTTTTATAGAGCATATTCATACTATTTGTCCTTCAACCAATTAATCAATTATCCAACTTACATTTCTTTCTCACCCCTTCAACAGCTTTAACATTGATACCTTTCTCCATGTTTTATTAGCAGTTTAGCATTGCTTTTTCAGCTTTCAGCACTCAGCATTTCCACGCATTTTCTGCAAGGAAATGCAATTTTTCTAGTTATTATTATTTTTCTTCCGCCATTTTTTGGCACTTTATAACTCTTCTCCACTTTGTGCGATTTCAACCGTTCAAACTTTAAACTATTCCTCTCCTTCAGGACATGACGGCGATTACTTTTCACTTTTCTACCCTTTATACTTTTTGATTTTTTTAACTTTTTATGCAAAAATTTTAACATTGAAGTCAATGGGGAAATCTTCCAATTCTTCCTGTTTTTCTTCCACCTTCTGAACCTTGTAACTTCTGCATACTTTCACCTAGAGACCTCATTTTTGTTTTAAAATGTTCATTCACTTGTCGACTATTACAGTTGTACTCAGTTTTTTGATATCTCTTACAGTTTTTCCACAATTTAGCTTTAAGCAACTTGTGGTTTTCAGCAAATTTCAAGCTTTATAATGGGTGTGTATTGGAGAGTTTAGAGTGATGATGTCATCAGCTAGAGTGCAGACCTCGTCTCTGATCGACAGAACCTCGCTCGAATATATCGCTCCCACGCCCACAAATCTCACTCCACTGACACAAATAATACATCAAAATGGAGGTATATGTGTCCTGCTTCTCACAAAAGAGGTTTCAAATCATTAAATCGTACCCCTTGGCCAGCAGGTGACCAACTGTCCAAAAAAGGCGGAAATCTCTCCCATTGACTGTAATGTTATTTTTCTCCAAGAAAATCTGGATCATCGCTCAAGCTCAGACTTTTTTAACTCGCTGTTGTGGCCTCATTTTTCGAAGTACAGACATGAAAAACACATCATTGTGTTCATGAAGGACGGAGGATTCGTACGATGTTCTTATTTTCATTCTGGGACTTAAGGAAATCACACAATGTGAAGAAGTTCAGAGGCTTTACATCCTCTGCAGTTCAGCTGCTTCTCAGTCAAACAGTAGGTCAGTTAATGCCTTTGATCTCACAGCTGTTTAGGATGCAGTCATTAACGAGACACACACACAAAATCTTGTACTTGCTGCTTTGTGAGGTCTATGAGAAAAGACCCACAAAGCGAGGACTACAAACTTTGACCTACAGAAACCATTCAGGGCTCCAAAAATTCAGCTCATTGAGGACAATATGGGGTGTACTCAGGATTTTTATTCATTTAACTTTTTCCCACTTTAAAATTATTCTCATTATTCATGCATTATGAAATTCTTCAGACAAATCCAAACTCATTCAAACTGATTCAAACCTTTGGGATACTTCAAACCTGTTAAACACATTAGGACGTCTAATTTTTTAAGTTTTTCCCACTTCAAAATCATTCTCATTATTTATGTATGTTTTAATTCTTCAAGCAAAATCCCAGTTCTACCACTACAATTACTACTTATGTCACCTTAACTTGTATCTTCACTTCCACCTCCACTGCTCTTGCTTCTCTTAATATTTTTTTACTTCTACTCTTACTTCTACCACGAGCTCTACTGCTTTGACTTCTACTTCTTCAATTCTAAAACTACTTCTACTGCTTACATGACTACTAATATCACTACTACAACTACCTATTATCATACTACTTCTAGTACTACAACTTAAACTTATGCCACTTTTCACTTACTTGCCTTTTAAGGTAATTTACTTCTTCATTCAAACTTTGTGTAATTGTAGAACATTTTCCAGCCTCTATCAGCATGAATCAAATTTCAATTTGAGGAGCATATTCATACTATTTATCCTCCAACCATTTTCACAATTATTTAACTTATATATATTTTTTTACCCCTTCAACAGCTTTTACATTTATACCTTTCTCCATGTTTTATTAGCAGTTTAGCATTGCTTTTTCAGCTTTCAGCACTCAGCATTTCCACGCATTTTCTGCAAGGAAATGCAAATTTTCTAGTGTTATTTGGGATGCTATTGTTGGCATGTAAAAAACTATATTAAAAGTACATTTCTGTATATTCTTTGCGTTTAGGTTTACAGTGCCACCAATGTGGAGCTGGTGACTCGGTCAAGAACAGAGCATCTATCAGACCAGGACAAATCAAGGAGCAAAGGTAACCTAACTATAAAGGCTTTTGACTCATTGTACAAAGTCAAGTTGTCCTTAATGGATTATCATGATTTTTCCGTTCCAGATGAAACCCTGTCTTTCTGTCAGAGCCTGAGGTTATGTGATTTTTTTTTAAGAGCAGACAATAATGATCTTGCTTCATTTTTACCTCGCAGGCTCAAAGACTCCCCTGCAGTCCTTTCTAGGGATCGCTGAACAGCACACAGCTCACAACGGGGTAAGAGACTCCCAGGTTCCACACACAACGCCCTCACCTCTCCAGCTGTCTTTGATGAACACTGCAACTCATGGTTCCTTTTCTATATTCCCGTCAGAGTAACGTGTCCCAGTGTGCCAGTCCGCACAATCCCACAGCCATCACAGCTGAGGAGTACTTCAACCCAGAGTTCAACCTGAATGGGCGGGACATCGGGCGTCCTGTTGAGCTGACAAGCAAAGTCCAGAAGTATGAGGCAGTTCTGGAAACAATATTTTCTATTAATAGCTTTCTTTGTTGGTTTGTTTTCAGAAAAGGAGAGTTAAACATGTCCTCTTTCTCTCTCCTTCTGCTCTCTGCAGGTTTAAAGCCACCCTGTGGTTGAGTGAAAGTCACCCTTTGTCTCTGGCTGAGCAGGTGACGCCCATTATCGACCTCATGGCCATCTCCAATGCCCACTTTGCCAAGCTTCGTGACTTCATCACTCTACGCCTGCCGCCAGGATTCCCTGTCAAGATAGGTGGGTATGAGAGGAGTGGTTCTGTGCAGTTTGAGATGATTCCTTACAGCTCCAATGATTCTCACTGGATGTTGAGATTTGTTGCTACAAGATAAATCATCAGTTTAACCTCTTCAAAACACCTTCTGTCTGTCCTCCAGAGATTCCCCTGTTTCACGTGTTGAACGCCCGAGTGACGTTCAGTAACCTGTGTGGCTGCGACGAGCCGATTAGCTCTGTGACGGTTCACAAACCAGAGAGCCCAGATGAAGCTGGTAAATACTGGCTTTGTTATCAACTCTGTGAAAAGACATAAAGTAGTACCATATGGGCCTGTTGTGAAGCTCATTCTTTTAGAGCAAATGAGAGTGAGCAAGAAAACATTTCATAGCAGAGTCATGTAGCTACTAGTTTTTTTTTCATAAAGTTGTGAGAATGTAAAGGAAATTCACTGTTGCATTCATTCTTAAATTTTGATAGTTTGAAATCAGAAAGCCCAGACTTGGAGTTAAATTCATGCTGTCACCTGTCAGGTCAGTGTCCTGCTCCCTTCCACTGTGATGTGGACCCCTCGGTGTTTGAGCCGCCTGCTGAGTACACTACCCTCGGACCAGGCCGCAGTGAACCAATGAGAGACGAGGATGACAACTTGCTGCAGTTTGCTATCCAACAGAGCCTTTTAGATGCAGGCACAGAAAGCGACCAGGTCAGAGTCACACATGAGAACTGAGTCTTTGAGTCAAGTGTTTTACACTTCTGAGGGTAATTATCTGCTGATGAAACTATGGGACGGAGCATCAGTGCAGGTCAGAGATAACTGTTAGTTTTGGTCATCACTTTTCTAACCCACGCTTGTTTTAGGTGACCATCTGGGAGGCCCTGACCAACAGTCGCCCAGTGCCCCAGAGTCCACTGTATGAGGAAGACTCCCAGCTTGAGAGGTGATCTTCAGACTTTACCTCTGTTGTTCCCTTTACAGGCATGTGAGATGACTTAAATCCACCTTTACGAGCTGCTTCATAAAAGGTTCCCTTAAGTTTTAGTTTGCTTTTAATCTAGGAGGGTAAGTTGTATCTTTTACTGTAAATGAGGTTTGACATTTTCTTTACATATTTGGGGAATACTCTGGCTTTGGAAGTAATTTAATTAAACTTCTCTTAATAGAGTTCAGTGATTAGCGTTTTCTCTCTGCCCTCTCACGGGAACAGCAACTCCCAGTCATCCAGTAATGAAGCCAAGCAATTAAGCTTTAAGACAGATGTAATGATGCTTCACTCCACGTCTGAATATCCTCATTTGACTTTCTCACAGAGCAATCCAGGAGTCTCTGTCCATCTCGCTGGCAAGCCGAGAAGGAGAAGACACCGCTGACCCCAGTCAGCCCTCCTCTGTGTCGCCGATGGATCCCGCAGGCAACTCCCCGCTCTCCTACAACGCCGTGACGGATCCACGCCTGTCGGGACACTTTGGTTTGGCATCGAGCTTTGACGAACAGCTACGTATCGCTATGGAGCTGTCGTGCCGAGAGCAGGAGGAGCTGGACAGGTGAGGAGGTGGGGGTGGGGAACAATTTTTATGGCACATTCAGGCATCTAAACCATCCATTAACCAAAAGCCAGTGTTTTGACTATGCAGAGTACAGAAAAACAACGTCTTTAAATGACAAAATTTAACTGATTTAAAGGAATATAATTAAAACAGTTGAAACCATCTGTCCTTGTCTTTGAAGTGCAACTTGAGAGGAATCTCTGTTCCTGGAATATTCCTGAAATGACTCACCTCGCTTTGACTTCTTTATTGTTTATTCGGCAGGAAGCAGAAGGAGGAAGAAGACGAGCTGGAGAGGATCCTGCAGCTGTCACTCACCGAGAAGTAATGTCACAACAACAGCAATGGAGCAACTGTCTTCACTGGGGATTGATCAATCCTCTTAATTTATTCTGTTTTATTTTTATGTTTCAAAACCTTGAGATATTAAGTTATTGAAGATATTTTATTTGTCTTTCTCATGCGAAAGCTGCTACAGTATAGTGTAATGAACCAGAACATAAGAAGTGTGTGTGTGCGTGTGTGTGTGTGTGTGTTTATTTGCGTGTGTGTGTAAAGGAGAAGGTTGGATAAGAAAATGCAGGAACAGGTACTGTTAAACACACTACAGTAAAGGAGAAGACTAAAGGGAGAGAGTCTGTTTTTCTTTTTTATTGAATATTTTTCACAGTCTTGCTGTCCTTCTTGAGTAATGAATGATCCTTAAACTTTAAACCTATACCATGATCCATGATAATGATGAAAAAATATAAAAACACAATCTTAATGGAATAACTTATAAAAATATGATTATGACATTTGAAACATTTTGTTGGCTTACACGTGTGGGGAAAATAAAGAATAATGATAACCCTGGATTAAGTTTCACTTTGTATAAAGTACAAAGAAAAATGACTTGTACCTTAACTAGTTCAACTTTTTATTGTTTGTCACCATAAAAAAGGAGAATGATTGTTATTTGTACATTAAGCTGGACATGGAAGTTTGATATGTCACATTTGTAAACCACAGTTACTGAGCGATGAGCCTTAAAATCAAAATCAACACACTCGCTGGCCACTTTATTAGGTACACCTGTTCAATTGCTTGTGAACAAAATAAGGAATCAGCCAATTACATGGTGCATTTAGACATGTAGGCGTGGTCAAGAGGACTTGCTGAAGTCAGAATAGGGAAGAAAGGAGATTTACATGACTTTGAACTTATCAACAGGATTGTTGGTTCTAGACAAGGCTGGCTTGAGTATAGAAACTGCTGATCTACTGAGAGTTTCACACACAACCATCTCCAGGGTTTCCAAAGAATGGTCCAACAGAAGAAAAATTATCCAGTGTGCAGCAGCTGCGTGGATGAAGACGCATTGTTGATGTTAGCAGTCAGAGGAGAATGGGCAGACCAGTTTGAGATGATAGAAAAGCAGCAGTAAGTCAAATAAATGTGCAGTTGACAAATCTGCAGTATCTGTGTGATACCCTCATTTTAATATGGAAAAAAACCTCAGGAATGTTTCCAACACCTTGTTGAAAGTGTTCAATGAAGAATTAAGGCAGTTCTGGCAGCAAGATGGGGTCCAACCCAATTCTAGCAAGGTGTACCTAATGAAGTGGCCCATGAGTTTATGTATGCTGTGTAGTTTTAGAGGTAAAATCCTGGCACCTAAACATGACAAGAATCAGTAACTGCCTGGGTTACCAAGCCCGAAAGTAAATAATCAAATCAAGTTTATTTACATAACAGCTTTGAGTATCAGACATTATAAAGTGCTTCACAGTAAATAAGAAAAAAAACAACAACAACAAAGTGTAATACATAATTACATAGAGGCAGATATATACAGATAAGGCAAGTCCAAACAAATGGGTCTTAACCTGCTTTTCGAAAGTCAGTCTCATATGTCTCTAATTGTACTGAGCACAATAGTAATCGACTCTTACGTGTAGCTTTTAGCCATTTTCTTTGGCGTTTATGAAATATCTGATTTCACAGCAACAGCCTTGTGATTTGTAAACAGCTTTCCCCCTTAAAATGACAATTCTCTTTGTCAATTTCAGGCTGCTGCTGTGAGAATGTATACCGAAAAGCAAGTTTATTCATACTATTGTCATGTGAAAATGTCAATAATAGAAAGTGAACAAATTTTTCTCATTAGACACTCCTTTTTCTTTTTTTTTTTTAAGTTTCCTGTCATGAAAAGCTGGAGTGACTAAATCTGTATTTCAGCCACACTAGATTCCGTGCTGGGGCAACATGAGAATCAAATATTTTTTAAAAAGGCACACTTTTGAGATACAGTTCATGAGTCACGCTGCAGAACTGTCTTTATCCCACTGTACTGCAACTGACTGTGATTTACTAGAGGCTTGATTCTGATATATTGAAAGTTCTTCCTTTTCATTTGCAGCGTAGATGTTTGCTCTCCTCGATTTCAAGGCCTCCCGAAGCTCTCCATCGAACTGACCTAGTGATAAAAACAAACATTAGTCAGTCATTTAGGCAGACATTTCACAATCATATTGGATAATTACCTTGATATTATTATTGTTATAAAATCAAAGGATGCTTTAAGTAAAACAGGTCTGTACACTTACTTTTACTCTGATTTAGGTCAAGATATTCAGGTGCGCAGTCATCAGGGACCACATAATCACTCTCCTCTGGTTTGGTCTCTGTGCGCTTCATCGGGGCCACCTGTGCCTTGGGTACCGTTTTAGGTAAAGGTGGAGAGATGTTTATGCACTTTGGAGCAGGAGGCACATCTGGCGAACACACATATTTACACAGTAAGGAGTTGTATAACTAACAGGAAGAATTAACAATGAAACAGCAGTCTTTGCTCTCACCAATACTTGTGTCGTAGGGCTGAGAAGCTCTGTAGGGCTGCAGACGGTACTCAGTCTTTTTAAGGAAGTAACTGATCACATCGTTCAAGCTGGAAAGAGTCACCTGCAGAGAGGAGGACACACAACTACCTTTTAATATAAAAAAAGAGCATGATCCACTCTCTGCTGCTGCATATATTAAGACAATAAATAATGTATTATTGATTAAATGTTGTATAATGTTAGTGAATTTAATGAGGCTGTGAGGCTTACTGGTTTGTCCAGCTCGATCACAAATCCTGTTTTTGCGGGCGTCACTCTGAAGTTCTTCATGGCAGTTCCACTGAATCACAAGAAGAAGAGGAGTTTAAGCCTTCTGCTTTCAAAATCTATCTATCTATCTATCTATCTATCTATCTATCTATCTATCTATCTATCTATCTATCTATCTATCTATCTATCTATCTATCTATCTATCTATCTATCTATCTATCTATCTATTGTGTAAATCCATCCATCTTTACAAGAAAATGATCCATCCATCTACCCATCCATTCATCCAACCATACAAACATCTTTATCCATCAAATCAATCATCCATCCACCCATTCATACTCTTCACATGTTGATATGTAAGGTCAGACCTGGCCGTCAGCTGTCTGAGGGTGAGGGCGTAGTTATTTGCCCGAGTTGACGGGCGGAGGATGATGCTTCCATATTCGGGGTTTGCCTCTAACATCTTCTCGGCTTCATCTCGACTCACTTTAAAGAAACATCTGCAGGAACCAGGAGAAATAAACACTCCAACATTACGTGTTCAGGTAATAAAAGTGCAGACATATTGTTCCAAAGGGCAGCAATGATACACACATCATGTGATCAGCTGATTAAATTTATGGTGAGCTGAAAAATGACTCTCTAATCATTACTCAGTGTTTGGGTACTTTGTTGTTTGAAAGGCAGATAAAGTTTATCAGAGTGATGAGGTTCATAGGTAGACTTGATGACTTACTCTGGCATTGTGGAGGCTTTGTGGTCGGGCTCGTCTTTAGGATGTTTAGGGGAGGGAGAGGCTGCACACAGGAAGTCAGGTCGAGGTGGAAGGGGAGGTCGGTGCCCTGGGTGGACTCTTTTCTTCTCCTGAGCTAAGACCTCTTCCAGCAGCAATCTCTGACCGGGAAGCAGCTTACTGGGAACCTCTTTCTGCAGCAAAACAGAGCTCAATATCAACACTGTTTTTCTTTTTAATTTTAAACAAAAAAGAAAGAAATTGGAACAATAAACTCCATGCTGTGCTCATTCAATAACATATATTTTAAAAGCAACTACAGCACACAAAGACTGCAATGTAGGAGTCTTCAACTCAGTCAGTATGCTCTCTTGGAGCAGGGTTTGTTATTGCTTTTTTTATGCACACTCAGCAGATAGTCTGCTGGTTGATCATCAACCAATCCGAGTGTGTTGTCATGTTTCTATAGATGTGTTTGCTTACTTTAATCACAGTAAGGATGTAACCTCTCCACTCCATTCCTTTGTCAAGATTGTCCATCTGTTCAGTTATAACAAAAAAAGTTAATCAACAAGTGGAACAATTCAGGTAGAGGTCACCAAGTGAAACCAACATCCATGTTAGAGCCAGAGTGTATTTATAAACTGGGGTTGAATATGATATGCTGAAAAAAGAAAAACTTTCACACACCTTTAGCTGCACCTTCTCTGTGTGGAGATTGAGGTTGAAGGTACTTGGCACCTTCTGTTGATAATGACCGACAAGCTCCATAGACTTAAGCTTCTCAAGGTTCATCTTTTCTGAGTACTAAAAAGTATTTTAACAAGATGAAATGATCAGAAACATGCTTAAAGAGTAAGATATCTCAAATAATGTGAAATGATTGTGACAGGTTGTAATTTTATTAATCATTCTGCAGATAAAACTCAACAAAAAGAGAGATTAAGAGTGCTTACTGTGTGCTGTGTGTCATCTTCATACAGAAAGAGAGTCGTTCCACGGAGCTCTCCAAAGAACTTCTTAAAATCCTAAAATGACATCTGCAGTTTTAAACACCTGCTCTCCACGCAGCTTTCACATCCGTTTATAATTACAGCCATGATAACGTATTTTGACATTTGTCCTCATCCTCACCTGTTCATTGGAGTTCTTCCTCTGCAGGTGTCCAGAGTAATAGAGAGGCAGGGCTGTGATCGTTTCCCTTCGCTTGTGGACAACTCTGGGGTTTACAGACATCTTCCAGCAGTCACTCAAATCTCTCTTTTAAAAATTCCTCACAGAGGGGTTTTATCCGACTTCCGAAGCGTTCAGTGTTCACTTTGGTAATGAGCTTTACTCTCCCTGATCCTCTGGTAGTCACTTTAAAAGTCGGGAACAAGGAAACACCGCCGTGATTTACAAAGAAGGAAGTAGTTAGAGTAAAATTCCCAAATAATGATAAACTTTTGTACTTTGAACCTAACTGAAGAAGCAAGACAGCTTTACACTCATACACAGCAATAAAACATGCGCACACACACACACACACACACACACACACACACACACACACACACACACACACACACACACACACAGACCATGTGCTTTAATTTTATAATTGACTCAGTCTGATTAAATATTTCCAGCTCAATATCAGAGTGCTCTAGTTGCATTCTGGGAAATTTCTCACATGACAACAAGCATGATGCAGTAAATTATATAACCATTTTACAGTCATTATTCAAATCCATCTTTTTAATGCCCTCAGTTTATATAAGTCGCTGTAAAAGTGGACACACACAGAATCCTTACACACGCTGTCATGACCCCACTCACAAGCCATGACAAAAGAAGGAGAAAATCATGATCAGCTGAATAATACAAAAGTTTATTAGAAAAGAAAGCACAGAAACTAGAGCAGTGAACAGAGATCAAGTGTGTCTGTCAGTTAATCAGTGTGTCAGGTTGATATGTGAATGTATAGAGTATGGTGTGCAGTGTCAAAACAACATTAACAAAACGGCCAAAGAGAGAGAGGGAGAGAGAGAGAGAGAGAGAGAGAGAGAGAGAAAAGTGGGTTAACTGCCTGAGCTTATATTTACATCCGGAAACCTGGGAAAGTACTTCCAAAAGTGGCAAAGGCCTGCCCACCAGCAACCTACCGAGAGACAAGTATTAACTAGTGAAAGGAGCGAAAAAACAGGCCTCTAATAAGACTCATGCTCGTATCGTTGAGAGGTAACCTTAGGTCACTTATAAGGAAAAATCTGCTTTTAAAATCTTGTTATCAATATTTACATTAGCTGCAGTTTCAGATTCCAATTCCTCCACCTAACTATCTCCTTCAAAACAATAAAATAAATAGTTTAACCTAATTCCCACCTATCATATTCCCCGTTATCTTGTGTTACATCCATAGTAATTTCCTGTAAACTATCGAGGACACAAACTATTTACTGCATACAAAAACTGTTGGGAACTTACATAGCTGATCAAGGTACAGAGAAAAACCTTAGTTGGACTTGTGATTCCTGACTAATACCTGATCAAATTTGATTTGTGCTTCTTTAAATTTTGCCCTCAGCCCTTCTCTCAGATTTTTATTCTCACGTCTTAGAAAGCATTTCTCAGACTATCCCACAATGTCTGCAGTCTTCTTTCAGGAATCAAGAGCTACAGAGCAGACATAGTGGGGCAATCTAAACGCACACACCACTAGAGCACCTGACCTGAAATGCCAAAGTATTTCTCAAGTCTGTCTGTTAATATACAGTGGCCCACTGTATCAAAGTAGGTGCTGAAATCCAATAACAACAAAACAAACGCACAACCAATGACAAGTCGTTAGCAACCTTAGTCAGCACTGTTTCTGTAGAGTGATGAAGAGAAACGCAGACTGGACTGATATGTACTTCAAGAACTGGTTTGATTCTACTCTTTCAAAAACTTCAGACAAGAAAGACAGCTCTGTTTTGTGACTATTTTCCATATTTGGCTTGTATCATAATGTTGACTTGAAAATTGCGTGCATAATAAGTACAACCAAAAAGAACTAATTTTTGAGGGGAAAGGTAAGAAGATTGGCAGAAGCAGATCAGTGACAAATGTAGGTTACAGCCCGATGTGTGCATGTCTCATTTAACCAAGCAAGGTACTGACAACTGCTGCCCCCCAGTGATGGAAATTTCAACTCCAATAATTTTTCAGGCACAAACATCAGTGGAATTCAAGATATACTACAAAACCATGAACATCTACATTTTGATTTTCACGCTGAAAATATGCAACCATAAGATTAGATATCTGAGGAAATGTAATTTTTTCTCCAAGGATCTTAAATTGCTGGATGTTCTTACATTGAACAACAAAAACTATGTTGTTTTTTCATCATTGAAGATCTCCACATCAAAAGAAAGCACTCTAAGAAGTCCTCCAATGCATGTATGTAAGTGCAAAAGCAGAAAAACATATATATTTTTAAAAAACCTGTCTGTTCTCTATATGCCTCCTGCAGACGGATGCCGACTGTGGGCCACAGATTCCTTTCACAGCAGTGTTCCCGACCCTGCTGGTCCACTTGGCAGCTCCTATCTCCTCCTTTAATCCCTCATGCAGAGTGGGAAATGCACACTGAGGAGAGATGATAGTCCCCGTTCTCCATCACAGGGTCCCTAATGATGCTCCCCCTCAACCACTGGCTGAGGAGGAAATAGGGTGACAGGAATAGCAGATAATATGTAGGACTGATGAGGCGTTTTTTTGTAGTTGACACCAGAATATGTAAATACAACGCAAAAGGTGAGGTACATTATTTCGGTTTTATTATCACACTTTAATACAAGCATTTTAAATCTGCTTGATTACAACATTTCAGGGGATGACGTCCTTCTTTCTGTTGTCTTTTGCAGCCTTGTTCGACTAGAGGATGACAAACAAGAGCAAAACCCTGCGAGTAACAAATTGCACTTATACTGTGTGTGTTTTAGATATAGATGCTTACACTTGATGGAGTCTGACCTTAAAGGGTTTGATTGTTATAAGCAGGCAGGCTGGGGTAAAAGGTCAGGCTGGAGAGAGGCATTAGGCAGGGGTCAGACCACTCAAAGGCATCATTAAAGGAACATGGCCGGTTTCTGGGGATGCAGCAAGGGACATCGCCACCTAAAAAACAACACAGCTTTTGTCTGGGTCCATTTTCCTACATCTATCCCCCTCACTGCAGTCCTCACTTGTTCTAATTACAATGATAAAATACAAAACTCAAAGTACACATTTATCCGTACAGTCTCATTTTCTAACAGTCACAGTGATGGAGGAGTGAGGGTGTAAGCTGGCTTGTAATGAGAGGCTGAGGTGAGAAGGAGGCAGGGAGGAGGACAGAAGCCCGAGGCGCAGAGGTGGATCTCCTGCTGCGTAGGTTGTTTGAGCCAGAAGGATATTAACACAAGACCACCTGCTTTAAACATCAGTCTGCTGTGAGGTTTTAAAACTACTTATGAGACCCCTGCACCTGCCCCACAAATACATCCATCATTACAATACATCTAATCCAGTGTAATGGTCAGAGTTTGGTTCTCAAATTAGGAAACTGAAGTTTTCTGAGTATTTATGTGTTTGTTGGTTTGGTATAACAAACAAAAAATATTACACGTGAAACTGATTTTTAAAAACAGAGATAAAGTTACCCTGCGAATGACTGAACACATAAAGTCCACATGAAGTCAAGCCTATAAATGCCCACTTTGTGAAAACTATAAAGTTACTGTGTCCAAACATGCTTATGTCCTCGTCTATCTGACTTGTAATCCACAGGAAACATTTAGTTTCTCAATTGCAAATCTATTTTATCATTTACCTTTGCGGTTTTGACTGTGACTCATAATATTTCTTTGGTCTACATATCCTAACATAATCATAAACAGATTATTGAAAAAAAAATCACATTTATACTCACAGACTTAATTACCTTCTTTATATTTGCCACTACTTTTCATTAATTCCAGAAGTCCACCAATGGAGTGAGTTGACTTGGAAGAATGAGCTGGTTTCCTGGCAGCTGATGATGCTGATGACAATGTTATGCCAGAGCTCAGTATGATGAAACATCAGACAGAAATAGAAAAAAAAGACTAAAAACTTACCAGTTTTACATGACTGTGACTGGACTTTGTTTCTGATGATCCTGTAAAGACAGAGGAGACTCATCTGTTCTGTAAATCACAAACACCAGGTCCATACTCCAAAAGTCATCCATACCTGTTGATGGAGCTGATGCTGGGTACACTGTCCTGATCACACACTCGCTCCAACAGCAACTTGTCTCTGATCTCCCAGGCAAACATGGTCGGGTTGGAGCGCTTCATATGCAGGATCATCTGCACAACTCTGGGTGTGGCCACTTTGGGTTTAGAGCCTCCAATTGCTCCTGGTTGAATGCTTCCTGTCTCATTGAACCTGAATTTACAACAGGGACATTCCTTGTAAATTTTACAGGAAATTTTTCTTTTCTTTTTTTGTTGTTTTATTTTTCTTCACTTTTATTTGTAATTTATTTTTTATTGACATTCAGAATCAGACATTGACAATATATATATGTAAGCATACTTCTTGCATCCGTTGTCTGCCCTAAATTCCAAAACAAAACTTTAGTTTATATCCAAATAACATGCAGGAAAACAAACAACCATAACAACAACAATTAAATTTAAGAAAAAGAAAAATGAGGAAATAAATAAAAAAAAAATAGTAAATAAGGATATTATTGTTTGAAAGTCACAGAACATCCTCACTAATTTAGGAGCATGATAACCAGGTATTAAAGATAAATTCTAAAAACTAACAAACAAAAAACTTTAAGGAAAGGGAGTATATCATCATACCTGGTCAGTATCTTGCTGACACAGCCGTGACTCACGCGCAGGCGGCGGGAGATCTCACAGGGACGCACGCCCCGCTCCGAGAGTTCCACGATGTGCTGTCTCACCGCGTGCGGTAACGGGCGCCCGTTAATGAACATACCGCCGAGCTGGTTCAACCCTCCTGATCCGAAACAGATGAAAGACTGCTTATTACCAAAGTCAACATGATCCCGATGTTAACAGATTTCACGACACTGGTGGAAATCCAGAGGTTTAGGAACAGACATCCCTACTTACTGTGCGCGATAGTGAGCGGCACTTGTCCAAAGCGAGCGTCCATAGTAGACTCTCGACCATCAAAACACTGACTTTTCACTTAATGTTGGTCTGAATAAAGTTCACCGAGGCACTATGATTTTTAAACAAACTTAATCAGAAAACCTAAAGGGGGATGTTTTGGACACCACTGTTCGCCTTCGCTTCTGTTTCTTGTGCAGTAGTGTGTAATCAACACCTGAGCTGTGGACAGCGGCATGAGCCCGTGACAGCAACAGGGGCGTGTCCAGACCTTTTGACTGTGGTGCCCCGACTGAGGCACTGGCACAGGCAGGGGTGGCCCAGGTCCGTGCCTGAACACATCCAGCATTTGCTTAAAGAGATATTCTGGCGTAAAATTAATTTAGGGTCAAACACACCGTAACACCTAGTTAGACAACCCCTAAGGAGATGAGTGTTGCCAACCGCTTGCTTCTCTAGCTATACCAACTTCAGTAACGACCGCAGGATAGCAATACACAGTGGTGTGAGGAGCTAAAGTTGGCATAACTAGAGAAACAAGTAGACGGCAACATTCATCTCTCGAGGGGGTGTCTTACTCTGTGTTACGGTGTCTTTGACCCTAAATTAATTTTATGCCAGAATATCCCTTTAATGTACCTTCATATAGCCTCACCATCTACTTTTACAACAATCCTTTACTTATTACACATTCGCGGTGTCCCCGTGAAACCTTTTGATTTTTCAGAAACCATCAGAGTGGTGATGCTCAAGTTGTCTTCATTTTTAAAATTTCTTAATTCTCTAAAGGTGCAAGAATATATTTGTCCAAAGTCAGAACTCAAACATCCTTTATTTGCAGATAACTCGTGCTATTCTTATGATCATTCAAAACACTGAGATAATGAGTGGAAAATGATGTCGAGATTGAAGTGTTAATCTTGTTAATAAAAACTATGACGATAAGTGTCAGTGGATATGAGCAATGCTTTCCTGTAACAAGCTGAGTTGGATATTAAAACTGTGAGGTTGTGGAAAATAATAAATTGTACAGTAAATTGTACATATACTGACATATGTATGTTCTTTTTAATCAGGGGTACAGCTGTTATCCGGATCTACTGACAGAAATGTGTTTGCTTTGACTACTGAAACCTATTTGACACGCCTATTGTTAATATTATGAATATCATCAACAGGTAACCTTAAAGTGCTACTTTTATTACAGGAGGGATTACATCAACACATATCTGTCATAAATACTCATCATAGCAGTTAAATGACAGACACTGCTTGTTCTCCAGGCACACAAAACTTAACCAACAAATAAACTTGATTTGTTTTGTGACAGCTGAACTCCGTGTATGCTTGTCTCAGGGAAAGGTTTTGGTTGTCCCACATCAGAGCTCCCGGAAACGCCGGGAAAGGAACTTCGAGCATGTAAACACATGTCGAAGTCGATCTTACGGGAGGGTTATGGTTATCGTATTCTGTATGAAGCTGACCCTGTGTTATGGTCATCCAATGCGGTAAGCCCTAAAATGAAAACCTGTGTTTCTTTTAGTTTTATTCGCTTAATATTTGCCCCCAAACTGCAAGCTAAAGAGCGAGAGCTAGCGTAGTACTTTGCCTCTCCTTGTAAACCCACGTGCCGATGTGAGTTTTAATTAATATTTAAATATTCTCCCAGAAGTAATGTATCGAAAACAAGACGCTCTCCTCGATACAGGAATATCTCTGCTCTTTTTAGAAGATTAAAGTTATGTTGAATGAGCCTTTAGCCATCATTGTTTGGTAACAGTTCAGTGGGCCAGCGTTAGGGGGCGCTGCTCAGCTGCTGTCTTTAGGTTGTACTATGAATAAAGAGGATAATGGAGGTACGGATGAGTACTTCTTCATTGAAGAGTCTAGCAGCTCAGAAGATGAAGTGAAGCTCAAGTTCAGCCTCCAGAAACATCACAGGAGCTGCAAACAAGCTGCACATCTCAGCAGGGAGAGCTCCCCTCCACTTCTGCTGGCCTACACCTCCTGCAGACCTGCTCCTGTTTCCAGAGTGGACTTCGAGGAGGAGGAGGAGGAGGACAGTGATCAGCCCATCGAGGAGTGGATGATCCTAGGAGAAGAGGAGCAAGTTGGAGACTCAAACATCCAGCTCAACCTGAGCTACTGGAACTACTCTGAGGAGGAGTCTGGTGAGGAAGGTTAGACTACAGCTGATCATATTGTGGGTATACTATAGACTGTATATAGAATAGTATATACAGTCTATGGGGTAAACACTGGGGGGAAAGTTTATCATACTCTTTCAATTGCTGCAGTTCCAGAGAGACATTTTCAGTCCAGTAGCTGTAAAAACTGCATTATTTTGGACTTTGAAATGTCTATCTGAAAGAAATAAGTACAGCTGTGTAGAGGGTCAGGTGCTAGCTTCATGTGATAAATGATTAGTTTTTGCTATTTAACAGTAAAGAAAAAATAATTAAAAGCCAAAAAAGGTTGATTTTGACTAGGGTTGCAAAGGGGTGGAAAATTTTCGGTAAATTTCCAGAAACTTTCCATGGGAAGTTAAGCCGGGGAATTGTGGAAATATCCCAAATTGGAAACTTTCCATGAGGATTATGGGAATTTATGGGAATTAACTGGAAATTGGGGGTAATCTTAACAAATTGCATCATATCCAAACATAAATGTAAATATTTTTGTTTTGTCATAAGCAGACATCCATGCAAAATAATACAATTACAATGCAAAGACATGAACAGAAATATAGTTGGCTGAACAACTGGAATGGTCTTCAAAATATTTGACAATTGATGTATAAATTATTGTATGGTTACAGAAAACCGTCTTGCAGGAGTCAGAAGAAACAGCATCACATTTGAGGTAGCTACCACCACCATAATAAGCTAGCCCCTTGAATGGTCAATGAAATGAAAAATAGCTTACATTTAGCACCTATTTTTATTTAATTTTTGCAAGTTAGATATTAATTCTATTACAGATCAAATATATTTATCCTATAATATTACCAAAACTTACTTGACTTTATAGTCCGTGGGCTCAAATGTCTTGTGCTTTGGACTCAAAAATGTGGCCTCCAGGGTTCAAGAAATCATCCGTGCGTGTGATGGAGGAGTGTACTTCCATTAAATCTGGTTGTTTTAGCCAAGATTATGTTACAATATATTTTCCTCAACTATATTTAAGTTCTCTGTTGAGGGCCAACCTTCAATTTTGTAAATTTTAGATTTATTTCCATTAATTCCTGTTTATTCCAATGGAAAGTTTCCAACTTTCATTCAGTGTATTATGTATTAGGACGAGCCTATGCAGGTTAAAGCTTTACTATCTGTTGTCCCTATAATGGTGATTATGTGCAGGAAGTGTATATTCCTGCGAACCCAAGGATATGGAACACATTTCTGCTGGCTATTTATCACATGAATTTGTGTTGAATGATTTGTTACTTTGGTTTCAAGTCATATATCAAGAGTAGATTTTTTCCAATATGCACAGTTATAAAATGACAAAATAATTTTCACTTTATTTGACCACCTACATATGCAGCCGACCGGGCAAATGATGTTTAATTGGTTGTATCTTCTCTTAGCATGAATGCGGTATTGATTTCTTGGCAAAGCACAAGCTTAGATATGTATTCTGGGTCAATTTTCCAACAGAGATATTGACAGCGTGATGGAAATTAGTTCAGATGTAGTTTACATTGATTCCTCTAGATACATACTATAAAACAAGAGATGTCATTTCTGATTGTTGTTTATTCTTAAACCCACAGAGAGAAAGTGGTCGCCCCTCACTTGTTTTTTTTTTACACAGACTCTGATTCACATTAATGAAGAAACTCATGTTCACATCAGGGAGCCTTCCAGACACAGCAGATCTATCTCATCTTGATAGCCTGTAGCTCCCCTGGTGCAGATGTTTTCAAGTTTTTCCTTTTACCTCACTAAATGAGTTTAAAAGAGTTTAGCAATGCTAAGTGTACTTAGCAGTGGTAACTCCCATGTAACCTGCCCAAACTAGCACTGCCTTCAAAACTCAGTATAAGGATGGACATATAAATAATAACAAAAACAAAGCAATAACACTCATAAACTAATGAGAGAATTTATTATTATATTATATATAATCTTTATTATAAAAGATTTTAAAATAAGAAAAAACAGTCTTTTACAAGTATTCATTATCCTTGGAAAACCACATTTCTGATTTTTTTAAATAACTCTTTTGTACCTTTTTAAAATGTTTTTTTCTCCTTGTACAGAGAAGGATGCCTGGGCTGTATCAGACAAGGACAAGGTAACTACTTAATTTTTTTAACTTTAGTGGTAATAGTCTTATTTCAGTGCAAGAGACATTAAATCTGTGGATTTAGTTTTCAAGTTAAAGTTAATTAAACTTGGCTGTGATATAATTTTACATCTTTTACTGACTGCTGAGAACTGAAATTTTACAAAATATTGCCTTTCGTCATTTCCCAGTATGGTGCTGAAAAGTTTCAGCCCATCCGCTATTGGGTACCTGGTAATTCTCAGACATGTAACATCTGCAACAGGATGGGACATCTTGCCAGAAACTGTTTTCACCTCAAGGTAATGGAACGCCCTCTCCCACCTTTATTCTTTGAATGATTTTATTATTAAAAGGAGTTTGAGCTAGTGTAGGAGTAGTGCTAGTTTAATAATTGAAAATAAGCTTTTCATTAATCTAATCTGCCTTGTACAGACTATTACACCACCAAGCTGCTAAGATTTTTGACTAACTTAAGAGTATTTTTGTTTTATCTCACTTTTTTTCCTGTGCATACATCTCATAGTCTGTTTTAAATAATGATACCACATATTTTAGCTGCATAAACTTGGAATTTTTGCTGAGAAGTAATGAGAAAATGTGCAGCCAAGTATTTAAAACATTCAAGGGTTTTAAACTGTACACTGTTGTATCTTTCCTGTATGTTTCTGATGAATTCTGCTCTCACCAACTAGCCCATCAAATCATGTGTGTTTTTGTCACTTTTAGATTTTCCATGTAGTTCCATATTACCTTGTTGGTGGTTTGGTGAACACTTACACCATTCATCTTTTCACCTGTTTTGGCCGCTTAACTTCTAGAAATGTCCCACTTGTGTCCTCTGTGGGATCCGAGGCCACATCCAGCGGGACTGTCCGGGCCGCCCCTGCCCTAGCTGTAGATTGCCTTCACATTGTCTTCGGCCTTGTGAAAGGCCCCCAGTGTGGAACCAGCACTGCCAGCGCTGTGGGTTGGCAGGGCATCTTTCTGATGTGAGTGTCCCCAAGCCCCTAGTTATGGCTCCTTCTTTGTGTTACCATGTTGAAGAAGGTTGGAGAACTTCAGTGATAAAACTGACATGAAATACAATTTGACCAAATCTGACAGTTTTGCCCTCACATTTAATAATTTCACGAATTCTCCCTCCCCTCAGGTTAAGAGTCAGGGTGTCATCCTCAACAGCACACTATCTTTTCTGTGTAATATTATTCGCCTTAGCTCATCCCTCACCCCAAGCTCTGCTGCTAATATAGTTCACTCTCTGGTCACTTCCTGGATTGACTATTGCAACTCCCTCCTCTTTGGTCTCCCTGAGAAATCCCTCCACAAATTTCAGTTAATCCACAATTCTGCCGCCCGCATCATTTCCAGAACTCCATCCAGCAATCACGTCACTCTAATTCTCCAGCAGCTACCCTGGCTCCTGGTCAGCTACTGCATTGATTTGAAGATTCTGCTTCTGACCTTCAAGCCATCCATAACTTTGCCCCTCTGTACCTTTCCGACCACCTTCACATCAGCACCGCATTTGTACTCTCAGGTCCTCTTCCTCTTTCCACCTCACTGTCCCACTCGCCCATTTGACCACCATGGGCTAAAGAGCCTTTAGTTGCTCTGCTCCCCGACTGTGGAACTCCCTCCCAACAGACATCTGTAATATTAACTCTCTCTCCTTTTCAAATCCCGTCTTAAAACTCATCTTTTCAAACCGGCATATTCAGTCTGACTGATTTCTTTCAGTCAACCGACACTGTTTCATTGATTGTTTTAATTCATTGCTAACTTTTATATATAATTTGGACTTATTTATTTCTTATTTTCCTCTTCTTTTGTAAGGTGTCCTTAAGTGCTTTGAAAGGCACCATAAATAAAATGAATTATTATTATTTTATTTTATTTTTTTATCTAAAAGTATTTGTCAGTCTTGTGCTGACGTATTCTGTAGCCTTAGGTTTGTGTGGGTCTATTTCATCAAGTGTTGTTCAGTGTGTTTTTGCAGTTGTCTATCTTTACTGCAGTTACACAATATTTCTTTCTTTCTTTGTATTTAAAAAAATATCTTTCTCTCTTTGTCTCCTGGGATGTCCTCAGGCCTGCCCTGATTTGTGGAGACAATACCATTTGACTGTAAGTTACATTTTGGAACATACTGCAAAATCTTGTTATGACTTGTGAAATAAGAAAAACACAAAACCTGTATGATCACTCTATGTCTCTCAAGCAAAAGTCATTAATACATCAAATTTGATTTATAGTAGATATTTAATATTAAGATAGATGTTAGATGTAAATTCTAAAGAAATAAATTGTCCAAGTAACAATAAAACTTGAAAAAACTCAAATAATGATGCCATTTCATTCTGAAATTTGAGCAGGTTCGGTTAGAGGTTCCCCAAAGGCCATCAACAGTCGACACCCCCCAAAATAAGCGCTGCCTGGCTTATTGTTACAACTGCTCAAAACAGGGCCATTATGGTTACGTAAGTGACATATAACAGAAGTCCTTTGCTTGTCTCGACCATCCTTCTTGATTTCCACTTGACCTAACCTGTACCACAATCACTTTTCTGTCTGTAGGCTGTCTTATCTGTCTCTCTGCTGCTCCCTTTTGTGTTTATCTGTCCATCTGTTTCCCTCTATTAACTTTTGGATTGGACTTAATTGTACTTGCCACTTTTTGAGTCCCCTGCTCTCCCACTCTTACTTGGATCTTCCCTCTTACCTTGAATCACTTTTTTATTCCAGCACAGTTTTCAGCCTCTCTTCCTACATTGATGCCATGTTTCTGTCTATTTCAGGAGTGCATCAAAAGGAGGATGATCAGTGGGACATTTCCCACTCTGCCCTATGTTTGCCGTTATGACACAACTGATGACCTCCTCAACCTTCGTACCAGGGACCACAGAAGAGCCAAAGGTTAGAGAACATATTATTCTGGGTATACAGCCTTCAATACAGTAGTCTTTGCATGAAAGCCTGTGCTTCTGAAAGAGGGGGTTTGACTTTAATTCACTTGCCCGACAAGACCTCATGTCTAATGGTGTTTTTCTTTTAACCTCACATGTAATTCACTTACGCTGATGATTTTATGTGCGTTTGCTGTGAAGAGAGCATTATCCCTAGATTACTCCAATTATGACCAAAATAAATCTTAAATAAAACGTGGCCACCTCAACTCCCTTCACCTTTTATGACATTCTAACATGGAGTTGATTCTTCTCTATGCCATACCTGCCTATACATCTTTGTAAGGACTTTTTGATTTTCCTCATCAACGAAAAACTTTAGAAATTCTTCGACTTCAGCTTAGTTATCCCCTTCACAGTAAGTTCAAATGATTTTTTTTTCTGTTCTGCAAATTAGTGAATTATTGCCCAGTTTCTTTCAGTTTACTTTCAGCAGAGGGCACTCCAAAATCTCCTCTATAACCTCATTTTCAGCTGTCCCAATAGGCAGTGACCAAAGTGTGTCTGGAGGAAATTCATTGGATCCTTAACCAGTTTCATAAAACGACTTGTTATGATCTCTCTGGCAGTTACAGACATTTTTTTGTGGTTCCTGGTGCAGCCAGCAGATATTTAAGTGAGTAACAGAGGATTTCAGGGCTGATACTTCATAGGATTAAGAAGTGATGTGTATGAATGATGTTAATGCTACACTTGTGACTTGTAAATATCTGTAGGATAAAGAAAAAGCAAAAGCAGGTCATGACGCTGATGATATGATGGGTCCCAGTTCTGCGTTGAATTGTCTTATGCATTTTGCCGACCTTGATTCTTTACATGCACTGTTAACCTCTTTCTGAGAATACCTTATGCAATACCAATGGCCAAAAACACAACACCACAAATACCCCAAATCTTATTCCTTTCCTGCAGATCCTATATTCAGATAAAGAATATGTTTAAAGAAAATAATCCTGAACAAATTTTAATGTTTTTTTTCTTTCTTGTCTTCTTACTGTGCTCTATGTTATAGCATGTCAAGCATACAAAGCCATTGTAATAGGAACCCATTCAGGGCTTTGACACTGGATTTCTTTATAGACAGAGCTCTTATTCAAGGTCTTGATTACTTTCTATTTACACTGGGCTTCCTGGCTTTTTTTGTTTTTTATTGCTGTTATTTTTGAGGCTGTCTTCTGTTAGAAGCTGTAGCTATCTATGGATTGCAAGTGATAGATGTCAGAGGGGTGATTTCCTTGCGAACTGGCCCTGCAAGTTCACCCAACCTCAATGTGGTCAGACAGACACACGCATAGTTAAAGATATAGCTACACCCAAATGTGTTTTATGATGTCCCCAAATACACCTGTGCATTTCTTTTAGAGGGTGAGATACTAGAAATAACAACAACGCAAAAACAGTAAGTGAAGTTTGCCTTTGTTTCAGTATGTATGAGATTTAAGGTAAACTTTATTATCCCAAAGGGGCAATTTGTTTTACAACTAGCAGTGATTAAAACAAGAAAAAGCACAAGGCTTTAGAGTACAAACACACACGATGAACAAAGAAACATACTGGAGGCAAAAGCTACATGAGACATTTTAGGAGGATAATGGTATCAGGAGTCACTGAGTTGTTTTTGGTCTGTTTGTTCTATATCTATATCTACGGGAGACTATATTTATATCTACAGCAGACTATATCAATGACCAGATGGCAGCAGTTTGTATTCTCAATCCAGAGGGTGCGTTCAGTCAGCCAGACTAGCCTCAGCCTTTCTTTTTCTTTTGTAGCTCGGGCACTTAAAGCAGCAATAACATCAAAACTTGTTCCTGCAGTTCTGCTGCACACTCAATGTCAAACCTCATCCTACTCTTTGCGTCATCTAGGTGCCTCTGGAGCACATGAAGTAGCATGCCTACAGCAGCTTCAACCCCCCTACCTACCATGTAAAGTGTTTTCTTTTAGTGGAAACAAAGAGCATTATCATTCATTTGAATTTTTTTATGTACAGTAGTTAGTCACCAGTATATCAGACCCAACTAGCTAGTTTAATAATAAACCCTGCCTTCAAGAGGGTTTTTGTAATTAAGGTAAAAGACGTGTTGGTCTAACTTCATTTTAAAGGATGTAGTTTTTGATGCTGATGAATTACAGTTTACAGGGAGATTTCTTTGTTTTATAGCTTTTGAATACTGCTACAAAAAGAACTTAATTGATCCCCAAAGGGAAATTTAAAAATAGAAACACCATTTTTTATGACATGGTGAGAACATAAACTAAGAATTATAATCTTCACAGTGGGAGATTTATCTCAACAGTGTGTAAATCCATTATTCAGGCTGCTTTCAGTTTTTATTCATTAATTTAAAGTTGCTGAATGTATTACCATTTTCACGAGCTGTTCACAAATGTTTTCTGTCTTCTGTTTGTTGCTAGGCAGATAGTGTATTTGGCTTCATCTGAGTTTCTTCAATGAAAACAGCTGCCCACTGCAGCTGAAACAGCTTTGATGAGGGCAGCGAGAGCAGAACCAAACAAAGTTGCGGGCTATATAACTAACACAATAAATTAAAACATGAAATTCTTGCATTTGTTTACAACACGTTTATTTGACTACCTGTCCTCTGGATCAAGTGCCTCCGAACCTTCAGCTCACCATTTGCCTTCATTTAACCCTGCAGTTACACACATAACTGACTTATGTTTGTCTTCTGGTGGTTTCCCTACTGCATCTAAGCAAGTTCAGGTCACCCTGCTGCTCAAACAATTATTCTCTACCCAGCCTGGGTTGATAATCATAGACCAGGTTTTCACTTCTGCCTTTTTAATCCAAAATTCTTGAGTGTGTTGTGTTTGATCAGGTTTCCAAGCTTATGCACAACAACACTGTTTGATCCCAATCAGACTGGCATGAGGGGAAGCCTCTGAAACGGCTCCTCTGTTGGTAATGGAATTGCTGCATTTCCCCGCATCAAATGTAAAACCCTTCTTGCCACAAAACTTCAACAAAATGGCTCTTGCCTACCTTGACTACCTCATCCAGGTCTACAATCCCTCCAGCTACCTACACTCTGCCAATGAAAGGCACATGGTGCTTCCATCACAATAGGGCCCCAAACCACTTGCCAGACTCCTCTCCTCTGTTGTCTACTGGTGAAGGAGTGAATTAACAAACTATCAGATCCACAGAGTCCTTTTCTAAGAAAAAAAACCAAGACTCAGGTCTTTACAGACCACCTATGCAACTTAAGCCGCGCTCTTCTCTGTTGTCAACAGTAGTAGAATGACTGATACAACCATTTTGGGTCTACACAGCCCCCTTCTACTTTTGAGACACTTATTGACACAGCTCTTTGTGAACAGCGCAGCACTTGGTGGTTTGGTGCTTAATGTGACGTTGTTGATGATTACATTGGTATTGTGGTTTCAAATTTATGAAGATTTGTTGTAGTTGTTGTGGTGTTAATGATACAATAAAATTTAATTTTTAATGAAGTGCATTGCCATTTCGAACTGTATGACAGTACCATATCCAAGCACTTATGTTATTTCTAGATCTTTCCTTGTGTTGTACTTACTCTCAATTGTACATAGCTTTGAATGAAGGCCTTTGCTAAATGACTTTGCAACTAACTGTCAAACATCACTTTACAGGTTTATACAGATTGTCATTTTCTTGTCCATGTTGTGTTTGCAGAGCTAATAAGAGCAGGATCCTTTCTTCCTAACAACCAGAAGTCTGAAGCAATACAAGACAGCGGTGAGGAGAGTCAACCAGTCAGAGAAAGGAGCCAGACAAAGAGGGAGACCTGTAGCCGGGCTTCAAGAATGAAAACGTGGCCAGAGAGGCGCAGAGCGAGACGAGAGGTGAAGAGGCTGAGGAGAGAGGCTCAAGCCAGACGAGAGGGAGGACTATTGGGGAGATCCTGTGGAAACTTTGATGAAGAAGTTTTCCCATCAGACCCCTCAAGATCTCCTTTACTTGGTCATATGAAAACCTTGTCCCCTTCACAGAGGAAGAAGAGTGTCAAGGCAGGTGGCGGAAGAAGCAGGAGGAGCAGAGAAACAGAGAGATGGAAGAAGAGGGGAGGGTTAAAACATGGAGATTTATATCCACATGGTGACATAGACATCAGTAGTCAAAATCTTTCCCAAAAACAAAGAGTACGTCACCGAAAGAGATGAAGTGTTAATGACTTTTTTGTGTTTTAAAATATAACAAATGTCACTGGGTGAAATAAACAAATCAATTATGTCACACCAAAGATACAACAGTCGAATAGTATGAAGAGTTGAAGGATGTTAATCTTCTGTGAAGCTGGTGTCAGTGTTCTTTCATATGAAACTTACTGTTTGCATCTAGTTGTCAACATGCTTTCAAATATGTCTGCTAAAACCCCTGTATTTTGCAGTAGGTGGTAGTGTTGTGTCGTTTGCGAACAATTCGTTTAAAAAAAACGAATCTTTTAAGTGAACATACCGAACCGAATCACTTCCTCATGTGAGTCGTTCATTTCTCACTTCAGTTGAGCTGAAGTGAGAAACAGCATTGCCAGGCCAGCAGCCGGTGAATGAGGGACCACATGCACAAACGCCTGAATCACGTGGTGAACGAATCATGCATTCAACTACACTCTCTGGAATCATTTTTGTCGGACAGAACTACCTTTTTTTCACTGCTAAATTGCCACCACAACAACTTGCATACAATAGGACACAGCATGTAACAAGTAGTGCATTAAACATCCTATCATTGCAGCGGTTTGCGAGGGAACGGTGCATGTTCAGTGTGAATTCTTCTAAACATTCAGTGAACGAATCACTCACTGACCCCAATTTACCGAGCAGACCTGGTAAATAGCATACCATAGAACAGTACACTTTAAACGTCATGACTTGTAACAGTGTTGTGACGTTGACGAGCTAAACATAAGTCTTAGATGGCTAAAATGTGACGAGACGGATGTGCGTTTACGTTGACGAGACGAGACTAGAGGAAAACGTTAGTGGTGGACGACTAACAGAGTTGCAAAATTCATGAGCATTTCGTCAGTCAAAAGCCAAACATATATTCTGCAGTGTTGTTTACGTTGACATTGGCGAAAATATTTAGTAAACGTCATCGTCAACGAAAACAATGCTGTCTTATAAACAAGTTCATTTTTACAAACCTGTTTGCCAAAGCAACACAGCCAAACACTCTTGTCTCCCAGTCTCAGAAGCTATGAATTGAACTGAATCCTGAACCGTTCAGCTGTGTATCAGTTCAGGAGGTTGGAATTGCAGGCTTCTCCCGCCAAGCACTAAATGATTCTGTGATTTGGTGAATGAATCTTTTTAGTGAACTGATTCTAGTGATTCAGTACATCTAAAAGAACTGCTGTTCCCATCACTAGTAGGTGGTGGTCTGATTCACCTTTTAAGATTGTTTTTTTGCTATTAACTCACTTTTTATTTCAGGTTTGAAATTACATGTGTGAAATACAACTCAGAGCAATACTTGAAGACTACTCAAAATTCAATTGGTAAAACAGTGGGGAAAAACAGTCATTTTCTGATAGATTTTTGTGCCAGTTATTGTCAAGAAAAGGTTTCTGAATGAGCAAAATGCAGAACTGGGATTTCTGGTTACTGTCGGTTACGACTTTAAGCTCCCGTCTGCGTAGTCCTTGCCTACCTGAGAAAGCTCCCTGTGAGGCCAATAGCGTCCAAAGCCTTGTCTTATAGTATTTCTGGTATGAAGCTGCTGAATTATTAATGAACTGAGCAGCTGCCTGTGGTTTGCCAGACCAAAGCAGTCAATTCGGATAACAAGCCGCCACTAATAATCCACCTTAATGGCTTCTTGTGGAGCAAATATTGCACGTACCAGTGTTAGAAGTGCTTAACTATTCCATGCTACTTGGTTTATGTGACGTATGCGCGAGGATTATAAAACAATGAGCTACATTGTTCTCCAACGTTCTACATTTTTTTCTATGTTCGATTGGGGTTGACTGAACAGAGATGTGAAACTCCCATTGATTGATCTTCCCCTACACTCCCCGCTGACCAGAGAAAACACTCGATAGCGAATGCGAGAGGGGATTTAAATTGGACAAATACTGTCCACCTCGTTTGACGGATAAGGTAGATATACATTTTCTCGTGCGGTCTGATCTAATTCGCTTTTAGTACTATTCCGCGACCAGCCTAACCTCGCTACAGTGCGACGTTTGCTAGCTTGTAATGTCGGCACTGTTGGACTTGTTTTCCCCTCTAGACTCCGCTTCCTGTTAGCCTTGGGCTAGCTGGAAAATCGACATTATGCTAATGAACGACCAGGTTTAGTTAGCCAACGCAAAGGGGTGTAACTTTACGACTAACAATAGGATTTCTGTTGAAATTTAGTAGCAATTTCTACCCAAACCCGTGCTTATAACTTAGTTTGAGGGCCAGCTGTAAGGGCTCCTGGTTTCCTTTTAGTCTGCTAACGCTCGACAACGAGCCATCTTGCTTGTGTTTGGGGATTTAAGTATTTAACTTGACGAGCGATTGATAATAACTTAAGTTGTAGTTTCTTGTACATACATAGATCACCATTCGGCTCAGTCGTATTGAAGCCGAGTGTGTGTAAAGAGTAGCTTTGAAGCACTTGAATGTAGTGTGGGAGAGCCGGACTGGTTCACTGTGTTAAAGACAATAGAGAGCCGGAGACTCGCACAGCTGCTGTTTTGTTAACGACGAAAACTAAGAAGAACTAACTTGGGGAGATTTGTATTTTCGAGATTATTTTATTAAATTGTATCCTGATATAACTAGGATAGCTTTTGAATACTTTTGTACGTGTAGAAGTGGTGAATATATAGACGTGGCTTCCGTATATTTGACCCGCACAGATCGCTCGGGAGACAGTGGATGGGGTCGATGCAGATGGTGTTTGTGCGACACACGAGGGCTTCCAGGTATCTCCTCTCTTTACTCTGAAACAACAGCAGCTTTAAATGCCTCAGAAAACACTCGTAGCAGCCGGTCGTCGTCAGAGGTAACCAGGTAGATTGAGAGACGCGGTCTGAAGAGGGAGCCTTTTTCCTGGACGTCCATCTCTCCAGCCTACCTTCATCACGTCCATCCACCACCACCGCCCTCCTCCTCCTCTTCTTCCTCCTCCTCTTCTTCAGCCATGGACCCCCCGAGGACGCGGTCGCGGTCTCGGTCTGGCTTTTATCATTTCGGTTTGAACGGTAATGTTGGAAGTAACGCCGGTGGAAACGCGGTTGGCAACGGGAGCATGATGAACGCCAGCGGAGGAGGGGTGAGCTACCCGCAGCAGAGCAACCCCGGCTGGGTGCCGCACCACGGTGGTCGCAGCTACCCCGAGAGCCAGCAGCAGCACACCCAGGGGAGCTACCTGTCCGCGGGGGCGCAACGCCACTCCTCACTCGGAGCTCACAGACACCCCGGTGCTGGTAAGCAGGGATCAGTAAACAGGGCCAGCAGCCCGGCCAGATGCACCAACACACACACTTCGACACAGGATACACCCCTGAGGGATGTGAGCAGACCACTAGCAGCTTAACAGGCTTTGAGACATTTGACTAAAAGGCTAGGTTCTTTCACCACCAGCTGCTGCTCGAAAGGCCACCTATATGTCATGTCAGGTGTTGTTTTGGGGTCTTTGCTTTGGAGGTTTGATCAGTACTTCTCCAGGTTAATAAAAGCAGAGAGGGACCATGAACCTTGGTAAAGTTTCCATGTTCAAGTTTTATTAACTCAGTGAAAATTTAACAGACTCAGCAGATAACCTACTGCAGGGGTGTCAAACTCAACTACAGCAAGGGCTATAATCTGGATTTAGGTCTAACCTGAGGGCCAAACAGGGTCAACATTTCAGCAAAACTGTCAACCTCCTTTTCAAAAAAAATATGTAACAAAAATAGCAATGATTACAAATCATTTGGAAATTCAAAAAAGATCAGTTTAAAGGATAGAAAATTTTTAATTTTTTATTCTATTTTTATTTATTAGTTCAAAACATCAGAGCGTGATATTAAAAATAGAAAAATAATGCTTTTAAAGAGCAAATACATGAAGAAAACATTGAAATCAGGGTTAAAATGTCAAAATATGACTTAAAATTAAAAATTGGAATCTAAAGTATAAAATGAAACAAGTCTAAATACTGAGTTGAGCAAAATCAAAGCATGAAATAAAAAATACCCAATCATGCTTGACTTGTAATCTTGAAATGCAAAATTGAAAACATGAAATAAAACGCCAAATATTTTTCCCCCACATTCTTGACTGTTTGTCAAATCTTCCTTACTCTTTAATTTCCCAGATTTTCGTGGTACATTGAGGACATTTTAAATAATGGTGCTAAAGTTTACATTATTATACTGGAGGAAATCTGCAGACCTCCGACTGGTGGGCCAATAATAAAACAAATATGATATGATCTTGTGGGCCAGATATAATTGTTCCCCGGGCCAGATTTGGCCTCCAGGCCTTGAGTTTGACACCTGTGACCTACTGGCTACATTATCTAACCTCTGGATCTGAGACGATGAAACTATGCTTAATCAGTTCAGTAGATGTTAATTAAATGTATTAAATTAGAGTTATACTGATATGTAGAGGCGAACATTTAAAACAGATCTCTAATGGCAAGTGAGTGAAAATTGTAAGAATTTGAACACATTTTGAGAGCTTACAGAGCAGTGCATTAGCTTATGTTAACAGATCAGGGACACGATTTGCCTGGAGGTGTAGGTAAATTACAAATTAGACTTGAAAATCTCAAAAAATAGTTCATGAGATGAATAAAATAGAAGTTTGAAGGCTTAAAACCAAAATTGCAGTGAAATATCTGGCTAAATTTTTAAAATTTCCAGCCACCCAGCACTGTTGTCCAAGGTTTCTTGTAAATTACCATCAAAGATTTCATCCTTTAGCCTTGAAAGGTAAATTTACGAAGCTGCTTTAGCTCCATGCAAGCAATGAAAAATATTGATGTGGAGTATAGTTGTTCTTAGTGTATTTGCTTAAATTCTGTGCCAACCATTTTCAAAGAAGCAGCTCTTTGGCTCTTTATCGCTACAGCACTAACAGCTTCTTATCCAACTAAGGAGACAAAAAACCTCCTTAAAACCTTCAAAGACAGACAGAAAGACATTAAAAGAAATAAAACCAATAAAAGCAATAAACCACCCTGATGAGAAAAAAACACAGCAGAGCTCTCATCAGTTGTTTTCAAAATAAAAAGACAAGTTTTTTGTTCATTTCCCTAACTGGACTTTAATTCTAAATATATTATTTAAACGTAACCTTATTATTTTTCATATACATTATCATGACAGTGTTGAAGTTTGGATCAGATGTCTACAGTTGTGCTTTATCCCTTAACATCTCAGCACACAGAACATACAAAAGCCTGGATAAGCTGTTTTCATGAGACAGTATCCTGGTTTCTGTCTGTTTTGTCAAGAGAGAAAATCCAGTATTTCTGAGAGAGAGAAAAAAAAACAGGATCAGCGCTTATCCAGGTTTCTCCAACTGGCATACTGTATTTACCTATATATCACATAACTGTGATCCTTCAAAAACAGGATTATAACCAGGATACTTGTGCACATGTAAACACGCTTAATGACATCCATGAGTTAACTGTTCAACAGGTTTCCATTGCAGATTGAAAGAAAGTGACTCTTAATGGCAAAACACTGTGCAGTGAACGAATGAATGAAAGCATGCTTTTAATGGGCCTCTATTGTATGAGCAGCACTGGTGTCAAACATCCAAAATAGCTAGCAGAAGAGACACCACAGAAAACCACATGCTTCCCAAATTGAGCGACAACAGAGGGTCTTATGTGAATGACTTAAAGAGTGTATCTCCCAGCTGTGTGATCTGCCCCCTTTTTCCTAACAGCTGCACATGCTTGGTCCTAAATGACGGGGATCTTTATGTGTTTTCTGTATGTAAGCTAAACAAAAGTGGGGTTCTAAGAGTGCATGACCGGTTTCTGCTTTCTTTCTTTCTTGCTTTGCATTTCACTGTATATTGTCCCTCGGCATCATGGTATGCAGACTGTGTGAGGGTGGAATTTGGAGGTGTTAGAAATGTGTCCCCTTGTCTTACCTTTATTTTTCCTCCTCTTCTCCTTCTTCATTCCCTCTGTGTTGAATGTATTATCACCTAGTTTAGCTTTCAGCGTATGTGCTGCATCTGTCAAGCTGCCAAACATAGCAACCAGGTTTTATAGCTCGTTGATAAAGTTATCACCTTAGATCCTGAGATATAGGAATTTAACTCTTTCTATTAACTTAACATTTTGTGTGTGTCTTGTAAATGTAAACGACACCCCGTAAGTATTTGTGAGGAGCAGATTTTTTTTCTTTTCTCGATGACAGCTGATATTCATAAATTCACCTTCTGAACATTTGTTGTGAAACAATGCGTTGGTCCTCCCCAGCAGTCAGACTCGGAGTATGGCTCTTTCTCGCGAGCAGAACCCATCAAGGCTTTCTCGCTGCTCCGTCTCCTATGACCCCCATGGGTGAATCGACATTAAGAGACCTAGTTCTCCTTGAAACACATGGGCGACTGAGGCCCTGGACCCCATAAGGCTCAAATAAAAAAGGGAGAGTAGATGAATTAAGATGCAAGCCAGTAGGTTGGCTGTACTGTGGGCCAGTGAGTCAACTGACAGTCCCTCTGTTCTCCCCAGCCACTAGCAGAGCGCCTTTGAGCTGTCACTATCGCCAGACTTCACATGGCTCTGGAGTGGCGTCGCAAAGACAAGAAAGGAGTGGGGGGCTGCTTTCAGATCTGTTGTTTCTGAGGAGCCAGACAGGGGCTGTTTGGATGAGGGAGGCATAGAGGAGAAACAGAAAAGAGATTGGGGGAGGAGAGATTTTACCCCCGCTTTTTGGTGATTAAAGGGTTTTTGGGGACTGCTCAGAGGAAACTCTTGTCAGCTGAGTTCAAGGACATCCTTCTTAAGCTGCTGAAATGTCTGTATGCACAGGCTGCTTCCAGATTGCACATGTGGGCCGACAGATAAACAGCTGGGAGAGCATTGTGTTATTCAGAGATTATGTATATGGTATTACTGCTTTATTTAGCTTCTCCTGTTTTTTCTGGTTTTCATTTCTTTAGAGGGGGACTCTAATATCATTGATACCATTGAAGAGATGTTTTTTTTGTTGTTGTTGTTTATTGATCTTTGGAGAGATATCTTTATCCCTAGTTCACCATGAGGAGATGAGAAATAGAATAGGAAAGAAACAGGGCACTGAGCTGTTGTTGCAGAATTTTTGCCAACGATGGTTCACTGCCCTGCTCTGGCACACTTGGGCAAAGCAGATGCCCTCAGAAAAGCAGAGTTTAATCTATGATTTTGGTTATGATCAAATTCCATCATATAATTGTGTGAATACCAACTTCAGGATAGTACTACGGCCATTTTGTTTCATTTTGGTTCAACTGATCAATCACTCTTGTTACTGGTCAGCTAATTGAGTCTATAAAGTGTCAGAAAACAGCTGAAAATGGGTATTTTTCTTAGAAATCAAAGCTGTCTTTAAAACACTTTTTTGTTCAACAAAAGTACAAAACTAAAAGATCTGTAGTTTACCAGAAGAACTGTTCAAACATATTTATTTCTCTCATCTTTCATCATTATTTTACAACATTACCTTAGCTAAAACAAAAGTCATGATGAGCTTTTCATTAATGTTTATATGTGGACAGCCAGCATGATGCTCTGCTGTGTTGTGGATGTCTGTTTCTGCGAGTCTGAGTACAGGTTTTTGATGGTAGATCAGAGGGAAGGATTTTTATGTGAGATCCACCAAGGATGGGTCCAGTGTGACTGTGCCCGACTTCTTTGAGATGACAGCTTTTTTGGCATCCAGTGGTTATTAAGAGTTAGAAAATACAAGTGTTTGTGTATTTCTGCTGGCCTTGCAAGTGCATATCCATGTATATTGCGTTGTTAATTCTTCTATCAGCCATTTCTCGTGTGATAATGTTTTTTTTTTTTCTCTGTGGCCTGCAGGAGGAGTGCTACATTTTCATCCTGATAATGTGTGCAGCGACGACCGGGACAAAGTAAGTGTGAAACATGACCCATGCCTGTTGCCTCTGCTTTGCTCCTGTTTTGAATAGGGTTTGTATGTCATTGTTTTCTTTCCTTATTCTCCTCTTTTGTCTGCGCTCTTTTTGTTTCTCCCTGACCCACAACCCCCTGCCTCTGCCTCCCCCCCTCCTCCTTTTACCTCTGTGTGCAGATGGAAGACAGCCCAAGCCCGAAAAGGCAGCGTCTTTCACAGCAGTCCATGTTGGATTTAAACTCCGCCCCTCCCTCTACTCCTTCCTCACCCATTCGCCCCTGGGAGCTGCCTCCCAGTCGTAGACCACACCCCCACTACATGCCAGAGAGATGCCACACTCCCCTTCGCAACCGTCGCAGGTAAGAGTGTGTATGAGTGTTACACAGTTGCATATAACATGCCTTAAAAAACTGAATAAAGGGTATCATTCAGCCAACACAGCATTTGAAAGACTTGAACATTCAGAATTCAAATTGTAGACAGTGTAGTATATAAAAAAATAACAATAATGACTTATCTGTAAGATTTTTATCCACGTGTTTTATTAGATGATACTCAGTTGAAAGAGGAGTGAAGAATACAGCCGCCATTTAAAGTTGTAAAATAAAAAATTATAAGTATTTAGTATTAGTATAAGTTTATATTTGTGTATAATCCCCTAACTTTTTCCGGTTTTATTTTTTAATTTTTAATTTTTTGAGGAATATCAGAAAAAACAAAAACTCTGTATGAGTTAGCATATATCTGCCATCAGCTAACTTGCTCTCTCATAATTCTTACTGGCCACTGAAAACTGCGCTCTGTCCACATCTACATTAGATATCACTAAATATTCCTATTTCTACGCACTGTACCTTTAAAACTGAATGGCTGTTTTTTTGTTTATCATGAAGTATCGGTCAAAGCCAAACAGTGAATCAATGTATTCATGGTCTTACTCTAGATGAGTCAATATAAAACAAAGTGCCTTGTGCTTGAATGTCTTAGAGCATATATTCAGTTTTTCTTGCTGGACAATAGCATCTGCTCCCCACTGATTGGTCGGTTTAAGTGTTAAAGAATATGCATCAGCTGCAGGGACTCATATATATATATATATATATATATATATATGAATACGTATGTTTACCATTTGACAGACTTATTCCTTGTCTGCCATCATGTCTGTATCAATGTTCAAATCTAGTCAGTTTTTATAGGGAAGTGGACTCCAGAAATCTGTGATTGTAGAGTTCCAGCCTGATGGCAATAAACCCTCCTAGCTGCTACTAGCATAACACACCCCAGTTTATGATGATACCTTTTTGACTAAGAAGCATTGTAGGTAACGATTTCATTAAGATATGACAAGGAAGAAGGATGTTTGATTATGAAAACATATATCCACCTGATTCTTTGTTTTAAATAAACTGTTCATTATGAGTAACATCATTCAAGATCTGCACTAAAACATGACTGTATCATGTTCTTTCAGTTGCTTTTAATGGCTTGCTGAAGGTGACGGCTTCATTGTTATAAATCAAAGAATATTCATGCAAACACAACATTCCTCTGATTTTCTGCCTCAGCCCTCCAATGAGACGCCAGCGAGGCCGAAGAGACCGTCTGACCCGCCATCACCACCATGCCCACAACAACAACCACCACCACTTTAATGGCAACAACAACCATCATCATCACCACCTTCACCACCACAACGCCCATCACCCCCACCACCACCACCTGCATTCCCACCATGTACCGTCATCAGGCCACCAGGATGAAAACTACCGTCACCCTGCTCCCCCCCAGGGATACCCACCCTACAGCCAACAACCACCCAGAGGGCCGGGGCCAGGGCCAGAAGAGCGCCAGGGTCACCATCCTCCAAACCTGTCCCCAAGGCCTCTCCACCAGTCACCAAACCTGTCCCCAAGGCTGCTGCATCCTGCAGCTCATCAACAACACCCCCACCCACATGCCCACCCATCCCAGCAGCAGAGCAGTGTCGTTCTGGACCTCCATGAGCAGGTAACATAGGATAAGGTGGCCGTACTAGGTTGGGTTGGGAAATGACACTGAACATAGAGTTAAAAACAACTGAAATGCTTTTAGGTGCAAATAACTACGCAAAAATAATATGTATAGTTTGGTGACAGTTAGAATTTGACTCTTCAAAATTTTATTGCATCTCATGACAAAAGTTTAAAAACACTTTCAAGAGGTCTCCCTGTAGACCTCATCTGTTTTTTTTTAGCACTACCACGAAAGCAAACCTCTGAGATGGTCGAGTTTTAGTGGTGACGGTGGTGAATATGATACTGATAGGTTTTTTATTTTCTATCCAGACAATGTGAAGCAGAAGTTAAAACTCCAGTTGCTTATCTGGCTGTTCGTAAAAAGTTCAGAACCTCTGACTTTTTTGATCTCCTTCTATAGGGTTCAGTTCCAGTATCATATCCTGTGTCACCTCCGGGAGCGCCTGCAGGCCTGCCGCCTCGCTCTGCCCCTCAACAGATCCCAGCATGCTCAGTGGTCTTCAGCGGACAGCACTATCCTGTGTGCAGCGTCCCTCCTCCTGTGAGTGTGTCTTTGTTGCTTTGATAGACACACACACACACACACACACACACACACACACACGCACACACGCACACACACACACACACACACACACACACACACACACACACACACACACACACACACACACACACACTCTCTGGATTGGTTTGGATGTTTTCTCATAGACTTGTTTTCTGCTCCTCACGGGTTTTTCATTATTTTAATTTCATTTTTTCGAAATCCTGTTTTTTATTTTTTTCTAATGAAATTTTGCTGTTTTTGTCTGTCCTTTTTCTAGGTGCTCCAGACCTGCTCTGTCCAGCACTTACCAATGCCTTACCCTTTCCCGTCATTGCTGTCCAGTGACCCTGCCTTCCTCCTTCCTCCCCCTCACCTCCCCCATCCCCCAACACACCTGTCCCACCATCCCCCTCACCTGCCTCAGCCTGGACAGTTTGGACCCTATCCAACACAGCAGGCCCGATCTGTGAGTTTTTCCAAGTCATATGTATTTTAATCTTTTAAGATCTTGCACCAGATTCTGTTTTTGTTAGTTTTCTAAAATGTGACCATTTTAGTTGGATGTATGGATGATTTTTATCTGCTTATTTTGTGATAGCATACTTAACTTTCAGCTTTTGAGCGAAGCAAGTTTTCTGAGAGTCATGACAGAAGCTTTTTATTAAACATCTGCTGTATTAACATATGATAAAACAACATTTATGAGTCACATGTGAGACATGAGTACCTATAATTTAACATATTTAAACAGGAGGAAAAATAATGCTAGTTATAATTTAGGAAATTTAATGAAGTCTCATTTAAAAAAAGAAGAAAAAAAAAAAGAACTGTGCTAATATTAGCTAAGTGACAAAAAAGAAAACAATTATTTTTCTGTAAATATTGTGCATCACTTCAAATAATAACAGAATTCCCAAGTTTTTGACTGCTTAAGTAGATCCTGATGAAATTTCTAATGAATATCTGACACAAAGTGTTTTCTGTGAGATCATGGATGTTTCGGTTAGGTTGGCTAACCTGCTCACTTTAGACCTTTTGTTATTGACTGCTGTGACCACTAATCAAACAAGCTGTTGCAGATATATTTTGAATTGATGAAGAACAAAAATATTATTAAAAGATTTAATGTAATGTAACAGTAGTCATATAAAAATGTGCAGCTTTTCTCTCTTTAAGTTGCTCTTATGCCCATTACCACCATGTTTAACTTAAAACTTATTATTGTGGTAATACTGTGTTTTTATACCGAGATTTTGACTTGTTCTATGTTTTTATCTCCAGCCGTTACAGAGGATAGAGAACGATGTGGAACTGCTTGGAGAGCATCTGTCACTAGGTGCTGGGCTCCACTATCCTCCTGCCACCCACCCGGCCCTAACACCACACTCCACACAGCTTCATTTTCTGTCCCATGACCCCCTGCCTCAGGAGTTCTTTGGAGTGGTGAGATTTAAAAAAAAAAAAAATTAACAATTTGATGAAATTTTCTTGAACTTTTCAGTAATGAGGAAAATAAAAATACATGTGCGTGACATGTCATGTTTTTTTTTGATTGACCCCCAGTCCTACCCAAACTTTATCCCTCGACGTCTACCGGGGCGACGGTACCGATCGCAGCAGCCACTGCCACCCTCGCCTTACCACCCAAGCCTCCTGCCTTACTTCCTGTAAGTAAATCATTTAACAATGTTCATGGAGGAAGAATTTTTTTTTTATGTTGTAAGTTTATTTACCAAAGTCAAAGACGATCTGGTGTTTCATTTTGAACTTATGATCCAAGTGATCAAAGTCAGTCTCCAGCATTGTCATATAACTTGACAAGTTCAACCAGGTGAATTTAGAAGAAGTTGGGTACAACAGATTATTTTCTGAAATTCTCAGCTGTTCTAAAAGAATAACTGGATTAAACAATTTTTCTACATTCATCGATCAAAGTCTTACAAAAAAGAATATTTAGGGTGGTCTTTGATATTTCAGGATTCAGTTATTAGAAGGTAAATTGAAGATGCAAAATAAGGAGAAATTATTTGTTTGACTAAGTCTTTGTCAATAAAAGGTTATGAGAACAAAAGGGCAGAGTCATATTTAAGCAAACAGACAAAAATATGATGAAATTAGTTTTTCTTGATTTACACCTTTTGATGAACTGAACTCCAACTTCTCTCTGTTTAATTTCTATGTAGTTCAATGCTGCCAGTCCAGCCCACAGGTCCCGCTATCAGTTTGGAGCTGGATGTAGACGATGGTGAAGTGGAAAACTATGAGGTAATTATTATCTTTTTACTCTTTTTTTTTTTTTTCCTTCTTTGTTTGTTGGATGCAGACTTTGATTTTTTTTTACAACCCTCTCCTCCTTACAGGCCCTCTTGAACCTAGCTGAGCGTCTTGGAGAGGCCAAACTCAGAGGATTGACAAAGGGAGACATTGAACAGCTTCCTTCTTACCGGTTCAATCCAAATAACCATCAGTCTGAGCAAACACTGTAAGTACAGCCATTGTGCAACCACCATGGATAATGTGTATTATTCTATGACATATTGTGTAAGCTGGTCAGGACCCCCAAAGTCGCAGCTTTTTTGTTAATTTATGACTGAGATTGTGGGTTTATGAAACGGCGTGTTTAAAAGCTTCAAACACCAGGTCCGTTTGTTGGGGTTGAGAAATTACCAAATTTAAAGAAACTTGACGTTTTTCCCTCATGAGTGCAGATGTTTTTCTTTCACACGTTTGTTCATATGCTTTAATTTGACCTGGTAATGCAGTTACAGGTTCCTTGTGTTATCGTATGTTTAATGTACATGTTATGTTGCAGGTGTGTGGTGTGCATGAGTGATTTTGAGTCCCGCCAACTGCTGCGGGTCCTGCCCTGCAGCCATGAGTTTCATGGAAAGTGTGTTGACAAGTGGCTGAGGGTAAGTGCTCATCCCAAATAAACTCACTCACTCTGTTCTAAGTGATACGTTTGTATTTTTTCAGTGCATCTTTGAGGATTATTACATTGATTGGGTAACAAAAACAAAATTCTCACATTATTACTTGGTGTTGACGGATAATATTCTGCTTTAACTAGAGACGTAATGTCTTATTTATCATAGGAAAACCTTTGTTAACAAGTTCATATTCATTCCATACGAAACCCTAATAAAGTATGATGTTATACAGTGGTGTAGTGAAAATCTTGTACCTCTGAAGGCTTTTGTCTGACTGTTTCTAAATTAATCACAAAAGATTTGGAAATTTTTAAACCCCACCTGACCCGAGGGTCCTGTTTCAGACAGGAAGTTCAACAAACTGATTTAAACTTCGATGAGAAACTGAGTTTTCTGACTCCAGAACAGCTGATTAGTTAGTTCAATCAACTTTAAGTAGGTTCACTGGGAGTTAGGCATGTGCACAATGACTATAATAAGACAATATGATTGAAGCCCTGACAATTCACCATGGCAACAGGCAACAAAAAGAGGTCTGCCTGCTTTACCTCTGTGAGATTAGACATTCTCATGCACACGTACAGCGAGCTTGAATATGTTTAAAAAAAGTAATACTGCTGCTGTGGCAAAGACGGACAAGCAGCATGGGAGGAAATTGGCAACTGAGTCACTTCTTAAGTTTGAATGTAGTATTATATATTTAATCATGCATAAATGTCAGGCTACAGGAGAAGGCTAGAGGAATAGTATTGAACCTTTAGATTATTTTCATGTTAGTGCTATCAGTGGAGAAAAGCAAACATGAAAGCAGCTAAAATGAATCATAAAAAATTAGAATATCTGCTTAAGTCTTGTGTGATGTTGCTAGACAAATGCTGAATCTCTACTGACACATTAACATGTAGACTTTGAGTATGAACACAGGGAAGAAACTACATTTCTGCACAGGTGGAGGTGTAGATAGTGTGTTGGTTCGGTGTTGCGGGGCACATTTTAAATGAAGCTAATTTGTTGTTTATTTTACATAAAACAGCACCATTATGCTTAATTTCAAAACTGAGACTCTCCTTAGGAGGTTATAAACACTTATCTAAAATGGCAGGATTTATCAAATGTCATATATTGAGGGACCGGGGCTCTGCAGTAAAACGAACCATGAGCCAGACTGTGGTGAGCTTTAGGAGGTGTGTGAAAGAGACGGCTGTTGTCCCTTCCTCTGTCTTTGCTGGGACTTTGTAACAGCTTGTGAGACAGAAATGAGAGAATGTCATCCCCTTATTCTCCCCCTCAGATTCTCTGGCTGTGGAGGGGATGTTTGTTGTTGGTCTGGGGATGACAGCATGCTTCTTCTTTTCCTTCTCCTCCTTTTCCTAAACCCCATAACTTTTATTAACTTTTGACTATAATCACCACAAACATGTGCCTCCTCCCTGTCAAAGTACCTGCCCCTATTCCAGATATAGAGTCGGAAACCTGAAGTGGTTTAAGTCTAGATCACACTTAACCTACTTTTTTGAATATGCCTTCAACTTTTAACCATCAGCTGCACATCACAGTAGTGGTAATGATGGCAACACTCCAAATGAGATCTGTCATGGTTGGATATTTGATGTGATTCTATGTGATTGTCTGCATGAAACCTCACCGGCTGTCTTTTCCTGCTCTGTGATTTCAGGCGAACAGAACTTGCCCTATTTGTCGGGCCGACGCGTCTGAGGTGCAGAGAGACTCAGAGTGACCACAAGAAGGCGCCGTACACTCCCAATAGATTGTCAAACACATTCAGCACTACCTGCTCCTGATGTATTGATACACATGTGCTTGTTTGTACACATACACGCACACGCACACGCACACACAGACACGTACACACACATAAATACACACACACACTCATACACACATACACCCACGCCACTTGTATTTTTGTGCTGCATTTCCTGCTTGTTTGTTATCATTAAACCCTAACCCCTTTTTTCTCACATTTAATCTGATTTGTATTTTTTTCCCAGTTATCTTTCTTGATGTCATTCCCCTGCTCTCAGTTTTTTCCTCTTTTACATGAATGCAGGCTTTCACTTCTTAGGTGAAATTCAGTCTCTCCACCACTTTGCTCTGGTGTTTGCGTCTGTGTGTGTGTTCATGTGAATGCACACAGGAGTTGCTAGGTCGGCCCTGTGATGCTGGGCTGTGGTACATGACCGTATGTTTTTCAGTATATGTGAGTGTGGTTGTTCATGTGTGTATATGTAAGAGGGAGTGGTTTTTAGATGTTCAGCATGCCTGAGTTCTTGTTGTGAATCATACAAGTGTTAATGACAACTGAGAGTTTTTGGTCTCCTGGGTGACTGACTTTACTTCCTGTTTGTACGTCTATGCACTGTTTGTCTGTATGCATACTGGATGTGTGTGCGGGTGTGTTTGCGTGCGTGTGCGTGTGTATGTGTATGTATGTGTGTCATACATTTAAATCCTTTTCTCTAGTTTGACACTAAGGGTCCATGTTGCCACTATACTCATCGGTTGCCTATTTGATCACTTCTTTTAGGTTATTATTATTATTATTATTAATATAATTATTATTATTATTATAAAACCATTAAAAAATGATTGTTTTCCTGCCTGGCAGTTACCTCATCATTCCAGTTTTGGTCATCATCCATTAAGCACGCTTCACTACTTAAAGATTAAGCACGTTACGTTTTTTTTTTTTCCTTTTTTTTCTTTTTACATAAGTAGGTATAAGTTTGTCTGTGACTTTGCTGTGGCACATGTGTTACATATATACATATATCTATATATACTGTATAATTCTATGAATATCTGTATACCAAATAAAAGGCTTGATATGAAATTTTTAAATTTTGCATTCTGTATTTATTTTAGAGTTGCTCAAGACCTTAAAGTACTTGATTGCTGTTTGATTTGAAGTGATGGCAATGTAAATTTAGGACTATTTTGAAATGCAGTTACTTCAAGAAGCCCCTAGATGGTGCCAGGGCTCTTCCAGACCTTCAAAACTCCACATAAATTTTTTCAATAATCTGGGGATTCTATTGATAGAGAAATGTTGGGACTGATCCTTCTTTTTGTGCCCCTACATTTCTCAAAAGCAGCGCTCCTATTAAAATGTCAAAAAAGATATGATCAAAAAAGACATAATTCTTAGATTCAAGCAAGAACTCTTTGAACAAAATATGTCATTGTTGAAAAAAAGAAAAAAATGTAAAATTAGTGCTACAATTATCCAGAACAGGGCAAAGTTTTGCAGTCAAAATCGGAATACTTCTTGTCAAATTCAGATCTGGTGTCAGATAACAGTCTTTACTGTGAAAGTTTGAACTCTTTGGTCAATGTATACATTTTAAGGACAACAGCCAAAATCTTCAAATGGAGGTCAAAATTTAAGAAATCGAAATCAGAAGACTGGTTAAACCAAGAAACTTCTGAATAAAGCCATAACTTCAAAATGATGGACCAAATTCTGAGACTAAAAAAATATAGAATTATTTTTTCACACTCTGATATCTGAGATTTAAGTAAATATTATCAGATAAAAGCCAGAAACATATGATCAAAGTTTGAATTCAGGGGTTGAATGAATGATTTTCTTTTCACTTTTCTGTGATCAAAGCCTGAACAGTCAAACGCAAAACACCCAAAAGAAAAAAACCATCCTTTTACAAAGTATTTCATAGTATTTACTTCCTAAAAATGCATCACTATGCCAGTACCAATGTAATAATATGTAATCACAGAGAAACAACAGCTAAAGTACCAGGGAAAACCTCCACTATTACTATCAATTCAACGGAATGATTCGAAATTATGTCCAGTTTGGTATAGTAATAACCAACACTCACTTAACACCTTGGTAACTTCCTGGTAAATACTTGGTAATTACATTATCATGTAAGTAATAATGAGAGGAAGATAACAGTGGAAAAACTACACCTCAAGTACTAAAAAAATCCTCTACTTTAAACCACAGAGGGATTTATTGTGGTACTAACTCTCATATAACGATCTACTTACTAATAAGATGTTACTACACAGACTTAACTCTGAGTTATCTTGGAATATAGATGATACTTCTCAGTAAATTACTCAATTCTAGAAGTTGTATTTTTCTTTTAGTGCAAGGTATATAACAACAAACAAGTCATTTACAGAAACAATTGCTTTACCCAGGTAAAGTGAAATAAAAAGCTTTTCATCAACAGTTCATTTTCAGAACAACACCACTCGTCTGTCACTACAGTCAGTCCTGCATTCATCCAACTTCAAGTCTAACGACAGCAGATGGCATCGTTCATAAGCCTTGTCAGCAGACACAAATCTTTGCTCCAGTTTTCTGTGTGCAATAATTCACCTTGTTCCCCTTCAAAAGGTTGTAGGTCAACATCCAGTGTCCAACAGAATTTAGTGTCAAGCAAATGGATCCTTGAAATAAAACAGGACCCAAGCTGGTGGGATCAGAATTCATGCTTACAGACTTGTGCTGTCATTTTAAAACAGTTGGCAATAAACAACCTAAAAATAGGTTTCATAACATTTCTTTGTACCTTGTTTTACCTAAAGAACGATTTGGGGCTAGTAAGAAATTAGCAATCACAATAAGACTTATTTTCAACTAAAACAAGATAGCCAAGATATGATCCTTTTTTTGCTTTAAAACTTACATTTGATGTTATAGATTCTTCAAAAGATATACATTGCTCCATTGTGCCTTATTATGCTTTATCAAACAATCAAATGACTATTTTACTTTACTATAGTTTCTGATATAGACAGAAACTTAGCGAGACAGTTATTCAGTGTTATCTACTCCTGTCAGTCCTAAAACAAATGATCCAGCCAGGGGAACTGACAAAAATCATTTGATTATCTAAAAATGAGCCAGAGTTGATCGAATTTTGTATTTGGGAAATGGAAAAGTATTGCTTTCTAATTTGGGATGTGATTTTTGTTTGACCATTTGGTGCTTCAGTTATCCGCTGACAGAGATGTGGTTACAGTTCGCACCATGACTGATCTGTGTGTTCAGTTTGTTTCAGCAGAACAAAGGGAGCAAGACATCACTGTTATTTCATATTGTCTGATGCAATTTCAACACAAATCTATATCGGCAGTGTCTCTGCCCCTCAAAACATGCACGCATGGAGAGCTGCAAGGACATGAGGAGAGGGAGAGAAGAAATAAGAAGTTTAGTTTTAAGAGTCATGAGACATCCTTTCCTCTGTTTGTAATGATGGCCTCAGTTGATCATCCTTGGAACATCTGTTAGTGAAGTGAACAGCTGTCTGTGTCTGCAAACATGACCACAGTAATTATTCCACTGAAACACATTGCAGCTTTTATCTCTGTATCCAGTTACCTGTGTATCAAGCATCTGCACATAATAAACATCATGCAGTCCATTTTTTCTTTGTCCTGCTTCTTTCTGTCTGTCTCGGGCTTTTATTCTCTTCATATCAGGAAAGCATAATCAATAACTTGTATATGTATTTCTCACATGAAGGCCATGTTTCTCGTTGCTCTTTCCCCCTCCTCTTACAATAAGGTCAAAGAACTCCATGATCGAGCAAACTGATCAGTAAGGGGGTGAAGTTTTCGTCTTCTGATCTTTTACCTCTCGACAATTCTCTGACCAAGTTCAGTGAGAGGTCTGAGTGAGTGCCCTTCACTCTAAAGTAATCTCAAGCAAAGGTGTCTCGAACGCTAAGTTTTAAAAATTAGAATCAAAGTTCATCAAATGGAGGAGTAAGACATGTACACGGTAGCTTTAGTAACTTTGTCTGAATACACCAAACTCATAAAAATCTGTTCCTGAGTGCTCTTGGTCGACACAATACAACTCAACAATGAGGAAGTTAAAGACTAAGTGAGTTCAAAGATGCTAAAAAAGTCAAGAAGACTTAGGCCGCGATCAGACATTGGGTTAGATTAATGCAAGTGTACGCAATGATAAGAGGCAGACCCACCAAACCTTGCAGTGCTAATTCTACCAGGCAATAAATCATTTAGATTAAAGGTGATATAGTTAAAAGACTGAGGTCAAAACACTTAAAAAAGAAAATCAAATTATTAGATGAAGAAAATGCACATCTCCTTCAAGTGTTCTGCATGGAAAATTCAATGAAATACCAAAACATCAAAATCTAAACAGCGAAAACAAGCAAAACATTCCTCTATACTTATCAAAAATACTTTGGGTTTGGTGACAAGCCACAAGCAAGCCAGACATCTTTTGAAAGTGGGAAAAATAAAATCTGGTGATAGCACAATACTTGCAAACCCTTCAGAAATGAACGACAGGTTCCTTAAAATCTATACATGCTTGTATATATTGAAGAACACTGCAGTACCTTCAATAATGAGAGCATTTCCGACAATTGTAATCACTCCAGACTGAACGAAGAAGAATACAAACTTCTCTGGTCAACGTTTTGCTGGCTACATGGAGTGGACTTATTTATCTGAAGTTCTAAATAGATTCAATCTTGGTGATACATTTCTTTTGTTAATCAAACTTATTTATAAATTTATACTCATTTGAACTTCTTGCCAAAAGTATCAGACTAGATCCTCAAGCCCAAGTCTATACTACCAAAGAAACAACCAATAAAATACCTTCATATGCAGATGATATCCTTCTATATTAAACCCAGCCACAGCAACTGTCCCAATACTTTTTGACAAAACCAATTTGTCTGAAACTTTTTCAGCTTACCAAATTAATTGGACTCAAAGTATCATAATGCTAGTCCATTTGGCACATCTAAATGATTTTAGTAGAAAATTTAACTGACCTTCCAGGGGTGGAAGCTGCTATCTTGGATATTTACACAATAAAGGATTGTGATTTGGTCAATATTTAAGGCATTGTGGGTAAACTATTTAGAACAGCAACAGTTCAATACTCACCAGCCAGTGAAAACCGATATGAGCTTACTAATGGGTATAGCATTTCATACTGTTGGGTTTTCACAAGAAAGGTGAAGAGCGGTGCATTGCCTAAATCTGGAGTAAAAGTATTGGAGTATTGATTTACATTTCCAACTTCTGAACAAACTGGTGAAAAAGGCTGGTTCTGTGGTTGGATTCAAGCTGGATGTCACTGCTGTGCTAATAGGCCAGTAAGCCCAAGGGTTAAGGCTTGGCCTTGTGTAATGATCTTTGCTGCTTGAGAGAGCGAGGCAAGTACATTTACCTCTTTGGTGGCTTATTAAATCAGAGAAGTGATAGAGCTTTGAGCACAGGAGGTAATTTGAGTCAAGGATAAAGCTGTGCTTGTCTTATGGCAGTGGTGGGATTCGAACCCACGCCCCCTGAGAGACTGGAGCCTTAATCCAGCGCCTTGGACCACTCGGCCACACTACCTTGTTGCGCTCGAAGCTTCTTGAGAGGTTTGCAGGTGCAGGGCATCTTGACATGTTTCGTGGATAAGCTGGGATTTGTAGGTTGCATCAACTGCACTTGCAATACTGACCCGGCTGATGCATAACCCAGTGGCAACCAAAGACCAGACTGACTAAAAGGGACAGCACAGACCCACGGTGGGCTACTGATTGCACGTTTAGCAGAGGATGGTTTCGATCCATCGACCTCTGGGTTATGGGCCCAGCACGCTTCCGCTGCGCCACTCTGCTCATACTTCTCCAAAGAAGGGCCTGCACTTTCAAGCTGGAGGATGTGGTGGAGAGATCTACACTGAAGAAGGTGGAGACTATTTTCAAGAACATGGATCACCCACTTCACAACACCTTGGTGGACCAAAGGGCCAATGGTGGTGGACGGCTCCTCTCTCTTTGCTGCAGGACAGAAAGATTTAGAAGATCTTTTGTCCCCACAGCTGTCAG